GGAGTCTCTGCCGTCCAGCCGCTCCGTCACTGGGGCCACGTCTGCCGGCAGTATGGTCCACCACAGCCCGCAGATGATGATGACTGCTGCTCCGTATTCGCAGTCGGTCACCGCCCAGAGCTCCCTGCCATCGTCAATACAAAGTATGTTGGGTTCGCAGGATCGCCATCTTCCGCACCCCAGCACACTGCTAACGAATGCAGGACCTACTGGCGGTTTGTCGCAGCCACAGGGCTACAGCTACCCCCAGTCGACGCAGATGTGGCCCCAGACGCCCCAGACACCTCAGTACAGCTATGGACACCCGTCGTCCGGCCCGTCTTCGCACCAGCAGCACCAACAGGCGCCACCGCCGCCACCCTCGTCTCAGCTGCGCCACTCGAGCAGCGGTGGGCAGGTCCCTCCGAGCAACATGCCCTACTCGGGCATGCCGGGCATGAGCCCTGGCTATCCCTCGCAAGGCCAGGGTATGCCTTACGACCAGACGCCTCGTCAGTACATGCACCCATCCGGCTCGGGGTCGCCGGCTGTCACACAGGGCTGGCAGGGACAGCCCCAGGCATCTTCACAATGGTGGGCAAACCAGCAGCAGTAGGTGTTCATGCGGTGGCTCCATCGTGATAAGCGGCGGCAAGACCCGAGTGTATACGACGACTCGGAATAACTGCCACCGTCACTTGCGACAACCTATCGGATCACAATACTGTCGTGCAGCGGCGGTTGTATAGGGATTTCAATCGCTATGGACAACGACGACGTTCACGACTATTTCGCAGAGGGAAGCCGCTGTGGATGTCGGGCCTCGCGACGATGACGACTTTGATGAAGACCGGCCTCGTTTTATTATTCCCCTTTCTAATTCGACCGATTTTTTCAAGCAAGCGGCGGTATCCTACATTTTTTTTGTCCTTTTTTTTCTTCTTTTCTCTTCTTGTTTACTTCTTATTTTACCCCCTTTTATTCTTTATTTTATGTTGATGCAACCCGACTCATCCAAGGTTTTTTTTATTGCACATGATTCTCTCGGGCTATTGGCGGAAATCTGTGATGCGGGTTTTATTGTGTTTTGCTTCGTTTTGTTTTTCTTTTGCTACCACGCTTCACTTTTCAGATTGGTTCTCTTTTGGCTTTGTTTTTTTGGGAGGCCCAGTCATTGTGCTTTGGCATCTGGTCCGGGTTGGAATTAGAGGAGTCTTTCTGGGTGGATTTCTCTATTTGTTTCCTGGATTGGGGGTTTTATTATATCCTTTTTATTACCCTAGGTTGTGGAGGTTTCTTGTCTTTTTTTCCATTTATTTTCAGTTATCACGTTTTTCTATGCCTGTTGTGCTTCTGCCAGTTGGCTTTCTCCCATTTATTCCGTTTACTGTCCGGTTTCTTGCTTCTCTTTCCTCAATTTTCTTTTTGTGATTCCCGCTGTGTTTGATTCCTTTGTTTTTGAACAATCTCAACCGTTTTATTGCTTTTTTTTTATTTCTACAGGGTGACTTGAGGAAGGGATAAACGGGCTGCATTCCGGAGACCACGCTGAACGGCCGCTGTTCTCTTTCTTTTTTTTCTTTTTAATACAGATGATCCGCTTGGGGATAGCGCGTGTGTGTCTACAGGCACGGCTGAGTTGTCATCGTCTTTCCATTCGTCGCCTCTGTCGGCCCGTGCAGCACTCGCAGTGTTTTTGTGTATATCACCGGCGGCTAGCCACAGAAAATTTGTGTCTTGGATCGAATGTCATTCGAGACATACAGACGCCGCTGCACACGGAACCTTCCGCGAGGGAATCTACGAGTGAGCACCACATACTACACTCTTGCATCTCCCTCACACAAGACAGACCACGCATGCCGACAACGAAGCACAGGCATGAGTGTTCCGAGACAGCCTTTGTGCATTCATGATATCTGTCACACATCTCATCCCTATCGAGAACACAAACGCCATTCTTTTATTCGTACGGACTGATCTTTGATTCTTTTATTACTCCTCGCAGACGCATTTGCATGTTATATGGGTTGATACCATTTCTGCTGTGATAGTTGATTGTTCTTATTCACTTTTACCTTCCCCTCCCGTCTTTCTTGTATTGTCTTGCTGGCTGTTCTGTTCTGCCTTGTATTTGCAGTCTTGTCTTCTCCAGGTGCTGGGTTGGATACTTGGATTTCGACTTGGGCCCCTTTTCTCATTTCAAACTTCATCTGATGCCTCCCTCTTCGAGGCCTTTTCTCTTTCTTCACATTCTCCTCTTTTTATTTTACTTCTACTTGTCTAGTTTATCGTTATTGCAGTCTTTAAATTTATTCAATATGCTCTCAATCTTTGTCGATGAGCTTTGCCGTGATTATGCACGACGCCCACAATGCGTGCAATTGAAACTATTTGGCTAGTTCCCTGGTTGATTGTACAATGTATGCGTGTGTTATCTGTGAGACGCTGTCTTTTATATTCCAAAAATGTCACTGCTTTCCCCCCCGCCGGCCGTATATTCGTACATATTTCGTTAGAGCCAATGATCTATCAGTTATCTATGGTTTCGTGTTTCTTTCTTGCTGCGGCTCATCAGCAGAAATGATAGGCGGCGTACTGTCGGAGAACATCACCTCCAACACGCTTCGTGGCGGGCGACCCTCGGCAGCCGCTTTGTGTGTCTCTTCTTTCTGCATTCGCATATACTCGCCAAAGGCAGAGCCAGCAGCTATGCCGGCAAAATGCGTGACGACATCAATGACGTGTTTCTCAGCGCGCAGCGTCAGCAGGTTAAGGCCCAGCATGAGGCCAATGAACCCGAGACCCTGGATACCGGTGTACGGGTCGGGCGGCAGGCCCAGGATCTTGAAGCCCTCAAACTTGTGCAGCATAAAGTATGCTGCGGCGATGCCGTAAATGGCGCCTGACGCGCCCAGCGTCGTAAGGTGCAGGTTGTTGCGCAGCACAATGTTCGTGAGGCTCGCTAAGAAGGCCACCAGGCCAGAGGAGAAGTACACCTGCAAGAAAGCCGGCCGGCCGATCTCGTCATGCAGGCGCGTGCCAATGAACCAAAGGAAAACGACGTTGGCCAGCAAGTGGCCCGCCTTTTGGTGCGAAAACATGGCACCGAGCAAACTGAGCGGCCGTGGCGTCGCCGGCACCACGATCATGTAGCGATTGAACAGACGCCACAGCGGCGGGACGCGCCACATAGCAAAGACGACGACGTTGGCGCCGATGATTGTGAGGACGGTGGCGGCAGAGGGTGAAATAGACGGGAACAGGCGGCCTACGCTGGCCGTGTCCGTGCCGCTGGCTTCCAAGTAGCGCGTGACAAGGCCGCCGCCAAGCACCAGCGCAAGCACAGTTGCGTACGACGGCCACAGGCGCTGCCAATGGGACATGGTCGGCGGCGCTTCAAGCGGCGACGTCGCGGCCAGCGCATATTGCTTCGTCCGCGGGCTCATCTCGCGGGCAACACTGGGCACGCCCACAGTGGGCGCGCCATCCGGGCCCACCAAGTCGCGTGACTTGGCGGCCTGCTCCGCCCATCGTTTCTCCTGCTCTGCTCGCCGGGCGGCTTCGGCCTCTTGCCGCTGGCGCTCGCGGATCTCGTTCTTGGCGCGGTTGCGGGCGCGGATGGCGTCAAAGGCGCCCACACCGTACACATCGTCTTTCGGCACCTCGCGGAACAGGCGGGAACGCCACTTGGTTTCACTGGCGCTGAGCGGGCGCGTTGCCAGTTTCTGGTCCTGGCCGTCACCCTCCTCTTTCGAGTGGGCTTCGACGTAGGCCTCTTCGTCTGCGTCCATCTTGGCAAGCCACTCGGCCTGCTCGCGCTCCATGGTGGCCAGCTCGTCCTCGGCTCGCAGGCCTGCGTTGATCAGCTCGTCGACGGGGGTCGTCTGGCGCAGGTAGGCCAGTGCGGTCTCGATCTCGGCTGGCGGGAAGCGTGCCGTGTTGGCTCGGAGAGACGGGTCGTCGAGCGTGCCGGCGACCCGGCGGCCGTGCAGGATGCGCAAGAGGGTGTTGGCGGCGACCGGGCTCATGCCAGGACCAAACACCGCGGCGACCTCCTTGGGCTCGAGGTCGCCGCGGCGGCGGAACGGAAGGCCTTCGGCGTCGTTGTAGTCGGGAGGAAGGTCGACATACTGGGTGGTGACGGACGATGCGGAGAAGAAAGAGCGGACTTGTGCGCGAGTGGAGTAGGTGTACGAGAGGAGAGGTCGAGATGTGGTTGTGCGTGGTGATACAGTGCGAAGGGGTAGCCAGTAGTGGCACGGCGAACGGGATGCAGTGCGACTTGTAAAGCGTATGGACGGCAATGGAGACCAGCTGTGAGAGCGTGTGTGTGTTCGTAGTGCCGTCGAGGCTGTCAACGACAAAAGATGTTGTCGTTCGAGAACCGCTGGCCTTGCAGTCACTGGCGTCTGGAGGGCGGAACGAAGCCCGCTTCTTAGGGTGCTCATTGTTCTGTCAGAGCCCGCGGAATCGGTGTTTTCGTCTGCAGCAGCGTCCTGCTGAGCGTGGAGGTCATACAGACTGCATGGCCTTTCCCGGAGAGGTTTTTCGTGATTTGTTTTTTAGTCCGGTCTTTTACAGCGGCGATACCCGATAGCGGCAAGCCGTGTTAGCGGAAAGAATTAACAGCTGATTTTCGCATTCTTCCGCCTGTAAGTCCTCCGTCGTTTTAGCTTTTAGGCGGTCGCAGTGGTTGGATAGAGGGGCTGCTGGTTCTTCAAATAGTCGGTATTTCAATTTTCCGGCGCCTATGCCACCCTTTTTGTCCCCCCAGGATTCTGGAATACAGGGGGGAGGGCGAGCTACCCCACCATGCGACGGAAAGCTCCAGGCAGCTTGGCCGCGAGTGCATCACTTTGAGAACGTCACGACCTTGCACAGGACTACATCAAACCCTCGGAGCCGCGCTCGCCCTTTGCTTTCTCCTTTCTCCTTTGCCCGTTCTCCTTTCTTTTCTCTATACACGCCCGCGCCTGCTTTCACTCATCTCAGTCACGACCACACTTCCGTACCCGGCCATGTCTTCCGAAATCCAGCCCATCAGCCCTGGCCGTTTCGCCGATGCCATCAAGGACCTCTCGCTCGCCTCGCTGCACCTCAAGGTCCTCGAAATCCGCAACGACGTGGCTCACCTCGACTACTCCAACGAACAGCTGCTGCCCTACGCCAAGGGAACCGTCGCTGCTCTGGGCGCCACCCCCAGCGAAAGCCCCGAGCCCGACCAGGACTGCATTGACGCCATCAAAGAAAACCTCGGCGTCATCGAGCGCAAGCTCAACCAGCTGCGCCTCGTGCGCGCCGAGGTCGAGAACCGCGGTGTCAGCTGGACCGAGTTCCAGAGCAAAGAAGAGGCCGAGCAGGAGCAGGTTGAGTCGGACCAGCGTGCAGAACGGACAGGCTCGGCGCTGGCGGCGGCACGGCAGCCGACGGCTGCAACCAACGGACACACAGCCACGACGACCAACGGCCATGCCAGCTCCAGCTCGACCGCGGCCACAACCACAACCACAGCCAGCAATCCCTGGACGGATGGCACCTTCCAGACGGGCACCATTCGCAATGGAGAGCTTCAGATGGACTCTGTAGCTGGCCAGTCGTTTGTATCACGCAACACTGGCGGCGGCAGCCTGACGGACGAGCAGCTCCAGCAGGCCCTCGAAGAGCGCCTTGGTCTGTCGTCACACAGTGGCGGTGCTGACGGAAACATCGACGACGATGAAGAGGGCGGCCTGCACTTGTGAGCGAGGACGACTGCTGGTAATACTCCCTTTAAAAGCAATGTCCTCTGTCGTGTAGGACCTTGTCCCACAGCCCTACCTGGACAGTGCAACGTCACATTGTCCCGGCTTTCTTCACAAAAGAATCACAAAAGAATCACGAAAAAAGCTTGCTTGGAAAGAGACGACCGCCGTGTAACACGCGCCGGGTTTCGAAGTAACGTCTTACACTTGGAGACGTGTGTACCTATTGTCTACTGGCAACACCCACCGTGAAAGTATCTGGAAGGCATTGTTAGCAGCTTTCCATCTTCGAGACGACAAGACTGGTGGCTGTGCTTTTTAGAAACAATGCCCCGGCATCCGAGAAGGACTTTTGAGCTAATTTTCCGTATGTCGTCATATTGGGCTCACAGCCTTTCTCGGACAACAGCACAACATGGACAGCGTTCGAACGCTGGAACGCTGCTTGTTTGCACTTCTACACCTCTTCTCGCCGAACTGTTGAAAATCTATTTAAAGCAACAGGCTTGCGCATCATGACCTGTTACGGCTGTCCAGCTGGCAAACTGGGCCTTGATCCTGTCCCTTAGCTGACGAGATGGAGGGGCTGATACGAATGTTTCAACGGCGAGAAATGCGAGAAATGCGGAAGCATAACGCCAGCTTACCCCAACTCACAAAATGCATCTAAAACACGACTCGATCCGATTGGTCGATATATTGTCCATCCCTGGAAGGCCTCAGCAATGTGTCCGACGTACATCCAAGTACCGCAAACGTGTCGAGTCGTCTAACCTAACACCATGCACCCACACATCGTGCCGGCAAGCAGTCAAGCAGGCAAGCAAGACGAGCGGACAAGACAAACAATCAGATAGTCAAGCTCTGTGTAATGTGGCATGTCTTCTTATTTTCTCTTACATATTGGGGTGGTGCAGCTTATGACCCGACACCGCCCTCTCGTTTTCAGACAGCCTTGTCTATATTGGGGACCTTGTGACTGGGCATAGCGGCATCTTTAATTATTGATATTCGATTGCCTTTTTCATTTTTTGAACTTCCATGTACCATCATGCTCTATGGTTTTGATTTCTCTCCACGAAGCCTTGACCTGCGACTCTCACACCGCCTCTATTTTTCAAGGGTCGAGAATCAAAAGACCTCTCAAGTTGTGGTTTCGTTTTTTTCGTATTGTTCACACAGTGCTTGGCACTTCGTGTTCTGCCGTCCGTCAACCAGGGTCTGTCGATCTGTCAAGCCTGCCAGTCTGAAGAAGGACATTAAATTTTTAAAGAAACCAGCCTCTATGGTACGCTCCTTTGTTCTTTTCCCACCCATCTCGGTCGTTATGACGGCATCGGCCTCTTTGCCAAGTTCGGCGGCGGGGAAGGACAAACGACGATGAATTATCGTGAAGGTATGACCGTCACATCTTTGGGCACCTCGTGATGATTTCTGACTTTTGACTCTTGTCCACCTTGCCTGTTTTTCAACTGGATACTGGTTCCATCTTACTCGACGAAAACCAGGACCCGAGGCGCCGATCCCAAGGCAGACACGGCTTGGGCACGCAAGATAGTTTGCCATCCGACACAACGCCCGGTTTTTGTCTCTTTGAGCGCCGACAAGACACCACCGAAGCTACTCTTGAAGATCGAGGAACAATGCCTATTCTTAGACAGCCCCGTCCTTTGTGTCCCCCAAACCCCCAAGAAAGGATTGTAGGCTTCCTGGTGGTTGCCGAACTAAACTGCAGGTGCGCATCTCGTGTTGGCCGATCGGTGTGATGGATGTCCCGGACACTCTTTGTTATTGTAACGGCGCATGTTTGGTAGAGAGAAACCAGGGGCTCTATTGTCGAGGCTTTTGGCCTCCTCTGTGTCTCAACTCTGTGATTTTGTTGCCAACCTGATTTCAACTTATAGAACTCCAAAAGGCGACGTCAGTCAAACGCAAAGCTATATAATATGGTGTCGTCTCCCGTCCTTCAAATCTCAAAATCATCATCCCCATCCACATCCCCACCTCACTCCATCTCAATTTCCAATCTATCGCAGCCTTTATTTCACTTTGATATACATCACCACTCGCTTATACCCAGCCGGCATATTCAATTATCCACTACCTTCAACAAACCACCGTCGTTACCAACATGAAATCATTCGCTTCTTTCGTCGTCTTCAGCCTCTTCGCTGGCCTGGTGGCCGCCGTGCCGACGCCGGCAGATACTGCTCCGCTCTGCGGCACCACATACTATCCGACCATCCTTCAGCAGCTGTCAGAAGCGTCGCCCAACACCGTCGGCGCCAACACGGCCGCCACCAGTGGCGACTTCCATGTCAGCCAGACGGTCATCACCGGCTCTCCCTCGGACCGCATCTACCAGCTTGTCGGCTTCCAGGGCATCCCCTCCGGCTCCTTCGGCTGTGAGCTCGCCCTTACCTTCTCGGCGGGCTACCCCATCACGTCGTCTGTTGGCGGTGTGGCCGGTCCTACGCCCATGCTCAACGTCACCACAGTGCTGCGCAACAACCCGAGTGCCATTGCATACCCCAACGGGTTCACCTTTAACAGTTTCCCCACCCAGCTGGGGCCCAGCCAGGGCCCGTTCGGGACCGTATCCGCGGCCGCCGGCACAACGGTGTCAATCAACTCGGAGAGCTGCGACAGCAATCTTGCCTTTGTCTTTAGCGTTGCCTCGTGGACGGGTACATCGGCTGCTGTGGAGTTTGCAGAGCATAAGAGCCCTCTGGCGGGTGTTTACCTGACTGCGAGCTGTTAATTGGTGGAGATGGAAAGGTTGTGGACATTACGGCAGTCAAATCTATTTGAGGATGGTTTTGCTTTCTTTCTTTCTTTCATTTTATTCATTTGTTTATTTCACTGCCCGGCAAAGTCCTCTCCTTTACAATCGCTTGTCTTTTTGATAGGCTACGTAGTTCTCTCTCGGTCCTTGAACATATGGCTAAGAAAATATGTGCCGTTGACACTCATTTATGACAACAATATATTGTTCTGATATTTGATCTTGCTATCCAGACCACTCATTCTATGATTTATATATAGTCTTCCATCCCTCACACGATAGTCATGAAACTTGGTAAATCGCCTTTGATTTACAGCTTCTCGTTTGAGAACACACTTAGCTGGAAGTGAAGGTCGAGTTGAGCGAACCGATCTGTTGTTTGCTTGGTTAGCGGACGGACACGTCACAAGATGTTGTACTACTACGACATGAGTGCACAGTCAACATACCTTGATGTTCGAGTAAACGACTGAGGCATCAGGATGGGCACTCTCGACGGTCTTGGGGTCACCAGCAGCCGGGTCGCAGCGCCCGCGGGCAACACCCGGGTCAGTAGCGGGTGAAGTCGTCGGGAAGTTGCTGTCGAGCCAGTTCATGGAGACCGCGTGGTCGTCCCACACGCTCAGAACGAGGACCATGTTCTGCAGCGACTTGCCCATGCCGGCGAGGCCGCCGACTGTGGCAAAGTAGTTGTCGTCGCCAAAGGCCGTCTTCTGCTGTTTGCAGAAATCCTCCGAAATGTAGTTGACGGGATCGACACCAGTCACGGCTGCGTCGCTGTTGGGGATCACTTTGCCGTCCTGCACATAGAAGCGGTTGATTCGAGAGAGCGTGCCCGTGTCCGTGCCGTCGTCCGTGACAAACTGCGTGACGATCGTAAACGCCTTGCTGGAATCGACCGTCTTGCCGGTGCCATAAAACTCCTTGTTGCCCATACGGAACGAGTTGAAGTCGCAGCCGTCGGGGTCGCACAGGCCCGAGTGGCGGTTGGCGTCGCCAGCGCCACAGTCTTGCTCGTTCTCGCAGCGTGTCTGGGTCGACACCTTGCACGGGTGTGGTGTGTAAGCTGTGGCGTCCAGGTTGGCCTCCCAGATGTCCATTTCGGCACAGCACGAGCCATACGAGCCGGCGCCCGAGTTGCCATCACTAGCACTGCCGGTCCAGCCTTCGACGTTGGCCTAGGGAAGTTAGTATATGATGGGCGCTGAAGAAGCAAAGAAGATAAAAAAACATCACGATAAAAACAGTACCTCTCCTAAATAAAAGTTAGTGATCATAATACCAAACAGTAAAGAACACATGTGTGGTCAACCCTACGGGACGGTACGGGCCGAATCGGGACGGTACCGGCCAAAATAAGAAGGTACGAACCAGCCACCGTGATATGACCATCACGACACGTAAAAAGCTAAAAAAAAAAAAAAACACCGTTACGCACCATTGATGAACTTTATATCACGAGGGCATTGCGAGTCGCAGTAGCCCGTGCCGTACTGGGCGCCGGCCTTATTGCCCGGGTAGGCGCTGAGACCACCGTCCTCGAGCATCTCGCTAAAGTAGACGGCGCCGTTGAGGCCACAGGGAAGGTTGCTGACGTCGACGTCAAAGGTAAACTCCTTGTTGAGCAAGTTGAACATGCGGTATTTGCTGCCGTCGCCGCCGGCCGACAGGTAGACGCGCGAGCCGACGTTGGCGCCGTTCTCGTTCTTGGTCACAAACTGCAGCTTCAGCGCACCATCGTTGGGCGTCGAGATGCCGTACGTCTTCTCGTAGTCGGCGCCGTCAATGGCACAGTTCTCCGCGCAGGTCTTGCCGTCTGGGCAGGCGGTGGCGTTCCACGTGTTGCCGTCGTAGCAGTTGGTGTAGCCGGAGGTTACGTGGGTCCAGCGCCAGTTGGCATCGAGGACGACGGTGGTGTCTTCCTTGGTGCAGCCTGAGGCGGTGCAGGACTGGATGGCCATGGAAGGGTGTTTCTCAGCCGTCAGGGTGCCAACCTGCTGGCCGTAGACGGCGGTCGCAAAGACCACGGCTGCGAACGAGCGGAACATTGTGGAGGGAAGAGGACGCCTGAGATGTAAAGGTGGGCAGAGAGCAATGAGATTGGATGGACAAGTATGAGGAAAGGGAGAAGACGATGCAGAGGATGGAGACGAGACTTGTTCAACAGCAGAGGCAGCAGACAGGACTCGTCTTTAATACTTTTCGAGTTGTTCTCGATGCATCTTGCTTCGAGCATGGCATCCTTCTAACCTTTTGCGTTTTCCAACTTGTACACAACGTGCACGGTTGACTCCCTCCGTAACCCCAAGACCGAATTGAACTGCGGAATGGTATCCCATGAACTCCTGTTGGGATCGACTCAAGCTAGCGTGGACCTCGTGATATTATCCTGGTCGGAAGCCGCCGTCTTGGCAATTTGCAGAGAGGACGTTATGACGGAACGGACATGTGTCTATAAATGAGGGTGAGGGATATCTATTCGCATCATCTCAATTACAGACCGAATTGCGGTCCAAGCCTGCGGATCTTCACCAAAACCTTTCGTTTGCGGTGTAAGTGAGATCCAGCCCTTTGCAATAATCACTAGGAAAAGGGGTATACACGCTTGTCCATGTTCCGCTCAAGTAGAATTAATATATTTACGCAGGGGACCTTGAGGTACAATAAAGCTGCGGTGACGAAGACGGCATTGCTGATCAGAAAAACATTCACGGTGATCCCTTGGATAATGCTACCGCAATTGGCGACGGAGTGGCAACACGAAGCATGTAGCTACTGTGCGGCATGAACAAGACTGACCACTGCTGTATATTTGAAACGAACCTATTCGCCGCTATTTCGGCGAGACGGTTCGTGGGCCCGTGATACAGAGGCCCGTAACCCGGCGACCTGGTGCGGCTCTGTCTACCCAAATCTCTGGTAGCGTAATTTGTTCGGCGAGCTTTGGCGTCTAGAGCGGATGTCTGTATTATTCAAACCCTCCCATGATGGGGTGACGTTTGGGCCCTGAGCTGGAGCTGCGCCGGTCCTTCCGAAATAGGCAATTCCTCTTTTGGCGGGGAGGGCCGCCTCGCTCCGTTGCATTCTCGGGCTGTCCCTTCCGCAACTTTTCGGGAAGCAACAAATGCGGAAGGGCACAGAATACTCCGCAAGACGTGAAGATACAGAAGCAGAAAAACAGGGAATTACACGAAATAAATAGCAACACCAACATAACCGGGGGCGACCAAGCTAATAAGGCCATGAACCAATTGCAACCCGGATACTTTGCTCACAGCAACCCAGCGCAAAGAAGTATACCAGAGCGGCGGATGGTCGAGTCGCCGACGAAGCTGTCGGCCTAATTGAGCAGTCTCGTGTCGTGGTGGACCGTATGTGGCTCTCGGGCCTCCACACGTGATTTTACAGGCCGGCAGTGCGGTTTTTTCACGGCAGCCGAAATCGCCCCTCGCATAGTACCACCTCCTGCGAACACGTTCACCTTGTCACGGGCAAACTAGACCGCCTCTCGCGCCAGACGCCCGCCATCGTCAATTGCCAACGGGCTTCGCTTATTTATATACGTTTCTGTCTTCATATTCCCCAACATGACGTCCCCACCGTCGTCCGAAGACTTGCCATACTGGCAGGTCAATATCCCCGTCGACCAACGCACGGCTACATGCCCCGACTTCTTGCTCAACATCAATGCCAAGGACAGGGGTATCATTAGCACGCGCCAGGAGGACTCTGCCCTCATGTCGTGGCCCGAGGTGCGCGCCGTGATCGCCGCCAACCAGCTGCAGACGTTTCAACGCACACCGCTTGCCCTGCGCCGCTACCTAGAGTATTGCTGGGGCCTTAAGGAGAAGTACGGCAGCGCTGTCCACTTTGTGCTGCGGGAGCGGCTGCACTGGACGACGGAGGAGCTCGCAGCGAGGGTGACCGCTGAGGCAGCAACGGGCCACGGCAGCATCCCCGACTTTTCGGACAGTAGCGATGTGAAAATTCTGTGCAACGACTGGCCGTATGGCCTCGACGAGCGCATCGTGCACTTGGTTGTGTGGACCAAGTTCCCACTGCCAGAAGACCCGACAACAGGCGACCTGACGGACGACGCGCGCGCTGCCATAGAGGCGTATGTCCAGCAAACGTTCCGTGCAGCTCTGCCAGCGGACAGCGTAATTTGGTTCAAGAACTGGCGGTCGCTCAAATCCGTGCTGCTGGTCGAGCACTTTCACGTCATGCTGTTTGACCCGCCGGTCGAGTTTGTTGCGCGCATCACCAACGGCGACGTGCCGCTAAGCAAACGGCTGGAGGGGGACGGACAGTAGATGCACCAACAAACAAGGGATAAACGATAGATCATAGCATGCCATAGAAAACAGATCGATAGATAGACACGGATAACGACAACGCATGACAACCCGTAGTGGGATAAAAGTAAAAAGTAAAAATAGAGGGAGAAACGCCCCTTTCTCACAAATGCTCCGCTCCCATGCGCACCTCGACGACTGGCGCATCTGCAGACGGGACCGCAATCGGCTTCTCCAGCGACACGTGTACGTACCACGGAGGCAGGTCGGGCCCTGGGAACGGTCCGTTTGGGCGGAATCTCAGCAGAATCAGGCGTGCAATGTGCGTCGCCAGGGCCTCGAGCGTTTCGAATTCCGACGTCTCCAGAATCTGAACGACAAAGGCCTCAAGCCGCGTGTACACGTCCTCGTACTCGGTAAACCGGTCGAGGGCAATGTCGGCCACAACGGCCTGCTTGGCCGTCCGCTCGTGGGGATGCACGCCGACAAGTGTGGGCACGCGCAGCCGGTGCAGCCGCAATGTGTTGGAAGCGATCGGGGCTATGCCGTTGGCTGCACGCGCCAAAACGCCCGCGGACGTCAGCGACACGCCCTCGCCGACCAGTGTGGCCTTGGGCAAGAGCACCGTCACCGAGAGGCTGCGCACCACAGAAGCAGAAAGGAGGGGCGGGTTCTGCGACGGGTCCTGCGACGGCGCGTCTGGCGAGCTTGTTTTTGCGCCCGTGGCCATCCGGCCTGCCAGGTCAATCCAAAGGCCATCCAGAACGTGGAGCAGACCAGCGGGCGGCCGTTCCTCGTCCCAGCGCTCCAGGCTCTTGAGAACCGCTTTGCTCAGCGTGCCGTAATGAACCGTGTCGCCGGCTACTTGGTCGGTATTGGCTGCCTCGGGGAACGGCGCCGCCAAGACGGCCTCGGCAGAGAGCACGGCAGGCTGTGGCCGGCCGTGACGGCCCCATGCGTCCTGCCCAGCGCCGGGGCCAAGGGTAGCCTGCAGGCTGCGCACGCGGATGACGGCGCGGGGCTCGCCGATGGCGGCCTGGACGTCCCAAGCGGTGGGTTGGGACATTGTGCATATGTGGATGCGAGTAAACGAGGTTGCTGCACAGATGTGGCGCCAATTGGGGGAGATGGGTTGTGAAGGGAGAACACAGGGAAATTCGGTGAAACGGTGATTCAATGGAGGTGAAAATTAAGAGCAAGCTGACCCATCGCCGCTACGCCGAACAGACAGAGTCTAGGGCTAAGCAAAAGTCGCTAAATACACCGGCTGCATCGAGCACTTACACAACCGGCCGACATCACCGCCACAAACGGACGGCGATGCTGTCGTACAATGGCTTCATTCGACTTCGCCTTTTCGGTGCATGTGCACGCCGAGGCTTGCCAACATATTCCAAATACCTTTCAAGGTTTATACCCTGCCGATCCAATCGACTTTCGACTTTACGGCGCACCAATGAATGCAATGAGGCTGGCACACTCGACATACACAGCCTTCCTCCCGCGGCCAATGTAACTGAATGTCACATCTAGGCACACCACCTCTGCGGCGTCTGTCTCACAGATACACCCAAATGAGGCGACGTCTTGAAATGGGATGCGTCCCGTTTATAAGGTCCTCCTAGGAAGATGGTTTCCCCTTTTTAAAGTTCCGCATTGGCCATTACGACACGAAATTCTGTGTATTCAAATCCGTGCACGTCTTCGAAAAAAGTCTTGTCCAAAACGTCTACGAGACACCTGCAGCCATGCCTCGCACTGTCGCCCCGAAACATGGCGAGCTTTCGGGCTCTGACCGCCGTGGGTGCAGGGGAAACGCGTGGCATAACGACCGGTACTCAAGCAGGTCCCGAAGCAAGCACACATACAACATGGACGACAGCGATGGTGTCGACTCGGAGGAAGAGTCCACGAGAAAAACGTCCCGGGGACTCCTCTCCCTTTTCGTCCACAACCTGACCGCGCCCCAAGAAAAGATCGACCGTCGTCGCAGTAGAGCCAAATCCCCTAGCGCCAGGTCCTACCATCCGCCAGTTGCAACTGCAGGGTACGCACCGGTTGCTCCTCGTGCAGCCCACGATATTGCAGCAGGCAGTGCAGCACCCAACGCGGCCGCCGCCGCATTGCACACAACCCAGGGGACCCAGGTGCCGGCTCACGCAGTACCCGCTTCCATGGTCCCTCCTCCTACCATCCCGCGCGCGCCGGTGAGGAGCATCGCGCAGCCGCGCGACAATATCCCTCGCCACCCTGTCGTCACCACGGCCCCGCCTCACCCTGCTGGCGGTCTCCTCCCGGCCAACACGAGCACCACAGCCGGCCGCACCACCGCCACGCCCTGCTCGACACCGCGGGAGGAGGTCGACATTGTCATCCACAACCTGCACACCAACGCCCCCGGCACGTCGCGCGCCGTGCGCACCAAGCCCATGGCCGTGCTCCTGTCCCATATAATGAGCATAATTGGCCGAGAAGGCGTGCTGCTGCACAGCGTGGCGGCGACGGCGCACAGCATCACGATTGTGCTGGAGGACGGGACACTGTGGACGAAGCGGAAGGGCGGGTTCCGGGACTTTGTGAACGAGCTGCTGGCCATGGAGGCGGTGGACGGGAACGGAAGCGTAGTCACACATGACGATCATATCATGGCGCATTGACATGGGGCCGGAAACCCCGAAGAACGAGAAACGATGCACGCTATATAAATGAACCAAGATTGTCCAAGAATCACCTGCGATGCAAATATTGTCCAGAACACCAAAATGAAGTGGTATTATGCAGCCGTCGCACCGCCCTGTGCTACGTGCGCCCACATGCAGTAGCAAAACATGAAGAAACAAAACCAAAAAGAGAAAAGGTACCGCGGTAAGGTCCTAAATGCAACGCCAAGTGAACTCCCCGAATAACGAAATACATAAGGGGGCCAAACCCCTTCCCTATGAACAAAAAAATCATATGCCAAAGTTCGTGGGCTTTCCTGGTAGTAGGCAGAACAGCAAAGAACAGTGGATACGAATATATATACAAGCGCCAATCCCATATGTAAAGAATACGAAGGTAATGCCGTCTCTCAGCACCGGTAAATGATGTTAATAAAACAGCAAGGTCTAAAAAGTGCAACATGCCGCGCAGTAGTGTAGCGGGAGTGCACGCTGAGAGATGTGACGTCGACAATGTCTGATATATTTAGTCGATCAGAGGAGTCATGCCGTTGGGAATCGACTCTGGCGAAATCGTTTTGGCGTCGGATCCACGACGGCTACTCGACGACGGCGGAGTGCGTGGTGTGGGATGCTCGAGTGACAGGGAGGACGGCTGCCGGATCTTACCGTCGAGAGCGCGCTGGATGGCGTCTTCCGAAAAGCGGTTCTCCTTACCAAGTACATATCGGTCGCGCGCGAGCGGGCTGCTGCCGGCGCTGTCACGCAGGCTCGGCAGCATCGAGAAGTCTGCGGACAACTGACGCTTGATGCTCTCCGGAGGTGACGAGAGGTCGGACAGGTCGGAGAGCCCAGAAACATCCGCCGCGACAACGGACGTATTGCAGCCGGCGCGCTTGTCGCTGGTATTGACCTTTGATTTCCCAGATGGCAATGGCTTCCGCTTCTTGACCTCAGGTGTCGAGGCAGGAATGTGCTTCGTGGCGCGGAACGTGAGTGCAATACTCTTCGTTGGGGCCTTGTCCTCCTTCTTGGCCTTCGTGACCTTGCCTTGCACCACGATGCGGTCTTGCGGTTTGCTGGCTGGGAGGGCATGGCGCTCTTTCTTGGCAGCCGTAGGTAGCTTCGAGGCCACAGCCGCCTTCTTGACGGCAACGGGCGGCTTTGAGTCCTTTTGCTTCTCGGTCGCAGCGCTTGATTGGGCGGCCTTGTCGCCCTTCTTGACCTGCTGGAACGGAAGCTTGCTCTGCCGGGCCTCGGGTAGGCGCTTTCTGGCGGGTTTCGGGCTCGAAATCGGTGTCGGCATGGCGGCGGTGGGTGATGATGTTGATTTGGTCAGAATCTTGGCCTTGCTAGGTGGTTTGGGAAGAGCCTTCCGCGGGGTGCTGCTCGGCTCCTTCTTGGTGGTCTTCTCGCCGGCCTTGCTGGCACGGGGCTTGGCTGGGGAGCGGTCCTCTAGAACGACCTCCAGCTTCAGCGAGCCAAGGTCCTCGTCGCCGGTAACGCCCCAGCTGCTCGGGCTGCCCACATCAGGAGCATCCCAGTGCGGGAGTCCAGTCAAGCGTGCGACATCGTCACTGCTGCCGCGAACGATGAGGTCCCAACAGTCCTTGAACTCGGCACCCTGCGGTTCGGGATCGACATTGATCCAAGCCGTAAAGCCGTCGCGGCGGCTGCGGGTCGTGTGGCACAGCTCCTTGACGAGACGACGCACACCGGGGATCTTGAGACTCGTGCCAACCACGATTACAGCGTCGGCGCCGCGGCGCAGATCCGCTTTCGACACCATGCCAATCGCCTCCTCGTCGGGGTTGTACTCGTTGTACAGAACAATGCGGGGGCGCAGACGCCCAATACCGTGGCTGCGCTTGCCGGCAACCGCTGTGCGCACCTCGTCCATAACAGTGCATTGAGAGCAGGCTGGCGCTTCGGGGCCGTCGAAAAGAGAGCCGTCAAAGTCCTCCAGCTGGCCGCACTTTGAGCAGACCATCTTCGCAAGGCCTCCGTGCAGCTGGACGGTCGTCGGCCACGGGCCCTTGACGTTGAGTGGTACGTTGGTGGCAAGCGGGGGCATCTTTGTGTCGATGCAATCGACGTTTTGTGAATAGAGGCGCATGAGGCGGCCCTCGTGCGCAATGGATGCAAGCATGTGGTGGAAAGGCGTTGGTACGGCCGCATCGGTCATGTGGGCCAATTCGCGGACCATCGAATGGAAGGAGGAGGTAGACGAGTCGTGCTTGTAGACAGAGGCGTCGAAGAGGTGTTTGCCGGAGCCCTTGAGGCCGTGCTGGCCGCGAAGGGTGGTGAAGAGGCCAGTAGATGACCGGAAGTCGGGGACTGTACAAGGGCTTGTTAACATGCATAAAGGGGGGAGAACAACAAGGACGGTCGCAAAGCCACATACTTCCTGCAGAGACGGAAATGCCAGCGCCAGCAATGACAACAATCTTCTTCTTTTTGCGGAGTGCCCGAATGAGGTATCCCAGTTCCTCTTCGCAGGCGTCGGAGCCAGCCATACCATTGAGGTCGAGATGCCGCGTCATTCGTGGGCGCTTCGGAGGGGGCTGCACGCGCCGCCTCTTCGCAGGCGGTGGCCCGTCGCCATCGCCATCGCCATCGCCATCGCGGTCCATTTTGCGAGGAGACGCACCGCCCGACTGTGATGTTGCGCTTGGCGACGGATACCGCTTAGACGGGTCCAAGGCAAGCAAGGAGGGCGACGAAGGCGGTGATGGGGTCTTTGAGAACTCGGAGAGCGGCGATGATGGCGGTGATGACGTCTCACGAGGCGGGCGAAGGGTCGGTGGTGATGCCGGCGACGACGCCGGAGAGGCTATTAAGTTGTCCATGGCGGCTGGGGATGTGTGCGGAACATACGAAAAGGAGGTCACGAGAAGCTGGTGGAGGATGGGGAAGGAGGAAGCGAGAAGCACGTCGAAACGAGCAGGAGCGGCTGCCTTCAACAATCGGAAGAAGGAAAGCGCGAGGGACAGGGAAATGAGCCTGGCTAGGGAGGAGGGAGCGAAGACGAGCGATATGGATAAAAGCGTAGGAGAAAGGGGAATAGTAGGTAGTGGCAAGGAGCGAATGGCCCAAAGAGGGCCAAATAGAAACGAAAAGCACAACTGAGTGGGAAAACGGCTGGTTTATGTCATGATTCAATGCGTTTTTGTTCTGCGTGCGGCGGTTGGGTTTCTGCAGATTTTTAGCCTGGTTCCTTCTGTTCTCGATCGTCGTGATTTGGTTGGTCGTCGTTTCCTGTTTTGTCGACGTTTGGGAGGAAATGAGAGGAAAGGGGGAGAAATTGAGGAAGCGACGGGAGAAAGTGTGAGGAAAGAGCGGGCGAGGTAAGATATTTGACAGAAAGGGCGATGGGCGAGGCCTGCAACGTGCGAGAAAAAGTGAGAGAAACGGGGTCAAAGAACGGGCCCGACCAAGAGCCAAAAATGCGGCCAATGCGGATGAGAACGACCAAAATCAAGACGTGCGAAGAGGACGACGAAAAGGGTCACGCCAGAAAGACGTGCGGCTCGCGGCAGAGAGTAAGATACCGTAGCGGCAGGGGCGGACGGCGGGGGAACGACTGGGAAAGAGCACGCACTAGACAAACAATAACAATGGGGAAGGGCAAAATAAACGGAGCAAAACAACAACGATCTCCTGGCAGGAACGAGCCAGCGATGGAGATGGCAAAAGAGGCGGAGACTGTGCAAGGCAAGCGTGGGTTTTCTGGGACCAGGTTCCGTTGCCCTGCCGTGTCTGAATTTACAAGAATCTGTTGCTTTCTGATGTTTCCTTCTCGAGCATCTATGCACATAATAGCATGGCATTATGGCTCTCTTGTCCTCGATGAGTTGCGTCTATGTTGCCCGGCCGTCCTTCTGCTGGGTTTCCGGATTGGCCTCCTTTTGACGTCGTTAGCGCGGCGGTTGTATGTCCCTTTCGCCTACGAAGTATTCTTCTCGGAAGTAGCGTTGTCGTGCGACATGCGAGCACTCCTGATATCATCCGATCGGCTAAGTGAATAGTGAATAATCCGCTACAAGCCGCCTACAAGCCGCCTACAAGCCGCAATACGGTCATCCTCACACAGATCCTCTCTGGAATAATTCGTCAAGTCTCATCAACAGCCAGGAACATGTAATACCATCATCGTCACACCAAATCGTCTCGAGCGAGGGTCTATTATTCGGTATTCTTTTGTCGTATGTTCGAAACCGCTGACTGGAGCTGCATCAAAACGTTCAACTCGAACCTGCGCTTACGGCTTGCTTCCATTGTCTTGCCTCGTGGTCCTGTCGATTTTGGGTGCGTGTCTTTGGTGGCCGCGCCGAAATGCGCTGTGATTCGCTGCAGTGCAAACGCCCACTGGCCCGCAGTTTGCGTTGCTTCGGAGACAAAGGTGGGAGTGGGGATCTGCACCCAGAAGGAGTGGTGGGTGGCAGCGGCTGGCCCCACTTTCCATTCTTTCGTCAGCCGTGCGTGCAGGGCTGAGGGTTGGACACACCTGCCCAAAACAGGCGACACAGCAAGCGACCAGTGTCAGCCAATGGCATGTGCGGTGTTCGAGTCGTAGATGTCGTTGTGGCTCGTGGCGGATCAGCCACATCGTGCTGTATAACTCCAGTCTCCGCCAAATGGCAGGTGCGGCCTCCACAGTGCACAGAGCTACCCTGACGTCTGTTCAAGCTTAAGCTTTCTCTGGCGACAACTTCGACGACACCCAGGCGCCCACATGCATTTCGGGACCCAGCGAACCGCCACGGCACTCCAATAGACGCCATTGGGGATCATCGTGAGCGCCTCTTCGCTGTATCCAAACAATTCAAGGGCTGTCTCAGTGTCGCAGGTTAGCGTCCGCCAAACAGATCGCCAAACGGAGAGAAGCAGCTAATCCCCTGTCGCATCGGCTTTCCAGCATTGCGTTGCGCCGAGTCACGCTTTACATACACTTCCTGTTGCATACGTATTTCGTTGTCTTTTTCGTTGTCGTCTTCCTTTTTTTTCTTCTTTTTTTGATATCCAACATACCCGACAGTGCGCTCTCGGACCTCAGCATGGCCGAAGACATCCCCCTCATCCTGGATGATGCCATGTCCGGCATCGCAGGCATGTCGGGCGACGTTCCGGTCGGCCTCGGCGATGTCGATGTTGACGATGTCGACTTGTTTGGTGGTCCTGTAGATCTGTCTTTGCCGTCGCATCGGCCACCATCGAAGCAGCTCCAGCTTCGCATCGACGAGCAGCGTATTCGGGGATGCAACCAGTATGTATTTCCTCGATCATCACGGGGCGTTAGGACACCGCTGACATGTTAGGCGAATTGCTTGGTCGAAACAAGGCACCATTGCAAGCATTGGTGCCGACGGCCAGTCCATCGAACTTCGGTACTTGCGAACCGATGCTGAGGATGCGTCCTGGGCCCTTAGCGAGGCCACTTCGTATGCACAGTTCAGTTCGAGCAATACGCAAACCACGTTTGCGGGCGGTCCCATCGTTCATCTTGCCTGGGCCGCGACAGGCCATTCGGAGCTCGCCGTCATTGACTCCGTCGGTCGCGTGAGCATACTTGCTTTCTCTACCAGCTTGAACAAGCCATTTGCTCTGCGGTCATGGGAAGCCGATCCAGTCGATGACCTGCACGCCGTGGTCGGATGCTACTGGCTGCCCATTGTGCCCGCCAACAAACAGGTGAGCTGTGTGGTACCCCTTTTTTATTTTTATTCATGTTGATCATCGACGCTGACAGCGCCTCAGTACAATGTCATCTACGGACCAGCCGTCCGAGAGGAGAGCGGCTACCGCTACGAGACAACGCTCGTCCATGCGTCCGGACCGTACCACCCAAACCCGAACAAGAGTGCCCTGCTTTGCGTCACAGTCAGCGGTACTCTGCGGCTCCTTTTCTCCCAGAATAGCAATCTGGTCCAAGACACAAGCATTGAGCTGGAAAACATCACATCCTCCGACGACCTGACATCTCATGCTTCTATATGCACGGACAAGAGTAAGCGGCGAACACTCTATCCCACCACGATGGGCCAAGACTGACCATGAGACACTGAATAGACATGCTGTTGATTGCCATGGTCACGGCCTCGCGCCAGCTAAAGGTCGTACGAGCCGCTATCGGCTGGAACCAGTCACAACAGGACAAACAGGCACCACTCCAGAGCCAGCAGTTGAACCCTATGCTGCAGCACAAGCCAACAGCCGTTACAACCTGGCTACAGCATAGTGGCGGGGAGTCACAGCTCGACATCTCATCAGACCTGGTATCACACGTCGAGATGCTACCTTCGGCTCTTCCCACTGGTGCCAACCAGTGGTCGCAGCCACTTGTTATAGTTGTCCGCGAATACCTCCCCACGCAAAGTACGGCCAGCTATCACCCAGAGCCGCAGAGCATCGTCGACCGATGGGAGCTAGTCACCGAGTCACCACCGCAACCACTGCACCCGGCCTTCGAACAGCTGGGCTTCAAGCCGACCCAGAGCATCCCACAAACCGGCAGCCAAGCTCACACACGGCTGAACAAGCTGCCGCCCGTTATCATCAACAAGCTTATCATCTCTATCCAGAATCTGCACCACGGCCGGGTTGTCTGCTTCTTCTTCAGTGACGGAACACTACAATACCGTGACCGGTTTACCTTTGAGGAGGTCTTCAACGAGCCCAACCCAGCAAGGATCGCGTCGCTTCAGCATGCCGGCTTCCAGTTCTCAGACCCTACGCCTTGCCTTGCTGCCGTCCTGTCGCCCACAAACTGCTCTTTTGCGCAGGTGTGTGAGGACGGCAAGGTGAAGTGGAACAATCTCAAGTACACAGGGCCGGATCTTGCACCGACAGGCCCGGACCGTGAGTTATACCAAACGTGTTTCAAGTTGCGATTATGTATCCATGGGAAGCAACATTGACACGATACAGCAAACTACGCTGCTATAGTTGCCGGTCTCACGACGGCCGTTTCTACCTCGTCTGCCAATATCATCTCGTACGACGACATACTCGCAACAGCTCGCCAGTTCATCAACCGTCCAAGTATGCGTCCCGGGAGCGCTCACTATTCATTGTACCGACGACACGACACCCGTTCGCTAACCACGTTGCGTAACAGGATTTGCCTACGAGTGGATGATGGAGATTGTGCGCATATTGAAGATCAACGTGGACTACTCGGAGGATGCTCACCACGACCAGTTGGTCAGAAACAATTCGCTGCATCTCTGTCTGAGTATCCTCAACCACCTCGGCTTCCGCGGCGAGTTCAAGCCGCGGTCGTTCTACGGGAAGTTCTCCATGTTGGCGCTTAACATGCGCAACATTGTCATCTTGATCACCATCTCCAGCAACGCACCAAGCAACCTCAAGGTAAACCCGCTTGATGAGCCAGGTATGATATGGATAGCCCCTTTCTTCCCAGAGTTCTGTCATGTGCTCGTGATCTGATACATGTAGATGTCGTCGATGCGCTCGCTGGCTGCGCGAAATGGGCGGTTGACTTCCTTGCTTACACGTGCGACTGCATCTTTAACCTGTTGGACGACCCCAAGTTCCTGTCTTTCCTGACGGGGAACAACTTCAACGAAATGGTCCCTTATCTCCTTGAAAAGAACGAGATTGCCCTGCACCTCATTCTTTGCTCGTCCACCAGAGGCTTCCTCTCTGCTGCTTGCCGCCGCCTGCTGCACCTGGACTCGATATCGTCCCGGGCCACCAAGTTCTATGAGCAGCAACAGCAAACGCCCACGGGCGCCGCAAACGGGAACTCGTCCCTCCGCCCTGCCCTCATCATGGCGTATCAAAAGATGCAACAGTACACGTCCTCCAGTCTGATCAAGGTCCAGGAGTTTGACAAACTTCTGTGGGCCCTGGGTGAGGACATTCGCCACACGTACCAATCCACGGCAGCCGCCCAGAGCGGTGCCGCAGCGAAGAACCGGGGACAGAACCAGGGACAGAACCAGGCCACGGACAATGCAGCAAAGCGATTCCAGGCCCACTGCGAATTGACTCTGCTGCTCGCTAACAACCCGCCCGCGCATTTCCAGCCGCTACTACGCAAGTTCTTCAATACCAACGTGCGTCAGTTCCGGACGCTCACGGACCCTGCAAAACTGTATTTTGCAGACTATAGCATTCTTGACGTCGAGGACGACTACCGTAGTCTGCAAGAGAAGCGGGCGCGCCATACCCACATTGACGTGTTCAAGCGCGTTGAGCTGAAGCCGACGAGCAGCACCAGCGGTGCCAGCGGAAGCAGTGCGGCCAATGCGGCCGGTCATCCGACCACGTTGCCGCCACACTCGGCACCGTCCGAGTACTACCGGCGCTGTGCTCGGTGCACGTCGATTATGGAAGACATCACCGGATCTCGGCCAGGCTATACATTTGTGCTGGCGCAGCAGCGGAAGTGCAGCTGCAGTGGAAACTGGGGCCTGCTTCCACGGAGCGCGTTTGTCGGATAGGACGACAAACAGGAAAAAACAAAATACGTGCTCTGGAAATTGCGCGGCAAGCTGCCTCTCGACGTGTGGGTCAGAGGTGTAGTATTGTCCGCTTTGCAGTTTTGAGGCATTCATGCATTAGATTAGTTGGGAATATTTTATACTATTTTAGAAAGAAAAAAAGGAAGAAAAAAAAGTTAAATTCATGGTTATTGCTAGGTCTGCAGCCATGCTGTGCAAATGCATGGACACGTAGTGAGGCTACTATTTTACTATTTTATTCCGATCAGAGTATCACATACCCCTAGTTATAAAAGGGCAACACGGGCACCACCAGTGTTTCACACCTGTTTATTATTTTTAAGTAAACAATCAAAGAAGTACATAATAAACAGAATGTCACTGAAAGGAAACGCATCAGATAAAAAACAGAGTAGCCCTTGCAAGCACCGCCATTTTCAGCCCATCGAGTGTCGTTGCGACGAGGCTGTCGATACGTCGGGCCGGATTAACGGTTAGTCCGCAGCCTTCCGCGCAGCGCCTCGAACATTGGCCACTGAAATTTACGCGACAGGCAAACCGCCTAAGCTGCAGAGAGCTCCCCCTCCGTCTCCGACTCCATGACCGACGACTTTATTTCCTCTACAGCAACCCTCCTCGACAACAACGCCCTCCATCCACACACACAATGACGTCCACGATTGGTATTCCAATCAAGCTGCTCAATGAGGCCCAGGTATGTTTGGTCTTGCCTCTCCCGTGTCTCCCCGGCTCGGCTATCCTGTCCCGCAAAACTAACCGTCTTGTCCACAGGGCCACATTGTCACGCTCGAGATCACGTCCGGCCAGACCTACCGCGGCCGCCTGCTGGAAGCCGAGGACAACATGAACGTCCAGCTCAAGGACATTACGGTCACGGCACGCGACGGCCGCGTCTCCCACCTCGAACAAGTCTACATCCGCGGCTCCCACGTCCGCTTCTTTATCGTGCCCGACATGCTCCGCAACGCGCCCATGTTCCGCAGTCGTAATGCGCGCGGTCGGGGTGTTGGTCTGGCGCGTGGCCGTGCAACGGTCAGCCGTGCGCGGGCAGGCGGCCGAGGAGGCCGGTAAGGTGTTTTGGCAGCACGTGAGGTGAGGCGAAGCGGGACGCTGCGGAAAGCACAGCACCGACGGGCTGTACATTCCTTGCTACATGTATATGGGGACTTGTGTTTTTCTTTTTAGCGGGATGTTGAAGCTCTTGCATATTTTGCTGTTATTGTTATTTCACGGCGTTCGACATGATACGGACCAAAACGGAAGGGCTATTTAAAATAAGAAATAAATTTACACACCATCGGGCCACGGCCAGAAAGACGAAAAAAAGGAAAGGATGCATCAGAGTCGTGCATTGTCTAATCCGCAGGATGCGCAATGTAGTTTGCTAAAAGTACAAAAAAAAGAATATGCGACATGAAGAACATCATATGGTACAAAACATAATTAAGAGGTGCGGCGAAAGCCCCTGGCCGTACCGTCTACTTCAACTGGGCGAGCTCTTCCTTGGCCTTCTCAACCAGGGCCCGCGCCTTGCGAAGGTCATTCAGCTGCTGCCGCCGGTCCGCGCCGCCCTGGCCGCCCGACACAGCTGCGTCGCGCGCCTCGTCCAGCGCCGTCGCCACGCTCGCCTCCACGGCCCGCACGGCCTTGCGGCCCTCTTCGCGCACTTCGCCCTCCCAAAACGCCCGTGCCGCCTCCCACTTCTTCTGCATGCGGCCCAGGCTCCACACGAGACCGACGGCAGCGATGGCGCCGGCCTCGTAGGCGCCCGACGACGACAAGTACGTCAGCACAGCCAGAGCGGTCGCCAGGCCGGACGTGCCGGCCGTCTGCAAAACAAGACTCTGTGCGAGCGCCTGCAGCGCAGGGACGGTCTCATCCAGCAAGTAGCGGCGAGTAAAGGCAATGTGCGTCGGCCAGTGCGTCCGGGGGCCCGCTGGGGACGCGAGGAGTTCCACGGCGCCTGCCGTGTTCTCGGTGGGCTCCACTGCGACGACGGGGATTGGGTACTGCCCGATGGCGCCGCTGGTTCCCTTTTCCTCTGACGTGCGCAGTCCCGACAGCCGCACAGCCTCGTCGATGCGCCCGGCCAGAAACACCACATCCTGCTCGGCCTGGGGCAGGAACTGCTGCGCCACCAGGCCCGACGACAGCATCGTCACGTCGTCGGCGCGCCAAAACAGCTTCCACCAGCCTAGCTTGCGCCACCGGCGACCAGAAAAGGCCAGGTCCAGCTGCGTCTGCAGCTCAGCGTGCGCTGACTCGGCCCAGTCGGCGAGGCCGGTGTCGAGCGAGGCGAACGCGCGGGCGACGGGCACCTCGGACTGGGACGTGGTGGACGCGCTGACGAGCTTGGCCTCGGCGGTCTGGATGCTGGCGAGCGCGTTGCGGAGGACGGAGGCGACGAGCTGGCGCACGGGCGGCTTAGTGGTGCCGTCGGGGCGGTGCACGGCGCCGTCGCGCAGCCAGCGGCTCAGTTCGGAGACGCCGCCGCGCACCCAGAGCGTCTCGTACGCCTTGGCGTTGGCGACGCTGGCGCGGAAGAGGGCAATGGCCTCGGAGGATGTGGCAATGTCGAACGTTGTAAATGGAAGGCTGGTCGTGTTTGTGGCCGCAGCTTCAGGTACGGGTAGACGCAGGTTGACAGCACCCTTCATCTCGTCTGGGTAGGCACTGAGCGGTAGGTTGGCCACCGCAGCTGCACCCAGTAGGCCGTCGGCGACGACCAGGGCTTGGTGCACGGGCGTCGTGACGGGTGTGAAGCGCAGGCCGTCCTGCGACGTGGGAATCTCAACCTCCGGCACGAGCACCGTCTCTTCAAACGTCTCCGTAGTGCCTTCGAGCGGGTCAGATGTGGCAGACGCCGGTGGTGTTGGGACGGCGAGCGAGGATTCCATGACGAGGAACTCGAGCTGGTTTCCGTTGAGGACGGGCGAGGAAACCTCCATCTCGGTGAGGCCTTCGTCCTTGTCGAAGCGCACGTTTAGTGTTGATGCAGCTGCCGACGCTGCCGAGCCGTTGGCGCCCTCAGCCGCACCCCGTACGCGCACAATCAATGGCTTCTTTGGGTCGTGGTCGGCAAGCTGGGCCTCCCATGCCTGCTCATCCTGCAACGGGTCGGCAAGGACAAGTCGCAGCAGCTGCTTGGCGGACCTGCCTCCCTGGACCGGGGAGGTCGATGCCGCGCCGGTGAGACCGAGAATGGCAACGCGTACGGACTCCTGGCCGGCAGGCTGCTGCAGACTGCGGATGGCCAGCTGGAGGCGTGATATGTTGAGGAGAGCGCCGGCTTCTTGCTGAAGGGCGCCGAGGGTGTCGGCGAGGTCGGCGCGAATCTGTGCCGAGGTTCGCCTGGAGAGCGGTTCGACGGGCGCTTCTTCCACAGCGGGTACAGGCCCCGCGGCTTCTGCAGCTGATACTGCCGTCGCTGTCGATGCGCCTCGCCGTGCTATTGACTGCTGTCTGCCGGCAAGGCGTGCATGTGCTGCTTGAGGTTGGAATGCTGCGCGTTGTTGAAGCGAGCAGAAGAGACACGCCTGTGATGATCGTGTCGCCGCAGGCCGTGCTAGCCGGACTTGTGCTGTGAAGAGAGAATGGCCAGGACCCAGAAGCGGCCGCGGCCGCAGTCGAGGTGGCATCGTGGCGGCGAATTGGGGCCGTTGCGTGTTATGCTGATGTCGAGAGATGGCGAGGCAAAAGACGAGAGGTGCGAAGCTTTTTTTCCGGGCTGCCGATGTTCAGCGTATCAATTACAGCGCACTACGGCGTAGTTACCGCGTTCAGGCCCCGCCAGAGCTACCGTTTTAGGCGCGGCTTTCCCCGATTTCGCCCAACAATTGTCTCCATGGACATCATGGCCGTCGGTGCAACGGCTGCAACAGCTTCAACAAAAATCCAAAATAAATCGTATCCGGCAATCCCTCTGACACGCTTACCTTCCCATCGTCCGTGACTCTCTTGCACCCCATTTTACACGTTGTGCACAGCTGTCTCCTGGGTGTTGCGCAGACACAAAAGTCACACGTGACATTGCCCCACAGTGGCTTGAGCTATCCCCTGGACACATATTAACACGATGTGCTATGGATGCCCCAAACAACGACCACAGCCAACTTCAGCTCCTTTTATCGTCAACACATCAATGCTCAGCAACCGCATGAGAACCTGTTTTTCGTAGACCATGGACGACCTCTCAGGCCTGGACTGGTCCTCCAGCAGCTCGACGAACAAGCAAAACCCCCCCAAACCGACCCTCGCCGCCCAATCAGCGGCCTTTGGTGCCGCCTCGTCCTACGCATCGCTACGACCAACACCGCCACCCGGCGTGGGCTCGGGTTCGGGCCGCAACACACCCCTATCAAATCTCTCGGCGCAAGGATCCGGAGCATCAGCTGGCGTGGGTGCCCGGCAGCTGCCCTCGGCGGCTCAGAAGCCCGGCCAGGACAGCTTCAGCGGCCTGATCAACTTCGGCGCCAACAAGAACCCGGCGAACCTCAGCTTGCGCGAGCAGCAGGAGCGCCTTGACGCGGAGAAGCGACGCAAAGAGGATGAGAAGCGCAAGCAGACACAGGCCAACTATGGCGACGGGCAGTTCTTTGACATCCTGGGCCGTGGCGGCAGCGGCTCGGCGGGCACGTCGCGCACAGGATCGCCTGCGCTGGCACCACCACCGGCCCCGATCTCGCGGGGTGCCTCTCCTTTAAATGGTGGCAGCAGCGGCGACGATGACCTGTTTGCGGCGTTCAATGCCGACACCAAAGTTGACCAGGCCAGCCACTTTCCACCGCCAGCCGCCAACCCATCGGGCAAGTCGACCCCTACGCCCGCTCTTGACCTCAGCAACCCCAGCGCCTGGGGCAAGCCGCCGATAGCGAGCAACGGCACCGGCACCGGAACCGGCACCGCGACACAAAATACTTTGACGTTGGACGACGACGATCCGTTTGGACTGAATCAGCTGCAGGCACGGACGACTGCCCCACCTCCTGCACCGGCGCCGACTTCGGGCGGGGGTGTCGACGACGACGATGATTTCCTCGGCGATCTGGCCAAACCCGTGGACGAAGTGCGGCGGAAGACGGAGGCACAGCGGTGGCAAGAGGCGCAGCAACAGCGGCGACAGAGAGAGCCAGAGCCGGGCAAGCCTATTGAACCTTCCGACTCCGACTCCGACTCTGACTCAGACGTCGGCGGCGGCGGCGGCGGCTTTACAAAGACGGGCGACCCCAAGTTCGACAACGCCGTAGCACAGCTGGTGGATTACGGGTTTAGTGCCGAGGATGCACAAAGGGGCCTCACTGGGAGCGGGCGGGGCTATGACGTGCAAGCGGCCGTGAACTGGCTGCTGGACGACGCACATCGGCAAGCCAAGGAGAAGGCCGGTGTGAAGCAAGGTGGTGGCCGTGGTGGTGCGGATCAGCTGCGGGCCGAGGAGGGCGCCAGCCGCACTTCGAGCCGCAGTCGGAACCAAGGCGGCCCGGCGTGGATGCGCGACGCCGAGGTGGGTGGCCACTCTGGCACGGGCGACGGCCGGTCGCATGCTGCTTCTGTCGATGGCGACTTTGCCAAGACCGCCGCGGCCATGGGAACAAACTTCCTCAAGACGGCCAACTCCTTGTGGAAGACGGGCCAGAAGCAGCTGCAAAAGGCCGTGCAGGACTTCCAACAAGAGGGTGACCCCACCCAGCCCAAGTGGATGCGGTCTGCGGGCCAGGAGCACATGGGCGCACCACACGATGGGGGCGACGCGCGGCGGCGGCATACTGGGACGGCTGCATCGGCCGCCTCGGCCACCGACGAGGCCATGATGCTCGAGTCGGGCGCACGGCCCGAGCGGAGACAGCACAGCTCACGGCCCCCAGCAGCTGGCGCATCCCTGTCCGAGCAGCCACGGTACCGTAACGAGAGCCCGTCGTCCCGGACACAGTCGCCTGCTGGTGGGTTCGCTTCAGGGCCACCAAGCCGGAACAGCCCTGTTCCTCGTTGGCAGCAGCAGAACGCTAGTGCTTCTGACCCGCGAGCACGGCTCACCAAGCAAGCGGTTGAAGAAGAGAGCGCACAAGTCTACGTCAGCCCTGCTCGGCGACGGAAGGCGGCGACGGCGTCTCCGGCCCCTGAGCCCGCCAGCAAACACGTCGACGCCCCGCCCGAAGGCGACCTGCTGTCCAACTCGACTGCTCTGCCACAACGGCCAGCAGCATCCCAACAACGGCCCGCGGGCACGGGCGCGGGCGCGGGCGCGGGCGCTTCTGGCCGCCCAACGCCGCGCGCCACGCCGAGCCCACGGCCACCCAAGGTCGCGCGCCAGGTGCCGGCCGTCAACTCGTTCGTCCTCCAGGCATCGGCCAAGCACCGTGCCGACGGAGCGGCCCACTTCAAGCGGGGAGACTACGCGGCAGCACATGCATCCTACGCGGCGTCGTTGACCGACATTCCGCCGTCGCACCCGCTGCTGGTGGTGCTGTACTGCAACCGCGCGCTGACGGCACTCAAGACGGGCGAGCCGCGGCAGGCCGCGGCCGACGCCGACTCTGCGCTGGCCGTCATTGGCCCCGGCAAGGGCGAGGGCGAGTCGGTCAGCCTCGAAGACGGCACGGGCGCCACGCGTGACCTGCGCGACCTGTACGGCAAAGCCATGACGCGCAAGGCGGAGGCGCTGGAGCAGATGGAGAAGTGGGGCGAGGCCGGGCAGGTGTGGCAGCAGTGCGTGGAGAGCGGCGTGGGCGGTGCGACGGCGATTGCGGGACGGCAACGGTGCCAGACGGCGCTGGCGCCCAAGCCCAAGCCAACTCACAAAGCGGCGGCAGCCGCTGCCGCCTCTGCTGTGTCGCGGCCGGCACGGCCCAGCGCCAGCAGCGCTCTTGGCGGACTGGCAGGGACGGCCACGCCGACGTCGGCGAGCGGCCGCGACTTTGAGGCGGTGCAGCGGCTGCGGGCGGCCAACGAGGCGGCGGCGCGCGAGGACTCGGAGAAGCTGGGGCTGCTGGACCAGGTGGACGCGCGCGTGGCGGCGTGGCGCGACGGCAAAAAGGACAATCTGCGGGCCCTGCTGGGCAGTCTGGAGCGGGTGCTGTGGGAGGGCAGCGGGTGGAAGCCGGTGGGCCTGCACGAGCTGGTGATGCCGAACAAGGTCAAGATTATCTACATGCGGGCGATTGGCAAGACGCACCCGGACAAGTTGCCGCAGGACGCGTCGACGGAGATTCGGATGATTGCGGGGACGGTGTTTGCGACGCTCAACGAGGCCTGGGACAAGTTCAAGGCGGACAACAAGATGTAACAAGATGTCGGGGGAGCGGTGGAGTTGGGACTTTTTTGACGAGCGACATTATGAATTACATGCATGGTTATGGATTCACGGTTTAAGAGAAGATGGAGATGGATTTTTATATTTATTTATTTATTGGAAAGACAAGAAAAAACAAATTACCCGAACACCGAAAAATAAAGACAGACCCTTTCGCTATGCCAAGAAATGTAGCCGTACGCCGTGCGCCTTCCGAGTTGACCGGGTATGGGAGCGGAATGGGTTGTGATGTGCGACGGATATGATGCGACGATGCTTGCAAGACTTCGCTCCACGGTCGCCGCGGCTGGCTCTCAGAGCTCAGAGCCCCAGCATCGACAGCACGTTCGCCCGCACCTTTGCATTGTACTCCTCCCGCCGCTCGCGCCACATCTTGGCGGCCTCGACGTTGGCAGGGCTCTCGTCGTTGGGTTCGGCCAGCATGCTCATAACGCTAATCAGAATCTTCTCGACGCTCTGGACGGGCGACCAGCGCTCGGAGGCTTGCTCGTAGTGGTTGGGGTCGTCGCCGGGCGGGTGCAGAATGGAGATACACACAAGACCGGAGGGATAGACTGGGGGTAAGGGAGCGTCAGCAGAGAGTAACCACTCCCTCGGAGGTAGTTGAAGGTAGTTGTGAAAGGGGGGGGGGGGGGGGGTTCGTACCATTTGGATGCCACACTTCGCAGCCGACAAAGCGCATGGTGGGCGGGACGAGCGGGTAGTCCTTGGGAAACTTGAGCTCGGCCGGGTAGACGCCGCCCTCAAAGGGCGTCCCCTCGGGCCCCTGGATGACGGCCTCCCAGAGCAGCATGTCGTCCTCGGAGACGGGGCCGGCGGTGATGCCTTCAGGAGGGCCATTGGTCAGGGACCGGTACTCCTGGAGCAGGCGGCGGTGGGCGGTGGACGACATGGTGGGCGTGGGACGTGTAGAAGGCAAATGCTCGACTGCGCTCGGTTGTGTCGCAGGTCAAAGGCCGACCGGACGTACTGTTGTGGGTTCGGTGAGGTCGACCGTTGGGTAGCTCGACTTTGGATGTGGATGTTCGGAACAGGTGGACTCAACCCCTCGGACCGGAGCGGTCACGTGTCGATCTACGTCATGTCAGGTACGGCAACTTTGATGTATGCGGAGGTACTTTAAAGTACACTGGCTATTGCGAGTTTGCATAACTGGAGACGAAAATTTAAATGAAAATTAGTGAAACAAGGAGACCATAAAAGAGGATTCGGTGCATCGTATTCATAACTGATTCAGACATACACTTTTTTAAGAAATATTAGACAGGCTGGACACCCAGACCTGTACGAAATAGTACAAAGGTACCTATTAATACGGCGCACAGCACTGAGATTCAGGTACATTGCCCCTAACGCAGCTTTGACAGGCACACAGGCACACCCGCCTGCTAATGCGCATCATCCCGTCTCTTGACACTTTATTTATGTTTGCATCCCCGGCCCAAGGCGTTTCTGCTCGCCACGGAAACCAGGCCGCGCTTCATTTGACAGACACAAGCTTCCCTCAGTTTTGCCTTTTGACTTTTTCAGCCGGTAGATCAGCCGAGCCGTGCCAGCCACCGAATTTATACATTCGATTTTAGCTTTCTATTCTCTTGCGTGTTTTGTTTTGTTTTGTTTTCTTTTTCCCCTTTTGCGATGCCTTTTTCGTCTTTTCTCTGCATGTATCTGTCTGTCTCGTCCCGCGTCGAAATCTGCAAGGCACGGCGCGTGCTGCAGAGTGCGGCGTGCCGTCTCAACCTTCGTGCTGCCGCCGGTGAACAACTGCACTGCACTTCTCGACGTGGATTGGGCAGACACAGATCAAAGTGGCGTGCCTCAGCCAAGGGTCAAAAGTCTTCCACGAAGACACAGAAGGCCTGTCTTTCTTTCATGACAGTCTTTTGACAACCCGCCGACTGCGCAAAGAGTGCCAACTGCACAGCATCGATCCCGAAACGTGTTTCAGGCTAGGGGTCGTGCTGGCACAAAACCAGCCAACGAGAGGAGAGACAGGCGTCACAGAGGGCCAATGAGATGGGCCCAAGGCACAAGGGACAGGGGTATGGCTGGCCAGTTGATGCAGGCCCCCCTTTGATCGCTTGGGACTTCTTGGAAGTTCTTGGGACTCTTGGGGGCAATCTCATCGAACTTGGCCCTTTTGTCGCATTCTTGCTGTCTTTTCATCGCCAACCTGACGGAGTTCCTTGGTTCTTTAGCTTCTTTTTACTTGGTTTTTGGGCAACCTCACCTCCCCTTGCTCTGCGTCTGTCCACTCACCGAACAAGGGATACCTGAGCAGCGTCGTCTATTCTGCCTCCAACAGGGTACTCTGAACTGCGGCGTAAAAACTGCGTACGATGTACACAACCGACAATCCCCTCCACTCTCTGGAATGTGGCAGAACGCCCCTCCCGCTGTCATTACGTCGGCGGCCGTAAGCTTCGTGAATGCTGGGCTTGCCTTGTGCCTCTCGGCCAGCTGGGCAGATTATCTACAGTTCTGTCGAGTAGACCCTTCATGTGTGACAGGCCCTTGGCACCGCCGTCTGTTTCACGCGTCAGGCTAGAAAAAAACCTGGTGGTGACCCCAGGAGCGAGGGAATTTCAACGGGGAAACATGCGTTGTCTTTCTATTCCTTCTTTATGCTCACTTCGTTTCCCGTCTACACGACCTTGACAAACGTGACTCAGGAGCAGTGACGACGGACAGGGACAGCGAATGAAGCCGAACTGGGAGATTGGTCCTTCTGTCGTGCAAGGTTGGACAAACCACGCTCGCCAACGGGATGTGAGAGACACGCATGAGATGGGATGTCAGCACCGTGGCTCGTCCGATGTGTTTCTTTCCGTGTTCCTCTCAGAGACATTCTATCTGACGGTTTGCGAGTCTCTGACAACAATACGCGAGGAGGGTCAAGGATCAAATGGGAGGCATCGTGAGGCTTGACGGTCTTTCTCTCGTCAAACGGCCTGCATTCTTCGCCCACGGCTCCTTCGCTCATCTCTTTGCCTTTTTGCCTTTTCATCCGCAAAGTTCGGCCCGCCCTGGCTACTGGGAACCCTGGAACCACTTGTAAATCTAGGATCGATCTTCTGCGGCTCGAGGTGAAGGACAGGGCGAAGTCCGTCGATCCACCTTTTTAACAAGAGGAATCCGTCGATCCTGAGCTCCTATTTAGGGAGAGAAAAGAGAGTGAAAGACGAGACGACAAAGCGCGTTTCTGCCAGCGCACTTTGTTTTCTATGTCGTTGCCGTCGCCATCCAAATAGAGTTTCTTCCGGCACTTGTATCGTATTTCACGTCCTCTTTCGCCCTACCCCGGGATCGAGCATGAAATCTGCAACCTCACGATGGAGGCGCACAGACCGTCCACGATACAAAAAAAGGAACAAGAGACAAAAGACAACAGGCAAAAGCCACAAAGTGCGCAACCCAAAGTCTGAGCAAAGAATAGAGTTGCGAGCCGCAACGAGTCCAAAGCATTGCAAAGCTCAGCCACCAGATCTCTCCATCACCCACCCACAGACCTTCTCTTCCTTTCTCTTGATCCCTCGCTCGTGTTGTCCCAGGGGACACACCCCTGTCCCTCTCTGTACCCTAACCAGCCCCTGACAGGCACTAACCACTAACACGACACACGCAACCCCTTGGCTCTCTGTTCCTTAATCTATTGCTTGTGTGAGGTGAAGCCAGCCAGCGCTTGACCCACGCTTGACTCTTGCCTTTTATCCCCTCGTCTCTCCCCGTTCCCACGATAGGACGAGCGTCTGTGTTGCGTCAGTCATTGCACCGAACTGAGTGTCCCCGTCGGGGATCTGTAAGACTCGTGGTGTAGCGTGTAAATGGATGCAAAATATTCTGTAGTGGCGTTGCGGTTGTCAGTTGCTTCCAGAGTGTGTGTGTCTTGTCTCTCCACACTCCCCCCAGTCTCTCCCGTTTCGTCTGCGGTCCTGAGGTCCTCCCTTTCTCGTTTGCTTCCTTGTCACCACCCTCGTTGTCGTCCGTTCCCTTTTGTTCTTGACCTCCGCCTTCTTTTTTCTCTCTTTGAAGCCTTTCCTTCTGCACCCTTTGCCCACCCTCTTTTCGTCTTCTTCGCCGCGTGCACTCGCTCGCTGGTTGATGCTTTTTTTTGATACTGCCCTTGACATCTCAACATCTTCACTTCGACTTCCACTCTTTTTTTTTGGTATTCTCGGACGCTCATTGTCAGCAGCGACTGTACGACGTGCCGCCTTCATACTGTCCTCCCGCTCATTGTCTGCTTCGTCGTGTCGATCGCATTCGTTTTTTACCGCATCGTCTTTCACTTGATTCTCTCCTTTCAGCTCTACAACGCGATATCGACTATCGCCAATCTACGACTTCAGATAAAGTGTATCCCCATTTGGCAGGAACCTCTACCTTCTCGATCAGGAAGCTACAATCTTCGCGGCCCCGTCACGACGGCATCGTACCTTCCACGGCTGTCCGACTGTTCGACTGTACTTTCCTTATACGGAAATTCGAAACTCGCCTTCCAAAAACATCACCAGTTCGATCCAGGACCTCCTTTTTTTCTCCCAACGATACCGACAATGGTCAGCCCACGGGTCTCGATTCTCGTGGCTGCGGCCATCACGCCGGCCCTGGCCTTTTGGCGCATGGAGTGCCGCGGCGTGGCCGGCAACGCCCGCATCGACCCCCTCATATCCCCCGGTGGGCCGTCCTCACACCTGCACGCCATCATGGGCTCCGGTGGCTTCGGCGAGTCCGCCACGTATGCCGACATCACGGCCAGCGACTGCACGTCGTGCCTGGTGACCGAGGACAAGTCGTCGTACTGGCACCCGGCCCTGTACTTCCTGGACACGACCACCCACCAGTACGAGCTCGTCGAGCAGGTCGGCGGCACGCTCGCCTACTACCTGCTCAACACGGGCAACGGCAACAACAACATCACCGCCTTTCCCAAGGACTTCCGCATGATTGCCGGCGACAACCAACGCCGCGCCTTCACGGCCGGCAACGTCGAGATGGCCGACCCGCCCAAGTCCAACTGGGCGGCGCTCAACCAGACGAGCCAGGACAAGCTCGCCCAGCGCGCCCTCGGCTTCAACTGCCTCGACTACAGCACCTCGCCCGAGGCGTCGCTGTACCGCCATTTCTTCCCCGACAAGAAGTTCTTGGACACCAACTGCCCCGACGGCATCCGCTTTGAGCTCATGTTCCCGTCGTGCTGGAACGGCAAGGACGTGGACTCGGCCAACCACCGGTCGCACGTGGCCTACCCGGACCTGGTGATGGCGGGCGACTGCCCCGACGACTTCCCCGTGCGACTGCCGAGTCTGTTTTACGAGACCATCTGGAACACGGCGGCCTACATTGGCCGCACCGGCCAGTTTGTCATTTCCAACGGCGATGTGCAAGGTAAGCAAGCAGCCTTGTATAGCCCTTGTATACCAACTCCGATCCCACGTCCACCGCCCCTAACAGTCTAGGCTTTTCGTACCATGGCGACTTCATGACCGGCTGGGACGTCGCTTTCCTCCAGGAAGCCGTCAACACCTGCACGAATCCCTCGGGCGAGATCTCGGACTGCCCGCTGTTCACCATCCAGTCCCTGTCCGACGCCCAGGCCTGCAAGATCAAGATTCCCGACAATGTGGCCAGCGACAACACCGCCGGCCCCGCCGCTAGCCTGCCGGGCAACGTCGCGCCGTTTGGCAACTTCATGGACGTCACCATGCTCAACACATACGACCCCGCGCTGTCGTTCCAGCCTACGTCGACGCTGGGCCTCGACGGTGGTTTCGGGGCGGGCAGCGTCGTGGCCCAGGCGGCTAACCCCACAGGCGCCGCTGCCGGTGCGCCAGTGCCCTCGTCGCCACCTAATGCGGCCGCAACCACAGCCGTCAACGCGCAGGTCGCGGCCAACATCCACTCGGACCACGTGCTTGCCTCGTCGCCTGCGCCCCCGCCGCCCTCGCCCTCGCCCTCGACGCCCAGCAGTGTGACGGCCCCGCCGCCCAGCACGCTGAGCAGCGACACACACACCAACGTGGTCAGCACGCAGTACATTACCAATGGCAACATGGTGACCGAGATTCTGTGGGAGGAGACGGTTGTCTATGTCACAGAGGACCCGGAGACGGTGGTGACGACAGTCACGACGACGCCGGCCGCTGCGGTGAAGCCGCGCGTCCACAACCACATGCGCCGCCACCGAAAGCACCGGTGGTAGTTGGCGGGTGTCGTGGAGTACGGGCAGCAAAAAAAGCTGAGGCGGTTTGCTGTTGGAGTCGAATTTGTGGTCGACAGGTCGACATTGTTTTTATCATTTCTCCTTTTCTTTCTTTTCTTGGTTTATATTTCGCAATCTTTCGCCGCTGTGCGTTCGCTTCTCGTCCCTCCTTCCATCTAGTTTTGGTACTCTGGTACTTTGGTTACCGTTTTACCTCTCTTACTTTTATCTTATGTCTTTGAACTCCTCTGTCGTCTCATCATTTGTATTGATGTTTGTTTGTCATTGCATGGTTTTGTCATTGCATGGTATCGCAGATGCCGTTGTCGACCGGGGTGGAGGAAATAGGGCGTTGCTTGTACGAGATACCATACTTTTTCCAATTTTGAATTGTTTTGAATATTTTTGGATATTTTCGACTTTGCTCAGTTGCTTCCTTCGTTGATTCAAAGAGCACACCATTATCTGACGTGGACCACAGGCTTGCCTAGCAGAGATGATCCGACCGTGTTGCGAAATTGCCGTCTACCGTTCGCCCATTCCACGAGGATGACAGCACCAAAACAGTGCATTTAGTTGTGTCCAACTCAAATTGCGCTATCCTCACTGCATCGCGACTTACACCGAAAGTGGCAATTTTGGCAACCCCAATCGCAAATGTCATCTGTCACGACCAGCATCGCCCAGCTCCCTCGGGCACAAAAAATCGGGACGAACTGAGAGCTCATGGAATGTCATATGGCCCCACAGCAGCACAAAGTCGTCGAACCCATCTCCCGAAGGTCCGTTGTCTGCCACTGCGCAAGGTTGGAATGCCGTCCCTTTGTCGTCCCCAACAACACATTCCAGCGTATGTTTGGCTGTCAAGGCGGCAAAGCCGGCCATGTCGTCTCAACGAAGTCGTTATCTAATGCCAATTCTCATAGTTTTTGTTTGCCCGATGGCCCAGCCAGCCGTTCTTTTTTTATGTTTTTTTTGTCTTTTTCCTTCCTCATCCCTTTCGCCCATCGTCGACAATCGCATCGCCAACTTGTCCCGAGCAAAACGCATCCATTTTGCAGTCGACCTCGCCATCGACCTCGCCATCGACTTCGACACCAACATCGTCACCGACGCCGACCTCGCCAATACAGCCATCGGACCACCTCATCCACCGCCTTTCAAACACCATTCGCCGGCATGTTCTGAGGCACTTCACTCGTTTTTGTTCTCTTTCTTTCTGTTTTGTTTTCTGCCATCTGATCTTCCGATCAACAGTCCTCTCGTTTCACTTGTTCTTCGTTTGTAATTCACATTGTCACACAACACTTCACCATGCCCACATTGCTCGCGAGAAATGGTGCCGGCACGGCCGGAGCTATCAGTGGTGGTCCCGTCATCAGTCTCGGGGTCATCATTGCCATCGTGATCATCGGGACCGGAATCGTGGCAGTGGCCAGCGGTCTGCTGTGCACATGGGCTGCCCGGCGGAAGCGTCATAAGCGCCGCCAGTCCCGCCGCATGGAAGAGGAGGAGGCCCGCAAGAAGCAGATGATGACCGTCACCATGATGCGGGACAGCGACGAGGACGGCCGACCGGCAGATGGCCAGCCGGTGGCCGGCGACGCCGCAGCCACGGCGGCGGCGGCGGCAGCTGCCAACTATTTCCGCCCAGGCGGCGCGCCCGTCTCGGACTGTGCCTCGAGCACGTGCTGCTCGCTGGCTTCCACGCGCGACTCGTTCTCGACCATGGACGGGGACTTTGAGGGCGCCGGCTTGGTCTGGTGGTGGATGTGGCGCTGGCGGCGCTTCTGGCACAACCAGCGCCGCTGGGTCCGCCGCCAGAGGCAGCGGGTCCCGGCCGTCCTGGGCCGCACGGGCAGCAACAGCAGCGGCGGCTCGCAGGGCGGCGGCAACGAGATCAAGCTCCAGAGCCAGCGCAACCACTGCCTGCACAACCACGGCCACCACGGCCACCACCACCATCGTCGGGGTACGGCTGACGGTTCGCCGCGGAAGCTGCGTCGACGCCGGCCCGAGACATCCATTATTGCCTCGACCAACTCGCTCTTCTTCCCCAGTTTCGCGGGCGAGAACGACAACAACGGCAATGCCATTGCCAGCAACGCCGCCAGCGGCGAGATTGGTCTGCGCGAGCCGCCGCCGACGTTCTCCGTCATCCGCGCCAACTCGTTCCCGCAGCGCCCGCCACCGCCCTCGGAGCAGCAGCGTCTGCTCGCGCCAAGCAACCAGCCGCCGTCCAACATGTCCGGCCACAACGGCCCCTGGTTTGCAAACAACGTCAGCGGAAGCGGCAGCCCCAACCGGTCCTCCATGCCCAACATGCCGCCGCGCCCGCAGAACCCCCGCTACCGCCCGCAACAGCCGCCCAACCCGAACCAGCAGCGTCAGCAGCAGCACCAGCAGGGTCCGTCTCTGCAGCCGCCGCCGCCCATCTCGACCCGGACTCTGCCTCGCCCGCCGCAGCCTGCCCTGATCATCCCACGCCAGCCGGAGACGTACATTCCGCCCGGTGTTCCCTTCCATCCCAGCATGCCCGCGCAGCAGCAGCACCAGATGATGGTCATGATGATGCAGCAGCAGCAGGTACAGCTCCAGCAGCAGATCCGTCAACAGCACATGCAGCAGCAGCAACAAAACCGTCTGTCTCGTTCCGGCAGCAAACACGCGTCCCAGCCAAACTATGCGACGGAGGCCGCCCTGACCGAGATTCTGCGCTCTACGGAGCAGCGTCTGGAGCAGCTGCAGGGCCAGCAGCAGCTCGGCAACCTGGGCTCTCTAAAGCGCGCATCGATGACTGGACCGGCCAAGACGACAGACACCGCTGTAGCGACTGCGATGTCGACTGCGACGGCGACGTCGACTGCTGCGGCTGACGCCGATAATGAGTCGATCAAGCGTGCCTCGCAGACCTCGGGCTCAGACGCCGACAGCATGGTGGCCGCGCGCAAAACCTCGCGGGATGGCGAGCATGGCAAGGACGCCCGCGACAGCAGCCCCATCCTGGACGCCATTCCCACGGCCCTGTCCAGCCCCAGCAAGAGCCCCAACAAGAACCGCGTCGCCGCCGGCACACTCACCCAGGCGGCAGGCGGCAGCAGCAGCGTCATGGCACACCCCATGATGCTTCCAGCTCCCGCTGTGCACCTGCCCGCCCCAACCCCATCCAATCTCTCCAACTCGTCTCCCGAGACGCGTTCGCCGTCTTCCGCGTACTCGTCCGCGGCCTCGTCTCGCTCGTCGCTCTCGACCGTCTACAGTGTCGACGAGCGGTCTGACAAGGGCACCGTGGCGAGCAGGGCCACGTCCAAGGGCGGCGTGCGTATTGCCAACAACGGTGACGACGACGGCGACGACGACAATGACACCCGGAACGACCACATCCTGGCCGGCCTGGGCATCACGTTGACGGCCGACAGCCAGCTGTTCGCGGCCGAGAAGGATCTGGAGCGCGTTCAGGTGTCCCATGCCGTCGTGCCTGGCAGCACTGACGACACCACGCTGGTCCCGGCGGCTCTGTCGACGCCCAAGTCCCGGGCATCGCGTGGTATGTCTGTGACGGCCGCGGCTGCTCCTGATCTGCCACCACGGTCACCCAAGCGGTCGGCCGGCACCATAAAGAAGGCCAACGGCATCATGATCCCGCACAGCTCGAGCGGCAACAACCTTGGCAGCATGATGAGCGCCAACACCAACACCAACTCCCGCAACGGCGCCAACCAGGGCCGCAGCCGCCACCGCCGCAACGGCAGCGTTTGGCAGCAGGCACCGTCCCCGCAGCAGGCGCAGCAGTCCGGTTACAATATGATGCACAGCAACAGCCTGCGTTTCACCTTTGGCGGACCGCACAATATGAACGGCGCCAACAGCGACAACGATGACGGGCCAGCCACGGCCTCGCAGGTTGTGCACCGGATGGCGACGAGCCCCAGCAAGCGTAGTGCGAATAACGGCACCAGCACAAGCAGCAACAACAGCAATGCCTCCGCTGCCGACCCCAGCGACGAAAAGACGCCATCATCTGCCGTCAGCATTATACCGCCGTCGTCGCCCACCGCCTGGCGCAAGTCCGCCGACCGCTCGCTGCTGCAGAGCTCGCCGACCCTGGCGCCCGAGGACGAGCACTCGCTCGTGCCCCGCCATGCGAACCCGCGCACCAGCTGGGGCAGTGGTGGCCCACCGCCCAACCCGCCCCGGCACCGCCGCCGCTCGCTCAACGAGCGCATCGAGGCGCTGCAGGCCATCGAGAGCGAGGAAGCCCAGTTCCGCCGCGCCGTGCGGCCCCTGCCACGGCCGCCGTCGTTTGGCAGCCTGAGCAACCTGACCGCACTCAATGCCCTGAGCCAGCAGATGGCGCAGAACCCGCACGGCTCGTACAGCTTGCAGACGTCGAAAGGTTCGCAGAAGAACCATAACAGCGGCAGTAATAACAATAACAACAACAACAACATGACCGTCATTTCTGCCGCCGCCGAGCTGCGCCGCATGAACAGCACCGCCTACAGCGAGGCTTCCAGCTGTTACAGCAACGCCACCTCGGCCATCGGCCGCTCGCCCGCTTTGGGCAGCCTGCCCTCGTCGGCTGTGCACATCGCCACGACCGCCTCAGCCATGGGTCTGACCCAGCCGCGCCGCGTCGCGCGCCGCCGCAACAGCAGTGCCGGCGAGTCCGCCAGTGGCATGGCCAACCGCAGCAGCGCCGTGGGCAGCCGGCAGTACCTGGCGCTCGGCAAGAAGCGGCTGTCGCAGGTGCCGAGCCACAGCGGTGGCGGCTACGACAAGGAGAACCGTGATGCCGTGTCGAAGCGCAGCTCGGCTCCGCCGGCTGCGTCGTCGTTTTCCTCCTCCTCCTCCTCGTCGTCGTCGTCGTCGTCGTCGTCATCGTCTGGAACCGGCGGCGTCTCCTCGCGCCCTCCGCCCCAGCGCACACGTTCGGCCCGCTCCATAACCACGACCGGCACGGTCCTGCGCCGCGTCGACGAGAACCCGGCATCGGGCTCGACGACGCCGTCGTCGGGCACCCCCAACAAGACCGGCGGCGCCCTCACGCCCTCGGCCACCGCAGGCTCCAACCTCGGCGTCGTCGCCGCCAACAACGCCAACGCCAATCCTTCGACGCCCAAGGCCAACACAGGCCGTCCGCTGCGCAAGTCGCCGAGCCGCTCGACCCAGGTCGGCACCGCGGCGCTGCCGGCAAACGGCAGCCCTGTGAGCAAGCTGCGGGCCCGGTCGGCCATGGGCCCGAGTACGCCGCCGAGCGTGCGGAGCATGCGGCAGCAGGCAGCAGGGAGCCGGGACAGCCTGGGCCTGTACGACCAGGACGGCTTCCTGCTGAGCTCGCCGGCACGCAAGGCGTAGGGTGAGATGTGAAGAGGAGAGGCAAAAGAGGACGCAACATAATGGGCGTAATACGGAGGAGGGAGCATTGTGTTGGAAACCATATTGTCCTTGGACAATGCGCATTCTTTTTCTTTATATCTATCTTACTGCATCCAATCATTTCGTTTTGGTTCATGTTTGGAATACTTGTTTCCTCTTACTCTCATTCTTTCTCTTATATATTTCATACTTTTATATTTCCTTTCGTCTATATTACTACGCACGGGGTCTTACCCTTTCATAGGTGTTTTCTTTCTTTATAGTGCAGCTTTGAATATTATCTTCATATTCCCCGTCCACTACTTAAAAAAGAATGGGATTCATATTTGCACGGAAGAGTACGTTATTCATATGACCGTATATTCCATACCCTGATGTGGTTGGTCTGCCAATTGTAAATTGTCGTTGTTGGCAATTTTATTTTATTATTGTTATTATTTTCATTACTTGTTTCTTTTATTCTTCCTTTTTTTTATTACGTATCGAACTACTCGTATATTTATTTTCATTGTATATTCCCAGCAAGGTATCGTAGTAACGGCGTTTATTTTATGTTCATGCTTCGTTTCACGTCGAGTTTAAAACGAAAAGTACCTGTGCTTACTATTCCTCGTGCGCTCCCGCCACTACTAAATCCGCAACAATAGCACTGTCAACTGCGTCTTCCTTGTCACACGGGCGCCTCTCAAATCACTTGCACTCACCCACCTTCCACTTCAAAAACGCGATACAGAGCTCGCCTAGCAGAGAACGCGGTTCGATCTGGGGTCGTGCGCCGCTCGCTGCGTCTCTCTGCGCACCATCGTTGCGCAATCGTACCACCCTCCACTTTTGCCCCTCATTCCCGTGTTTCGCGGCCACCCTTTTATCCCCCCCCCCCTCTTACAATGGCTCCTCTTCCGCCGCCGCCCAAGGTCGTCGTCTACCACCAGACACACCATACCCGCGACGGGCAGCGGCCCATTTCCATTTTGCCACTGCTCGGCCGCGACGATGGCGCCGGCTCTGGCCGACCCTCGGCTACGCACATTGTCGTCGCCGCCGTGCACATCAATGGTGCCGACGGCAACAAGCCGATTACGCTCAACGACCACGCGCCGGACCACGCGCGGTTTGACGTGCTGTGGAGCGAGGTGGCGGCGGCGCAGGCGCGCGGGGTGCGGGTGCTGGCGCTGCTGGGGGGCGCGGCCAAGGGGTCGTACGAGCGGCTGGACGTGGGGCGGGAGGGGGTGTCCCGGCAGTCGTTTGAGACACACTACGCCCTGCTGCATGGCCTCCTTCGGCGGCGCCGGCTTGACGGCGTGGACCTGGACGTCGAAGAGCCCATGTCGCTGCCGGGCATTGTTCATCTGATTGACCGGCTGCGCGCCGACTTTGGCCCGGCTTTCCTGTTGACGATGGCGCCCGTTGCGGCGGCACTGCTGCGGCCGTACGATCCGCGCTGCAACCTCAGCGGGTTCTCGTACGCCGACCTGGAGCGCCAACGGGGCCACGAGATTGCGTGGTACCATGCACAGTTCTACTGCGGCTGGGGTGATGCGAGCCAGCCGCACATGTATGCGACCATGGTCGGCCTGGGTCCGCCCGGTAGTGGACTGGGTGGTGCAGGCGGGCCAGCGGGCCTCCCGCCTCAAGCTCACCTTCCGGGCCCGATTGTGTGGCCGGCGCATCGCGTGGTTATGGGCCTCGTGACGAACCCGGCCAACGGCCCCGGGTTTGTGCCGCTGGACACGTCGGCGGAGGTCATGATGCAGCTGCAGGCAGCGACATCGGCTGCGGCGGTGGCGTTTCCAGGCGTGCCGGGCATCCGTGGCGGTTCCTTTGCGGGCGTGTCGGGCTGGGAGTACTTCAACTCGATGCCGGGCGGTGAAGAGCGGCCATGGGAGTGGGCCGAGTGGATGTCGGCGATCCTGGGGACGAATGTGGAGGCAGACGGGCTGCCTGGCAATATGCAGACAGTGACGCCAGTGGGCGCAGCAAGCACGAAGGCACCAAGCACAGAGGCGAATATAGACGCTGGAGCAGCGACGGCAACGTCCAAGACGGCATCGGCAGCATCATGGGAAGCCGATCCCGATAGTGAGGGTGGACCGGATGCACCGGTTCCTGGGGCATTCGAATACACGACCGACACCGAGGAGTCCTGATTTGCAAACGCCAATAGGAAATGACGCGCAGGGGAAAGACAGGATGGAGACATGGTGGAACACTCTATTGGGACAAAAAGAGATCCTGCTGGGGTCACATTAGGATGTCGTCTGCTCATGTACCCAGTCAGCAGTTTTACCGTGAAACGTACCTGACTCCTTGGAGTCCCATCTTACCTGCTCAGATTCACCTTTGGTTTCCGTGTGCGATCCTTCTGCGCCCCTGTAACGATCCTTCTACCACACATAGGAGACAGGATCCGACTCTCCCTCGGGTTGCCTTATCCCAGCATTGTGCCGAACAGCGCAGACAGTATCCACAATCTGTATCTGTACCAGTTGCTCAGACCTCACAGGCTGACACCATCTCCACAAGGCTGAACAAGCAGCAGCCCTCGACGTCTCGAGTGCAACACCTGTCCAATAGGAGGCACAGGTGTGGACAGGGCCACCCCTCCTGCTCAAAACCACTGTTGCGAGGAGCGCGATCCTGATCCTGCAGTCACACGCACAGCCGTAGGTTCCGTCCTCTGCCTGCTTCCTTGCGACAGGTACTTCTGCGGGTGGACACAAGTAGAGGAGATTCTGTATAGGGCTTAGCCGGGGTATGCAGATCGTATTTGCATCCCATATCGTTCGCCTACGACCGGCCCACCATGCTTGACTATACACGAGGCTCGGATCTGGACGGGTTGGCGTGGCAAGATGCGAGGGGCAGAATGTCTTGGTGCTGCCTCAAATACGCGACTTAACGTTTATTGTGTTCTTTCCAATATGTATTCCGCTGTGTCTTGTGGGCAACTAAAGATTTGAAACGGGGTTCTCAGGATCTTAATTTAGAAGCCAATGTTGGATTGGTCCGAGACAGTCGGAAGGGCCACGGCCATGACGTATCTCGTCGTATGCCAGCCACACACATATTGTCGTCGAGTTGGCCCAGCTGAACGGTCAATGACTGGCCGACCGGCTAGGCCGGCCAAACCAGCAAACAAAAAAGATGTCGTCTGACCGGTTCTTGAAATAGAGCTGTTCCTAGCGAGTGATACAACTGGAATACGTTGTTGCAACAAAAGTTTATTTTAGCCATATGGCGTAATTGGCGCAGCGTACCTCATATCTCTTCCTCCTTTTTGGGGGATGGGAGAGGGGCTTCTGCATCCGGCCTGTGTTGTCCCTTGAACTCTGGATCGCAGAGAACAGATATGGCTGAAGGAAGCGCCATACAAGGGCCGAGGCGTGCGGACAGGCGGTAGTCAAGGCGTTGAACAGATTTAGAAACGGTCCTTGTGATGTCGATGAGTGAAAGTGGACTGTAAACCGTTTCACCCGATGCTGTGGAACGCCAAGGATCTAGTGTCGGAGGATCAGAGGAACCTCTTGGGAAGCCACTCGCAGCACAAAGACGAGACAGTTGCGGCCGGCATCGACATCGACTTGGCTGAGAAGAACCATTTAAGCCCGATCTATTTGCTTGCGAGGGACATGAAGAAAGTTGGCCACGATGTAGCGCGGCGCAGGGTTCTTGTTGGAGCAAGGCTCAGCCGCCTACCAAGCCACACTTGTTGGCAGAGTAAGTCAGCTTTGCTCTTCGCGGGATGCAAGCCAATATGGGCAGTTGGCGCATCAAATCGGATACATGAACTCATACGTCGCCCTCTCTGTGTCGTTCTCTTAGGAAACTTTGTCTGCGCCGGTGATTTCCTTTTTGTTCCACATCCTCGCAGGTCTCAGCATCAAAAGTTGCTCTGAGGAAAGGTTGTTCAACCTGCTGTGCCCAAAATGGGATGTGTCGGATCATCACCGTAGCTTGTCGTGGCCGATAATTTCCGCGGCTTCACACCACGTTTCCGGACCTGCGCGGGTTTTGTTCCTAGTCCTGCTGTTCGCAGATCGTGGGTTGCTTGGTTGTCCACACAGGCGTGCTTCTATTGTCTGTGGTCAGCATATGGCAAAGCCGAGGCCTTTCTTTCTGCGTCACAATGGTAGCGCAAGGGCAAATCCGGGCCAGAAAGGGCGTCAAGTGGACAAGGAAGGACTGGGATAATGAAAAAGTAAGAACAAGGCACACAAAAATAAACAATGGTAGAGTTCGAGGGAAGCCTGAAGAAAGATAGCGGCACGGCCGGGAGTGGATGGTTTCTATCTGGGGACACGAAGGAACCAGGGTTGGATTGGGGGCCGGAGGAAGGCTACCAGAGTCAGACGGCCCGGCGAAAAGGTCGCCAGATTGGTCAACAACAGGCGAGACCTCACAGCGCCTTGCACTTGACTGCAATATGACGTAGCTGCTTTTTTGCGTGCAGGTGAGATAGTGTGACACAGCCCTGTGCTCTCTCACACGATCCATTCGGCACGAAGTTGCGCCTTTCGCTGGCCATAAAGAGTATCAGCGCCGAAGAGGCAGACGCGTTACAAGGCGAAATTGAGAGGCGAAGTCGTCGAAATACGTTGTAAGAAGAGCGACCAATTCAACGTTACGAAATGGACGTACAAAAGACGGGATGAAGCGAGAATGCTCAGATGAAACGGCGAGAGGGACAGGAGATTGGTGGCTCGCAGCTCGTTTCGTCGTTCAGGGTGTGTCGTGCAAATGGGATGGGCGACGTTGAGAGTTGGTGGTATTGGTGAGAATAGATTCGACGTTTGGGTCGATAAACAAAAGGACAGACAAAAAAGGGGGAAGACGAACAAGGAATTGGCCGACATTTGCCTACAACGGTCGTAGCTGCCGTTAGTGGCGTGTAGTTGGTCTCTCTTACCTCGCCCGTGACGCTAAAAAAGAAATAAAAAAGACACGGCATGGTGCAAATAGGAAAGAGGCACGGGACTCAAGCGCGCAAAGCTGAGACGAGGGACGAATTCAGGGAAGGTACGTGTATGTCAGAAATAAAAACAGAAAGAGTCATCCAGGCCGCATGGCACCAATACACCTTATCGAGGCGCCCACGAAGCGTGGCTTGGGCGAGGACAGCTTCTGTGGTAGACGGTTGATACTACTATTTGTGTTCACGTCCTTTACGACCAAACGTGCGCCCCCACTGGCAGCTTGCTGCAGCTGACCCAGAATGGCCGAGACATCCTCGCAGAGAAAAGGTACTTTGGCCTTGATGCGAGGTACAAAGTAGCTCGACTGCAGCTCCTGCTGAATCTGGACGAAAGTCGCACCGTGAATGATGTTCCTGCATTTTGTCCCCTGCCTAACGGTCGTTCTTCGAGACCAACAAGGCAAGAACTACGCGATGCTGGTACTTCCAGCCATCGCCTTTTTTCTCCAAGTTGACCTCTACGTTAGGTGGCATGTAAGGACTTCGGTCCAGCGGATGGTGTTTGGAAGTGGTGTGGGAATATTGGCCAATCGTGGATGTCTGTTTTGAATAAAACAAATGCTCCGTACAAGCCGTAAGTTGTTTTGGCCCTACCACGGTGTTCCGCTACAATGCCGGGAGCGCGGCTCCTTCTCTTTGATAGAGTATAAGTCGACGGTATATTTAGTAGGTGCCCGCACATTTTATGTTGCCCACACTGTTGAAGTCCGTTCCTGCCTAAGACGGATCCCATCAGTCGCGTCCCGAAAAGGAAGGAACTCGTCGTTCTGTCCTCGCCCTTCCTCACCTTGCGCATCGTTATTTTGTCTCCATGTGTACTGTTTGCCTGCAGCTGCTTTTGGCCCCTTACGACACAAACGCGACGCAAACACGAGAGTACGGCCAAGCCATGTTGGTGCCTAGAGCTCGTCTTGCAGGCCGGTTTCCTGTAGGGGAGAGTCCTCCCGTTTTTGGGTTGCGCCGCTCTTGCCTCTCTTGCCTTGCTCGTCATACCTTGCTCGCAATCTTGTAGAACCCGTCCCTTCCCCTTCTGGTCACTTGTGAAGCAGAAACACAAAGATGCAAAGCTCCTTCCCATCAAAGGTTAGGCGACAAATGCAGGACGGTCGCACTTGCATCGGCGTGGCGATTGCTGCAGGCCAAAGGATTCGTGGGTCCCCCCTCAGCCTTGCTCTTTCCCTTTCTGCCACAACGCACCCCATCACACGCTGCTTGACTTCGCCTCGACTCGTGTCCCAATGAGCCCCTGTCTTTTCCGCTTCCATCTTGTTGATTTTGTCGATTTTGTCGATTTTGTCCATCGCACTGTTTTGACCTCTCGCGCCTTTTCCCGTTTGTTTCCGGCCCTGCCTGTGCATCTCAATACAAGCTTGTCTCGCTTACTTTTACTTCTTATCAGATCACCTTCTTTCTTGCTCTTACCGCCTCGGCCGCTCCGCTGTTTGTCCGACCTTTGCCGGGCCATAGCCATCGGCTGTAATGCGGTCACATTGTGCACGAGTCGTTTGGTCTCCTGTTTGTTGATCTCTGCGTGCTCCTTGTTTTTTTGTTTTTGTTTCTTACGTTTCTCTGCCGCTGCGTCACCGTCTCGCCAGCTGCTCGCGAAACGACTTTCGTATCTCCGGGCCAATGTTACCACCTGGAGGCCGTGTTCGTCTGCAAGTCCTCGAATCCGTCATCCATCCGCAGTCGATTCACATCGAGCTACCCGCAATTCGCAATTCGCAATTCGCAATCCTCTACCGTGACATCGTTCAAGCGCCAATGGAGTGCCAGTCGCTTGCTCGACAATACCTGGCACCGCCGGCTCGCCAACCGCACGGCTCCTGCAAAACAAGCGGCGTCCAGGTGAAGGAGGTGCAGGCTGCGCGTGCATCGGCGTGAATGATCCAGGCGCCATCTAGATGGGGCGTTGGCAGTTCGGGAATTGGACGTTGGCTAGGCTTCCCATCCCTGCCTGTCTCGTCTCATTCTGCTTTTGGTCCTCTCTGTGTCGCATTGTCCTTTGGGCTTCAGCGCCGCACGCTCTCTGATTTGTCGGCCTGCCTAATTTACCCAACCTCCTCTCATTGTTTCATTGTTATTTCTCTCGCGACTGCTCCTTGGGCCCTGCATTCATGTCATCTTTTTGTCCTTTTTGTTTTATTGTGTCTATTTGTTTTTCAAAAGCGGCCCTCGCCGAGCCTCATGCAACGTTCTAGTTCGCATTCTTGACACCCCTGTTGTCTCTTGCTGCGGCACCTGTTGCTCGTTAGTGTGGCTGCCTTGTTGCTGCCTTGGAGATGCGCGATTGCTGCCTCGCCCATACCCACTGATGACTCTTCTTCCACTGTTTTCATTTAACCCCTTTCGCCTATTGCTTATTTTCTGTTTTGCTTGCCTGGGGAGACAAAACAAGACAAAGCGGGCCAGCGAGCAGGGGGACCCAGTGGCCAGTCGAAGAGCACAAACACCCAAGATACAAGGGCAACAATGCCAAACAAGGACGACCGCGCCAAAAGACGACGCAAGGCGCGCGACACTTTGTGGGCTGGTCTGGTCCCAAATAGGAAATTGACGTCTTACACCCGGCCCAGTCCCAGTCGTCGATTGCACACGCACTTACACGCAGACAACACGCACGCACCCACGCACGCAGGCCCATGCAGAGAATGGGCTAGAAACACGGCCATGCCAGGGGGGCGTTTAGATGATCGTTGACTCTTTTCGTCATTTGGTCTTTGCTTTCGTCTGTTATCACCACCAGCACAAATCCGCCAATGGATCACATCGACACCAGCGTCTTTTTTTAACCGGGGCGAGGGGATGTCAGAGGCAATGCCAGCCCCCAGCGGCAGTCCTTGAACGAAGGATGCTGGCGATGAACCAGAAATCCTCCATCCTTGCAAAGCAAAAGCCTCCCTCTTGGAAGCATCTAGCAAATACGGACACCCTCTGCCCTCAGCCTATATAAGGTTTAGTCCTTCCCTCCGAGAACGTGAGCTACATCTTTCCATTTTTCATAATCACATCATTTGCACATCTACATTGCCTCTTCTCACCTGTGAACATTTCCGCTCGTGTTCTACTCCCATTTTATATAAAGTGATACTTGTCGACACACTTCAAAGACATCGCATCCCACTCTTTCCATCTTTGCGTCTTTGTAACGTATTGCCACAACTACACACAAACCGAACACAATGGCCGCTTTTTTCACCACCGCCAACTCTGCTATCATGACGCTGCCCGTCGAGTACGGCCGCAGCGGCTACAACGGCAAGCCTGACGACGAGGACGAGACCAAGGATAAGGGCCGCAGCGGCTATAACAAGTCAGTATACGTCACGTCTATGTATATCGGCAACGCACAATGTTAACTGTTTTCTTTCAGGGGTGACAAGGACGATGACGACAAGGACGAGTAGACAGCCCCAGTTTGCTTGGCGCTTGCTCCTGTATTTCTTAGACATAGACGGTTTTGATTTCTTGGCACACTTGGTTATTGGCGCTCCCGGCGTTTTCTTCCCATACTTCTCCCATTACCACGATCGAACAGTTTGATGACAGGCAATGCGCACACGACTGCAGAGAATGCTGATTTGCGCTGCTTGTTTGGATTGTTCTCTCTTTTTTGATTTTGCCTTTATTGGGTTTGGGTTTGGGTTTGGGTTCACAAGACAGAGACCTCACGGCAGGCAACTTGATACAGCTGCAGTTTCTTTATATAATACAATTCTGCACGAAGAATCTTGCTTTACAATTGACATTTACTTGGATACTTACTTGGATATTTACTTGGATATATACAGGGCACGAGACCAGAAGGACCGCTACCACGCAACATGGGCACGGCACCTTAACTTCACTTCCCGACACAGAACCTACGAAACTGTTAGCAAAAATGTCAAGATACCATAACATACTTAGACTCGACGCCAGAAAAGTGGCTGGACTTACTTTTCAAAAATGACGCCCAGCACCTCCTCAATATCGCCCGCCTCGCCACGGCCGGTTATCCGCGACAGACAGTCGGCCGCATACCGCAGGTGCTCAGCCGCCAGCACGACATCCGGATCGGCATCCTCGTCAGTCGCTTCTGCCAAGAAGTCGTCGAGGTGCTCGCGACACTGCGCCAGGAGCTGCTGTTGGCGGGCCGTGACGCCCAACAAGTCCTGCTCGTCAGGCGGCAGGTCAGTCATGGAGGCAAAGGACGCAGCGAGGGCATCGACGAGACCGTGAACGCCGCCAGGATCGCTGTTTGCGCTGTCCATTTCAATAAGAAGCGGCTCACCAAGGGCGGACGCTTCGGCCGCCCGGCAGGAGATGGCCATGACCGGTACCTGGCTGTTCTCGTTGGGATCGCCCTCAGTCTCCTGGCTGGCACGCATCATCTGGTCCACCGTCCGGCGGAACTCGTCGACGAGACCTGAAAGAGTGGACGCGTCTGGAACGACGTCGCACTTGTTGAGAACGACCATCCGCTGCCGCGCCTGGGCGGCGAGGCGGAGCGTCTCCTCGTCGTAGCTGACGACGTACGTGTCGGACGCGGCATCCTTGTCGACCGACGCCAATACGACTACGACGTCGGCGTCGGCGGCTTTTTGGCGCGCCCGCCGGGTGCCTTCCGCCTCAATGGCACCGCCGCTCGCCGCCACCACCTGCCGGAACCCCGCCGTGTCGGCAAACGTGCACAGGTATCCGCGGATGTCCAGGCTCGCCTCGACCACGTCCCGTGTTGTCCCGGCCTCGTGCGAGACAATCGATGCTTCCCGGCCCACAATCAGATTCATGAGCGACGACTTGCCGGCGTTGGCCGGGCCGACGAGCGCAATCCGGATCCCGTGCCGCAACAGGCTGCTGCGGTCGGCCGCCGCCTCGTGGGCGCGCACGCGCTGCTGCAGCTGCGTGACGTGGCGCGACACGTTTTGCAGCAGCTCGCGGGGCGACTCGTCAAAGTGCTGGTCTTCGGAAAAATCAATGAGCGCCTCAATCTCGGCGCGCGCGGCCAGCAGCTGGGCGCGCCACGCCTCGTAGGTGCGTCCCAGGCGGCCCGAGCTGCCGCGCACGGCGGTGCGGCGCTGGTGCTCGGTGGCGGCGTCGAGGGTGTCGCCCAAGGCCTCGACCTGGGCGAGGTCGAGGCGGTTGTTGAGAAAGGCGCGGCGGGTGAACTCGCCGGGCTCGGCATAGCGTATGCTGCTGCTGCTGCTGCTGCGAGACGTGGCAGGAAGGGCACCCAGGACGGACTTGACGGTGGCTGGCCCGCCGTGGACGTGCAGCTCGAGGACGTCTTCGCCGGTGACGGACTTGGGCCCGGGAAAATAGAGGACAACGGCCGCACGGTCGAGAATGTCGCTGTCGCCGGATGCTTCGGCAGGATCATACAGAGTCCTCACAGCGGCGTACCGCGGCTTGACCGGGGGTGCCGACGGGCACAAGGCTTTATAGATCTTGGGCCGCTGTTACTACAAGACGTATTTGCAGGGTAATTACACAAGAAAACAAAGGCACCGTGGGCCACATACGTCTAAACAAGCCGGCCCTGATATTCGGATCACGGCAATGCCGGCCTTGCCAGGGGCAGACGAGAGCGCATAGATGGTGGCATCATCGGAGTGGAGGGGACCGTGGCGCGTAGCAGAGGCGACAAGGCGAGACGACAGAGACGCTGTTGATGACATGCAGCGTTTTGGTGAGAGGTCGAAATTTGCTGGTAGCCGTGGGGCTGAGAGGTTCGTTCTACGTGCAGCCGAGTCCAGTGAATGCGGTTGGGTTTGAATTTGACGCCGGAAAGCAGTGCACGAGGAGGGCTGAGTCTCTTTCGTCTCGTGAGTCGCTGCGAATACGTGCCATGGTGGTGATGATGTCGATGACTTTGGACAGCCGTTTGCCCAGTGTCGTTGTGGTATTCGACGGGCTGATGATCGCGACATGGCGCGTGTCGCTCAGAGTGAGTTTAAGTATCAAAATTTATGAATGTGGCATGTTCACCTCTGGACTCGTTAAATTCACATTTGAAAATAAAAGCTGAAAAGCTTCATTTTTCAAGCTGTGTTCACAGCGAAGCTCAGGCGAGTTCAGTTCACATGCCTAGATTACCTAATTCTGACGGTATGCTCGCGCTGTTGGTCCACTGCAAGCACTGTAAACGCTACAGAGAGATGCCGCGCTAGCACAAGTAGCACAAATAGCACAAAATAGCACACGGCGCCACAGGCATTGAATAAGTATCTTACGGTACCCGTAGCAGCGCATGAATGAAAGGCGGGGAGGCCTGGAGTGGGGTGGGGCTGTTTCCTGCGTTTCTGGCGGTCGCTTCGCTTCGGTTTGCAAGGCAAGAGCCGCCGCCCGCTCTTTTCAAACCAAGCCGCCTCTTCCCTTTCCACTCCGTATACCACATCCGCTTTACCTTTTCGTGTCTTCCCAACTCCAATCACACCTGTCTTTTCGTCGTGTCTCTCCAGTTTCGAGTCGGCTGTCTCAACTCCCAACATCTTCCATCTCGCCGACGTCCATCCATTCCAGTCGCTGGTGCGGGCCCACTCGACGGATATACGGGCAGACGACCATCTGCCCCTTTGACGGCCGCGACATACGACGTCCGACTTTCGACTTCCGCCTTTGTTGACGACGACTGCATTTCGTCTCGTTCGATCTCGCCCTTGACACCGGTCACCTAGCCAACCGGGCGTCCCACCATGGCCTCCTGGTACTCCAACATCCTCACCACCACCACCTCCCGCATCTCCAACCTCCGCTCCACCCTGCTGGGCGGCGACGCCGACGGCGACACCGAAGACGACACCCATGTCTGCCGCGTCCTCCGCGCCTACTACACCGAAAAGGGCCGCAGCTTTCCGCAGTGGCTGCCGCCCGATCCCAAGGCGCCGCCGCCGCCCGTCGCTACGGTCGTCCCGTCCGGCCCGGGCGTGGGCTCCCGCTACGGCGGCGCCGCTCTGAGTGGCGGCGGTGGCGGTGCGCCGCCGAGCAGCAGCCTGTCCTCGCTCTGGGACAGCAATGCCAATGCCGCACAGGTGCAGCCCGTGGGCGGCTCCTTGCGGCAGACGGCCCGCGTCGGCGGCGTGCAGGGCAACCGCCTCTCTCCCTTTAGCAACCGCAACAGCGACCCGCCGGCGTCGGGCGGCCCTGGTGGCCCCGGCCCCCGGCCCCTGCCGAGCCAGCGCATGGGCAGCTACCAGAGCACGCAGAGTGCGGCCGGCGCTCTCGACCGGAACAGCGGTGGTGGCGGTGGCACACCGGCAGGCTCGGCACAGGACAAGCTGCGGAATCTGTTCAGCAGCGGCGGCGGGAGCGGCGGCGGCAGTGCAGGCGGCAGCCGGTCGCAGAGTCCAGCACAGTATGGCGGTAGTGGAGGTGGAGGAGGCGCCTCGTACAGCCGCGGCGGCGGCGGTGGTGGCTACGGAGGTGGTGGCGGAAGCAGTGGTGGTGGTAGTGGCTATGGCAGCGGCGGCGGCGGCGGCGGGGGTGATCGTCCTTTTGTTGCAGCCAACGCGCCATGGGCAACGGACGGTTACGAGTACGCGGGCGGAGGTCGATCTTCAGGCGGCCTGCCCAGTGGACCACGGCGTGCTGGTGGGGGCTTGCCGAGCGGTCCTCGTATGCGGTGAGGGCTGGGAGATGCGGAATAGACGGGCAAGATGAGGGACAAGGTGAAAACGACATGAGAGCCACAGTCACTGTCCACAAGTGACCATGGGTCACGGCTATGGTATGTGGTACATAACGAGGGGAGACGGATCAACAAAAGTGACAAGCCGCGGAACGACGACAAGCGAAGCGATTGGGTCACCTGAGGAGCATACTGCGACCTGGACGCAGCGCAACACACTACACAGCAGGACTTTGTGCATCGCGGACAGTACGTTCATCTGCGAGCGGCGCACTGTTGTTGCTACGGCCCACAGAGACTATGATTCCCACGCTGCAGCACACTGCTGTTGTGGAACCGGCCCCTCTGGGAAAAACGACAGAAATAAGGCGGCAGGCTGCCTGTTTCGTGAACGAGCGTGTTTGGATGAACAGTCCAATCTGCACACGAATACGAGAGGCAGACTTCATACGAGATAATAGAAGCAAGAACAGCACGACACAAAACTACTAATATCACTGCACTTATGTTGGACGTCTGTTGTCATGTTGAAGGAAAAGAGAAAGAAAGTTTGTGTTTATATTGCAAAATGATGAGGGCAGTGCGTGATGAAAGACAAAAGACAAAAAGGAAGACAGAAGACGAGACGAAAAATGCAAATCCCGCTGTATCCTAAACCTCGTATCATAGATGTAGTAAAAAAGGACAAAACAGAATACAAAAGAAGACAAATAAACATCCACCCCACTGCATTCTCTACTTCTTCATGTTGCCCCAGAGAATCTTGTCGCTGCCAGGCTGGTTCTTGGGCACCACGTAAATGTTGCGGCTCAACAGGCCACGAAGTTCCGGCGTGATGATCCGCTGCGCCGCTTTGGCCGGTGCAGCGACAGCTCTGGGCGCAGTGCTGTTGCGTGCCTCCGGTGCCTTGCCAGCGGCAGCCGCCGAGGGACTCGATGACGACGACGGCTGGTCGTTGCCCGGCATGGAATTCATCTCGGCGCCGCCGCCGCTGCTTGAACCGGCCGGCTTAATCGTGGCATTGGACGACGCCGTTGATGCTGCAGACGCTGCAGAGGCCGACGAGTGGTCCGTCTTGAGGCGAGGTGCCGGGAAATTGTTCTGCTTGTCGACGGCCTCGACGAGCCGCTGGAACCGCCGGAACAGCGCCTCGGCGCGGATGAGCGTCGACTCGAGATCGATGGTGCCCGACAGCTCGTTGACGTACTTGAGCACCTCGTCAAACTGCTCGAGGTGCATCATGATGACGTCGCGGTGCTTCTCGAGGATGGCGAGCGCGATGAACAGGTGGAAGCTGCTGCTCAGGTAGTCGGTCCACAGGCCCTCCCACAGCCGCAGCACATCGAGCCAGTCAAACTCGCGCTTGTACCAGACCAGCAGCATGCGGAAGAAGAAGAAGAAGTTGGTGCTGTCCGCCTTGCGCAGGTGGTCGTACAGCTTTGGATCCATAAACTGCAAGAGGTGGTCGAGCGCCAGCAGCTGGGCGCGCATGCCCGACTGGTCGCGCAAGAAGTTGCGCTCCATGCGCTCCATGAAATGCTGAAAGGCCCAAAACGCGAGGGCGTCGTCCTGCACGACGGCGTAGATGGGCGCCAGCAGATCGGACATGCCTTGCACGTAGCCCAGCTCGCGGTTGTACTCATTGTACGTCAGGAGCAGGTCCTTGAGCTGCTCCATATGCACGTTGGTGCCGACCTCTGCAAACGGCGAGTCCGGGTCGGGGTGCGGGATGTTTTCGCCGGCAAAAATGACTACGTTGCGGTCTGTGCGGTGGACGTCTTTTTCTATAGAGTGTTAGACTGTGCAATGATAGTAAAGGACAAGGAAGCTTAGACAAGGAAGCTTAGACAAGGAAGCCAGACAAGGAAGCCCTAGACAGGGAAATGCTTACCGATTCTCCCGCGCTGCTCGCGCCACCACTCGCCCTCCTCGCCCTGGCCGCCCAGGTCGACGAGACGGTCCCACCACTGGCCCTTGAGCTTAATGTACTGATCGCGCAGTGACGCGGTCCGGGCTTTGCGCTCGTCGGCCGTGCTGTACCACTCGTGTACACCGAGCAAAAAGAGCCAGGCCTCCTTTCGGACACCGTCCTCGGCGTGCAGGCCGCCGTGGAAGATGCGCTCCTTGACCTCGTCGGTCGTCACCGACAGGCGGCCGGTCCGGGCGTCGAAGAACGAGTTCCACTCCTTGAGCGTCACGGGCTTGCGGCGCTCTTCGAGGGAGAGACCGGTGGCGCTGTCGACAAGCTCAAACTCGCCGACGTCGGTGTCCTCGAGCTCCATAATGTCGTGGGCCGTCCAGATGCGCTGGTTGCGGTCGCGATCGCTCTGCTCCGCCATGCCCATGGCCCAGCGCGCAAGGTAAATGCGGGCGCTGTCAAACTCCTCCTGGATGGTCTGCACCTCGGGGTTGCGCAGCAGGCGGCGCATCTGCGGCGGGACGCGGGGGTCGTCGAGCACGTTCTGGGCGGCGTTGCGTGTGAACGTCGTGACCTTGCTGAACTTTTCCATAATGTTCCAGCCCGTCTCCTTGACAAACTTCATGAAAGGATCCATGCCGGCGTCACGAGAGCCACCACCGCCGGTCGGCTGGCGTCGGCTGGACGGGCCCCCGGCCCCCGGTGCCTGGCCCGAGGTCCGCCGGTCGCCGGCCGTCATGCTGTCTCGCTTGCCAATGGCCGAGACGGAGCTCGTGGTGAGCTTGCCGCTGAACGCGTCGCTGTCTTCCTTGGTGGGCTCGACGAGATAAATGTTGGGCTCGGCGCCGCTGCGCTCGATGTGGACGTAGCGGCGCAGCCAGCGGAGGACCTCGTCGCCGCCCCAGAACATGCCGCCGTCCGCACCAAAGGGATCGAACGTCTCGCGGGCCCGCTTCTTTTTCTGCAGCATCGTCGACATGCACTCGCTGTCGTGGAAGAAGAGTGCCGGGAAGCTGTCACCAGCACGGGTGTTGATAATCACGGACCCAAACCACCAGCCCAGGCTGGGCGGCCGCACGAGCAGCGAGTAGATGGCACTGACGGGTATGGCAAAGGCATAGTGGCCGACGGAGCCCTGGTGGGTGGTAATGGTCGGCGGCGGAGGAACGAGGTAGGTCTGGCGGGGCGGCGAGTCGCCCTCGTCGTTGAGATCGACTTTGACGTAGACACTGGCAGCGTCACCAAGGGACGACTCGGGCAGCCATGCGAGCAGGAGGTCGGACGAAGACGGGTCGAGGGAGGCAGAGTTGAGCGAGGAAGACGATGTCGGGCGGTCGGCATGGCTGTCGCGGCGAGCGGGCTTCTGCTGCAGCAGGGCAATAAAGCCACTGATGTTGTCTTTTGCAGAGGGTGTAGGGTGGATGTAGACCTGGGAGGTTAGCTGGTTGAGTCAAGATCGACAGCCAGTCGCTAAAATAAAGAAGAAAGACAAAAACAAAATACTCACCTTGCTCTTGGAGTAGAGCAGCTTCACGCCACGGCCTGTCTCCGTGTGCGTCACGGTGTTGTAACCGCCCTCTTCGTCGTCGCTCATGGCATAGTAGCTGCCCTCGGGCGAGGCACTCCGGCGGCGGGCCGTTATTGTTGTCGCCGATGCCGGTTGGGCGGTTGGCTGTGACGTCGAGGACGACTGCGGCGCTGGTGCGTCGCCGCCTGGTGCTGGGATCTGGGTCATGATGCTGCGGTGGTGGACTGCCCACAGAAAAGTCGAGTATGCGCAAGTATCAGCCTCAAACGGTAACCAGTCGATGCAAGCCGACTAGACGACAAAAAAGATCCAAAGATAAACGGCTGTCGCTCAGCTGATATTTCGAGGCAGAAGCTAGAGAGGCGAGGCTATGACGGCATAGGTTCGCTGAAGTGGGGTCGAGATACAGCGGCCGCAATCGACAATGCACGACCAAGAAGCCAGTGTATGAAAGAGGATTGGTGACGATAATAACGCTCGATACGAAGAGAGAATAGCGAGAGGAAGAAGAGAGAAAGAATAGCGAGAGAAAAGAGAGAGAAAAAGGAGCTTAAAGCGAGGTTCGTTTAGGCGTGGCAGCTGACTGACGTCGAGATCGGGAAGGAAGGGAGGGCTCTGCTGATGGTAAGTGCGCCGCGTGGGTGGGCGGAGCGTTTGGTGCGAGTGGCGGTTGCACCTTCCTTCAGTGAACGAATACACGAGAACGTGCCGGATTGGCAGGCGCGGCCCAGCGGCGACTTCCTAAAATCCCCAAGTACAAGACGCCAGACCACAACGAGCTGGGCAAGAGCGACCGGTTGAAGACGAGCTACTAGCAATGAGAAAAAAGAAGAAGAAAAAAAAAAAGTAAAAAAAAGTACACTGATTGTAAGACAGTTTGAGATTTCGCCCGTTTCCTGGCTACTCTCCCGTAAATGTGGTCGGCTGTCGTCATCAGAGTACGAGGCTGTGTGCACGGTACGTCTAGCCTCCAGGCAGCCTTTTAAAAGAAGAATGTGTGGGGAAGAAGGCAAAAAGCGAGCAATTGGCGACTCACATCACGTCTTTACTCTGGACGTATTTATGGTTTTTTTATTTGCTTTCTGCTTTGTAAAACATGGTCATTATTATTGTGACGATTATTGACCGTATTGAACGTCAGTGACGATTCATATGTATTTTGTTAAAGATTTCGTACTTTGTACCTCGAATAATCAGTCGCTCCATCCATGACAGCCGTCATTAGACGGCCTCTTTCAATGTTCTATAAACTCGCTGCTTTTCTTTCTCTCATTCCTCCCATGCCCCTTGTTTATAACTCGTCCCGGACGTGGCCTGTCGTGACGTCCACCTCGGGCATCGCCATGATCTTGACCACCAGGCTCGTCCAGCCCGTAAAGTGCTGCGTGCGCTGGCCCTTGCCCGTCTCCGGGTTGTATTGCTCCCACGCAAAGCCCGTCTCCTTCCAGCTGGCGTAGACCGTGTCCACAATGTTGCGCCGCAGCCGGTTGTACAGGTCGGCCGCCCGCGCCCGGAAAGGACCCGCCTGCTGCCCCAGGGACTGCAGCTGCACCAGCGCCAGGTAGTTGATGTTGATCCACACGGGGCTGCGCCAGTAGTTCTCGGCCGTGCCGTACAGCGGGCTCTTCTTGCTCAGGCTCCGCAGGCCGTGCGGGCTGAACAGCTCGTCCTCGTCGCCCAGCAGGTCGAGCAGGCGGCCCACCTTGGGGTTGGTCGGCTCCAGCAGGCCCACGAGCAGCGGGAACAGCGAGATGTAGCCGCGGTGGCACACGAGCTTGTGCTCCTCGTAGTCGTCGACGGTGGCGTCGCAGTAGCAGCCCTCGTCCTCGGACCAGTGCAGGTCGTCGAGGTTGCGCGCAATGGCCTCCTGGATCGCGCGCAGCTGCTGGGCCTCGTCGGTCGACGCGTCCGTGCCCAGCACCTCGGCAATGTTGAGGAGCGACCGCGTCATCATGCCCATCCACGCCATCAGGTCGACGTGCAGCTCGCCCGGGTGCGGCGGCTGCGGGCGCGGGTAGTCGTCGAGGCCGCTCGTCAGGACGTGCGCCTCGGTGCGGCCCCGCCAGCGGTAGGCCTCGCGCGTCGAGAAGGCGCTGCGCTCGTACGACTTGATGTCGCCAAACTGCGTGCGCCGGAACCAGTCGTACTGCCGCCGCAGCCGCGGGTACAGCGCGCGCAGGTACTCGAGGCCGAGCTCCGTGTTGTCGACCAGGTTGCTGCTGCTGCTGCTGCCGGCGGCCGCGTCGTGGCCGGCCGTGCCGTTCGCCGCCTGCCGCAGCTTGTGGACAAAGCGGTCCACGACGAAAAAGAGCGTCGGCGGGTTGGCGTAGTGCGGGTACTGGATCTGGAACTCGGCGGGCACCTTGCTGCGCGCCTCGGACCCCAGGATCTGCTCGCGCGCGATCCAGCCGTCGTCGTCCATCAGGTTGAACCAGCTCTTGACAATGTCGAGCGTCAGGTCCATGTCCCAGTCGGCAATCGGCAGCAGATGGAAGCCCTCGTCCCACAGGAAGCCGCGCGGGAAGAAGGGCCGCGACGGGATGCTGGTGAACAGCTCGTACGGCCCATCCATGGTCTCGCGGTGCGCGGCCCGCGCCTGCGCGGCGTCCTCCCAGAACCCCTCGTCCTCCTCCTCGTAGGCCGCCGCGTACGACCGGTCGGCAATGCCGTAGCCGTAAAAGTAGCCGATGCCGCCAATCAGGTTCGAGAACATGCTGTGCGCAAAGGCGCGGTACGTGTCGGCCGCGAACGGCGCCTGCAGCGGGAACACCTTTTTGAATTTCGAGCCAAACGACTCGCTGGCCGCGCGGATCTCGCGCGTCACGTCGTCGCTCGTCAGGTCCTTGCCGGCCGACGCGCTCGAGAAGAGAATGTCAAACTCGAACGCGCCCTCGTACATGCGCTGCACGAACTGCAGGTTGCCCGGGCCGGGCTGGTTGCCCAGCTGGTACACGTGCCACGGCGGCGGCGCCGCGTTGGGGTCGTACGCGGCAATGACGTGGTCGACCGCCTCCTTGATCCGCTGGAACAGCAGCGGCTTCGTCTGCCACAGGTGCTCCTCGGGCGCCGTCAGCGACTGCACGACCGTCTTCTCGAGGTCGCGCTCCGCCGCGTACGCGTGGTCGCTCTGCGGGTGCGCGCCCGTGCCCTTGGTCACGACCACCTTGTAGTCGCCGAGCCCGCTCGACGCGCCCTCGAACGTCACGTCGCCCGCGAAGCCAAACTCGTCCCAGTCGCGGCCGGACACGTCCGTCACGCGGATCGCCGAGCCGTCCTCCTCCTGGGCCAGGTAGAACACCACCATGGTCTTGACGCTCGCGTCCGGGTGGTCGTCGGTCGGCGCCTTGGGCCGCGGCACGCCCTTGATGCGCGCGCCCCAGCTGCCGCCGTGGGCCCCGCCCGGCACCTTGACAAACGACGTGGTAATGTCAATGTTGTTGAATGTGTCGTGGATCGTCTGCGCGCCGCCGCGCCGCGTGTCGTACTCGTCCCAGCCGTAGCCCTCCATGCCCTCGTTCTGCTCGCAGGTGTAGCGCACGTGGTTCTGCAGGTCGGTGTATGTGTCGGCGCGCCCCCACATGAGGCCGGACACCAGGCTCTTGGGGATCCGTGGCCGCACGCCAAAGTAGAGGTTGGGCCGGTAGGGGCCCCAGAGCAGGCTGTCGTTGTTGAGCCGCGCCGTCTCGCTGAAGAGGGCCGATTCGTCGCCGGTCTGCGCAGCGGCACTGTGGCCGAGACCGGCAATGGCCACGCCGACGGAAAGGGCCAATTGGCGTATGGACGCCATGGCAGTGTTGTCGATGAAACCAGGTATCACAACGAAGACGCTCGATGGTATCCGTCTTGGTGGTGATTGAATCCAAGCCAGTGGTATGTGGTCGGAGTGGGATGGGAGACCCGAGTTGGTATTTGGTAGCTGGGAAGCTCCAGGGGTTTGGATGTGAACACGTTGGAGAGCTTGGCCCTAGTGGCAGGTGTTCCGGGGTAGGAACCCCCCAACTGACGTGTAAATGCACTAGATCAGGGGTGTTGGAGGCGAGCGGCAAGACACGTGATAACGGCACAAGCAGATATTTACTTTGTCTCTTTTGGTATCTGGCACAACCACATTGAGATATGGTTTTCCAGGGACGAATGAAGGCACCTTCTAACATTGCTGTAAACCATACGTACTATATCATGCTCGAAAAATAAGTCTCACATAGCGTTTGTTAAGGCGCCGTGCAGAGTCGTTTTTACAGGCGCTAAAGGTGAAAAGGCTAGACCCAACACCGCCTGGCGTCCGCTATGGGCTGGCCCTGGCCAGGCCTCTGGGCCGCTAACAGGCCTCACCGCCCTCCCGCCACGTACGGCAGAATTCGCCTAGCGGGGCAGTGATGGACGCTCTTTTTTTTTTTTTTTTTTTCCTCTTCTTTCACCACCTTTTCCATCCTTTCTTTTCACCCTCTCTCTTTTTTATACTCCGCCATTACACCTCCCACGGCAATACACAGAGGCTCATTTTGACCTCGTTGTCCCTTTTCTCCCCCTCCTTTTCTCTCCTTACTACGCGACCCGCCGTTCATTTTTGTTTTCTCCTTTCCCCTCTTCTTTTGAATATCCATCAATACATCATGGCCAGCATGGATCAGGACAAGCCCGCACAGGTCGGTGAGGCTATGGACGTTGTCAAGGCAGAGGAGAAGTTCAAGACCATGGAGCACTCGGAGCAGCACTACTTCAACAGGTAAGCATCCCCTCGAACCTGTCTGTCTCATTGCCCTCGCGCCATTGTTTTGTTTTGTTGTGTCCCTTGCTAATATGCGTCTCCAGCTACAACCACCACGGTACGTGCAGCGAAACATGAGACGCGAGACAAGCTCGAGGTTCGAGACGATACATGCATATATACTAATCCACCCAGGTATCCACGAGGAGATGCTCAAGGATGAGGTCCGCACAAGATCGTACATGAACGCCATTGTCCAGAACAAGCACATCTTCAAGGACAAGGTCGTCCTCGATGTCGGCTGCGGCACGGCCATCCTGTCCATGTTCGCCGTCAAGGCCGGCGCCAAGCACGTCATTGGCGTCGACATGTCGACCATCATCTACAAGGCCCGCGAGATTGTCAAGGTCAACGGCATGGCCGACAAGATCACCCTGATCCAGGGCAAGATGGAGGAGGTCAAGCTGCCCTACGAGCACGTCGACATCATCATCTCCGAGTGGATGGGCTACTTCTTGCTGTACGAGAGCATGCTCGACACCGTGCTCTACGCGCGCGACCGCTACCTGGTCAAGGACGGCCTCATCTTTCCGGACAAGGCCACCATCTTTGCCGCGGGCATCGAGGACGGCGAGTACAAGGACGAGAAGATTGGCTGTAAGTGCCGACCCCCCCTTCTCCTGATTTTCTCGACGCTGTGTTTCCCCGCTGACGTTGTAGTCTGGGACAACGTCTACGGCTTCGACTATTCACCCCTGAAGGCGACCGCCCTCTCCGAGCCGCTCGTCGACACCGTCGAGCTCAAGGCCGTCGTCACTGACCCTGCCAACATCCTAACCCTCGACCTGTACACCTGCAAGACCGAGGACCTGGCCTTTAGCGCCAACTTTGCCCTGCGCTGCAAGCGCGACGACTTTGTCCACGCCCTCGTCGCGTGGTTCGACATTGAGTTCTCGGCGTGCCACAAGCCCGTCCGCTTCTCGACCGGCCCGCACACCAAGTACACCCACTGGAAGCAGACCGTCTTCTACCTCAAGGACACCCTGGCGGTCCAGGAGGGCGAGGAGATCCAGTGCGAGCTGCACAACCGCCCCAACGACAAGAACAAGCGCGACCTCGACATTGAGGTCAAGTACCGGCTGGAGACGGCAGACGCCACCCGGACAGGCGAGGGCGAGTGCACGTACAAGATGTGCTAGACGGGCGGCGAGGCAAAGAAGACGGAAGGGGGCATCGATTTTCAAAGGAGAAGGGGAAAAAATGGTGTCGTAAAGACACGCTTCGGATATTTTTCATGTCGCTTACATTGTTGGTTTTTGACTGAATGGTGTTTGGCTGGGTTGTTTTACATGTCCCGTCATGGTCCTGATATTTTTTTCAACGTTTCTTTTTTTGTTGCATCCATTATGATACCTGTGTATGTCGTGTGTTACGACGATGCGGTGAGACATGACGCATGCACTATTCACTGTCACGACGAGAGGATATACTATGGGGCCATCTGTCAGAGCACATAAGCGCACTGTTTGCTGCAGATGTTTTTACTTTGGTATTGGTACCGTTTTTGCATTTTTATTAACTGTTGCATAACGACATCCAAAAACAATAAACAAAAAGCCAAAAAGTCTAAAATCAAAGATTTTGGTAGATTGCTAACTGCGGTAAGCGCGTAAAAACATCACGATTGTCATAAAAAACTTTTGTCCACCCTGTCATAACCAAACCCTTCTTCCACATCACAGCACGCTTCGCTGCGGGCTCGGGTGGTTCTCCGGGTGCTGCAGATACGGCCCGCCGCGCGTCAACAGCGGCGGCACCATGGACGTCGTGCCCCGCGCCAGTGCGGCCACGTCCACCATGGTCGTCGACAGCCAGGCTTCCTAGTTCCCGCCGCCGTAGTGCGACAGCAGGCGCGCGACCTGCTTGGCCAGCTCGTCGGCCTCGACGCGCGTGGCCGCCTCGGCGTACACGCGGCAGGCGTTCTCGGTGCCGGACGCGCGCGCAAACGACCGCGCATTCGTGTACTTTTTGACGCACTGGTCAATCTCGTCCTGGATGCCGGCCGGGTGGCTCAGGCGGCGCTCGGCATCGGTGGTCTGGAACAGGTCCTTGTCGGCGACCTCGACGCGCACCAGGCGGTTGGGCAGGTCGTTGTACGTGAGGGCCCAGTCGCGCAGGCTCCAGACCTTGTGGGCCAGAATGACCTCGACCAGGAGCATGTCCGACAGGGCATCGCCGACGGTCTGGTTGATGAGGTCGCTGACGGCCGCCAGGGTGTCGAGGGCCTCCTTCTGGGCCGGCGACTGCGGCTCCTTGGTCTTGAACGCCTGCACGGCGTCGGCCGAGAACAGCACGGTGCCGTGGCCGTTGGCCTCAAAGTAGACGCCCACGTCAAAGCGGTTGGCGGCGTGGTGCAGGTGCTTGACGCCCGTGGGCGTGCACACGACGGGCAGACGCAGGTGCTGGGTGATGTAGTTGGTCGAGGCGCCGTTGGCGTAGGCGGTCTGGACGACGCCGATGCGCAGGTCCTTCTCGAGGTCGGCGGCGCGCACGAGGTCCGAGATGAACGAGGCGGCCAGCGACGAGATGCGGTCGCCGTCCAGCATGAAGAAGCCCGTGTCCGGGTCGACCCAGTAGTAGATCAGACGGTCGGCGTCGCCGTCGAACGAGCAGCTGCGCAGGCCCGGCTGGGGCTGCGGGTGGGGCGGGGCCCGCTGCTTGGTCTTGACAAAGTCGGCGCCGCAGTCGAGGTTCAGGATCTCGGGCCGCAGCACGTCGTCGTTGACCACCTTGACGTCGAAGTCGACCTTGTCCTTGGGCAGGAACTTGAGGAACTCGTGCAGCTTGGGCCCGCCGACGCCGTTGGCGCAGTCGACGACCAGCGCGCCGGCCACCTTGCGGCCGCGCAGGGCGCGCACAAAGGCGTCGCTCAGCTTCTCGTAGTAGCCGGCCTCGCTGACCTTGCCGTAGGCAAGAGGCGTGCCCTCGGTGTTGGTGCAGCGCGTCAGGTAGTGCAGCTGCGGCGTCGTCAGGATCTTGTAGTCGACGCCCTCGATGCCCGTGGCGGCCAGCGCATCGGCCACGGCAATGGCCAGCGTGTGGCCCGAGGGGCGCGTGTCGCGGCCGAACACCACCTTGCCGGGCGTGGACAGGTCGACCTTGAGCGTGGCGGCCAGCTGGTGGTAGTACTCGACGAGGGCGGCGTCGTCGGCGCAGTTCACCAGCTTGGTGGCATAGACCTCCCACTCCTGCTCGAGCATCTCGCCCATGGGGTCGACAATCTTGACGCCGTTGTCGGCGGGCGGGTTGTGGCTGGCGGTGATCATGACGCCGATGGCCTGGCCGTTGAGCTTGCGGCTGCGCAGGCCGGCGAGCAGTCCAACGCGGAACGTGACGCCGTCGAGCAGGTCCGAGTTCATGCGGAAGCCCGCGGTGCCGTACTTGAAGACATGGCCGGGCTTTGTCGGGTGCTTCTGGGACGCAGCCAGAATCGAGTCGTCGGAGGACATTGTGGGCGGTAGGGGGTGGGAGCGAACTGGGGTGAGGAGGCGAGAGTCACACGGGACGGACAGCAAGAACGCAAGAAAGAGGTGAAGGTGGGAGAGTGACGGGTGGAGGGGGAAGCAGTGGATGGAGATATTTAGGGGTTGGCGAGGCTGAGAGGACGACGGGGTGGGCAGTGCGGCACTGTGAGGGGCGAGAGGGTGTAATACGCCGTACGAAGAGGGTGGGCAATGATCGACGGAGCTACACAGGATCCTGGTTACACACCGGGGTGCAGCGAGGAGGGGAAGGGGAGGAATTGGGGACGTGAGAGAGAAAAAGGAGAGAAGATGAAAATCAGAATTCAGGAGAGTGAAGCGGATTTGTGTCTTTTTACTCTGTCCAAAAGGAGCAGTTGCGAGCGGCGGCCTGTCGTGTCGATATCCGGAAGCTAAAGGCGGCCGAAACGACGTAGCAATCGCACTAGACCGCAAGCTTTCGTGTTAGGAAAGAACAAAACAAAACCAAGGCGGCAGAAGCGAGTGGTTGGCGTTGGGGGTTCGTCGAAATACAATCGAGGGGCAGCAGGAGGTGAGACCCTTGTTGGGCCCTGCGGGTGCAGCTTCTGTGCCTGTAAATGGGCCAATTCTGTGGGTCCTGGCGAGCATGAGGGCACTGAAGGCACCACTAAGGTATCTTACCTCGAGACAACCCCGCGCTGACTGCTGCTGATGATGCGAAACGGCAGGTGCGCTAGGCCGTGGGTGGGATGGGGGCTCCTGCCAGTTGTTAAACAAACGGCCGAGCAGAAGAAACGTGGGCTGAATTACGTCGTTTTGCAGGACCACAACTTACAGTGTGATGCACGTGACTGTGCCTGAGTCCACCTAACGCTTACGATGTAATTACAGTGGACTGCGAAGCCACAGCACTCTCTATTTTTAGGCTGCCCACACCACACCAACGCCGCTGCAAATCGTGGCGCGGATGCACATCGTAGCGCGACTGCTTCATTATTTACACCTCAATTCGAATGCACACCATTCTCGACGACTGCGGCCTGGGGGTTTGCGAATCAAGCCTCGCTCAATGTACCGTCCATATTTCACTCTTTTACTATTTTTGGCCACCGTTTTGGGATTCTTCGAGGCTGCGTCCCGCAAGGGAGACCCGCCGTTGCTGTGTGGTTTATTGCTCGTCTTGTTTGTTTACTTTCAGCCAACACGCATCGCCATGGCCGAGGAGTGCGCCAACCCGCTGTTCCTCAGCTGGGTCAAGGAATGGTGGGACCAGGCCAAGGAGCGCAACACCAAGGGGGTGATTGCGTACCGGAACGCGCACGAGTCGCTGCGGGCGTGCCCGATCCGCTTCGAGCACCCGGACCAGCTCCTGGCTCTCCGGGGCTTTGGCGCCAAGATGTGCAGTCGGTTACTGGAGCGGCTGACGCAACACTGCGCAGCCAACGGGCTGCCGGTGCCGCCCAAACGGCGACTGGCGGCGGATACGGTCAGCCAAATCGCCGCAACGGCCCCGGGGCCGTCCAGCTTGGCGAGGACGAACAGCCACAGCATCAACGAAGGCGTCGTGGCCGGACAGCGGCCTCAGCGGACACGGAAAGCATATGTGCCGGTGCTGCGGCAAGGTGGCTATGCGATTCTCATGGCGCTGTCGTCGCCCGAGGCGAACGGCCGCGACTGGCTGGCCAAGCCCGAGGTGATTGAGCTGGCCCAGCCGCACTGCGACGCGTCCTTTACCGTAGCGCCACCAGGACGATTTTATACGGCGTGGAAGTCGATCGAGACGCTGCTCAAGAACGATCTCGTGGCCGAGCGCGGGCGGCCGCACAAGCGGTACGCCCTCACAGACGAGGGCTGGGAGGTGGCCAACAAGCTGCGGGCGGCCGTCTTGGGCGGCGCGGGCGGCGCGCAGGCAGCGCTAGCGGCACAGGCCGCCCACTCCTTGCCGATACCCGATGGACAGCCCGGCTTGTCGGCGGCGGAGCTCGACCTGGTGCCGGACGGACCGGCCGTGACGTCTGCAGCCGTGCTGCCCGAGATTGCGCCGGTCGAGCTGCCGGCCGGGTCGTTTTCGGTGCGGCTGGTTCTCGACATGCGCGAGCGCGTGACGGGCCAGCGCACGTACATGGAGGACGAGCTGGCCAAGAAAGAGGCGAAGCCGCTCGTGCGCGCACTGTCCCTGGGCGACGCGCTGTGGGTGGCCAAGTGCCACGACGCGTCTCTCCTCAGCCGGCTGGGGGCCGAAGGCGACGAGGTCGTGCTGGACTGGATCGTGGAGCGCAAGCGGCAGGACGATCTGGTCAGCAGCATCAAGGACGGGCGGTTCCACGAGCAAAAGTTCCGGCTGCGGCGGTCCGGCGTGCCGCATGTGGTGTACGTGATTGAGGAAGGCGGCATGGACGCGGACATGCTGATGAAGCACGAGGAGCGGATGCAGTCGTCGATTGCGTCGACGCAAATGACCAATGGCTACTTTGTCAAGACGACGGCCAAGGTCGACGACACGATTGCGTACCTGGCGAGGATGACCAGGCGGCTGCAGGCGCAGTACGCCAACAAGCCACTGCACGTCCTGCCGACGGCGGCCCTGACGGCGCAGAACCATGTGCCTTGGCTGCGGGCGCTGCGGTCGGTCGATCGCGCCGGCTCCTACTGCGTGTCCTACGCGGCCTTTGCGTCGCTGACGTCCAAGTCCGAGACGCTGTCGCTGCGCGACGTATTCCTCAAGATGCTCATGTGCACGCGCGGCGTGACGGGCGAGCGGGCGCTGGCCATTCAAAAGGTGTGGAGCACGCCGTACGAGTTTGTCCAGGCGTTTGAGGAGCTCGAGCGCGAGATCCAGGCGACAGACGACGGCCTGGGCGCCGTTGATGACACCGTCCGCAAGCGCAAGCGGGAGATGGTGTTTGACAAGCTGGGACGGCTGCCGGGGACGAAGCGGCGGGTGACGAAGCCGCTGTCGGAGAAGCTGGCCGAAGTTTGGGGGGGTGCATTGTAGGAGAGGAGGGCTGTTTTGATAATGATACCTTGGTTGCATTGGGTGCATTCGGTGCATTGGATTGGCGTTTTTTGTATCACGAGGCACTTGGTCCGGTTTTGGTCATACGATAGGACGTTTTATATTCTGTTCATGTTTATTTTGCTCAGCTTTTGTTCCAATCGCTGCTCTTGCACGCTCATTTCCTACTTCTTCTCGGCCAGCGCGGCAGCCACCGTCTTCTTGACCAGGTCCGCCACGCCGCTGCCGCCGGCCATGGTCTCCAGGTAGCCGGCCATGCTCTTCTCGGCGTACTTGGCCAGCACGTCGACCTCGACATTGATGGTCTCGCCCTCCTTCTTCGCCGCCAGCGCCACGCGCGACTGCGTGTACGAGATCAGCATCACCTCCCACCAGCCGCCGCCCTGCGCCTCGGGCTCGTCGTTGACGGCCGTGACCGTCAGCGACGTGCCGTCCAGCGCAATAAAGCCCTTGTACACGACGTACCGCAGCACGTCGCGACTGCGCGGCGCGAACCGCATCGTCTGCGCGTTGCCGTCGGCCGCCACCTTGGTGACGGTCGCCACCGTGTCCACGTGGCCCTGCACAAAGTGCCCGCCCATGCGCGTGTCGGCACGCACGGCGCGCTCCAGGTTGACGCGGTCGCCCTGCTTGAGGTCGCCCAGGTTGGTCAGGCGCAGCGTCTCGGGGGCGACGCCGACCTTGAACGACGCCGGGTCAAAGGCGGTGACGGTGAGGCAGCAGCCGTTGATGGCAATGCTGTCGCCGAGGTGGACATCGGACAGCAGCGACGAGCCAGAGGGCAGGCTGACCGTCAAGGAGGTGCCGCCGGTCTCGTCATGGGGATCCAAGGTGAGGATTTCTGGGAAAGGGGGAGAGTGGGAGATGTCAGTGTCTCTGTCCGTGTCGGTGCCTCATATGATGGGGAGTTGTCATGACTGAGATGAGGCGAGGATCTTTGTATTCTTTTTCTGTGAAGTTGACTTGTGAAGTTGACTTGTGACGTTGACTCACCTCCCACCTCTTCGACAATGCCTGTGAACATCGTAGCGTTTGGTGACGTAGACTCGGTTTGAGGCGCACAAAAAACAGCAAGACAAACGACAGTGTAAGAGTTCACCAGACGACAATATATCAAGAAAGGCCAACGGCTTGTTGAGTCAGGACGATGCCAACGCTAACGCGTGCTTCCGTGCTTCCGACGTCTTCTCCAACTGTCGGCCGAATGCGGGGCCATTTCCAGGGCGCTCCCCTCTACGGTGTTTGTCAAGATGACTAATACAGTCTCGTGGGTAATGTCAATCAGCCATTTTGTTTCCAACGTGAATGAAGACTCGCCCTACAACAATAAGATGCTTTACTCTATGCCGGCCATCGTTTCCACTTGCCTATGTGTACAACATACATTGAAGATACTTCAGCGCTATGGGATGAGGTGATGCCTGGAGGGCAGCATTTGCTCTTTCATTGATAGATGAGGCGCCCTTTGACAGTCTTTGGTCGTTCATTTCCGGCATCTAGATATATCCGACAAAGGCGTTTTGTCATCGCCATGCTCGGGGTGCCTCGGAACATCACTGATTGCTGTTTTTCATTGTTAAACCGTCAAGGACGAAACTGTAGTCATGAAACAAAATAGATGCAATGAACGACCAACCACACAACCAGCGGTCAATAAAGAGCCAGTAAGACTGTAACACCAACGTTCTCCGTCGGATGTCCCTCTGTATGGCTCAGTGTCCTCAATTGCACCTCTGTTTCAAAGGTTCGGTATTTCCGTGGCTGTCAAAGTTGGTCCGGGCGTCAAAACTCAACTTTGTTCTCACCCAACCCTTGCACTCTTTTATTTTGACGCTTTTGACGCTTTTGACATGAATTGGAATCGGACGTAAGTAGTCCTACAACCGATATAACCAGTTTCTGATGCACGCAGTGTCCTGTCATGATATATGCAAGACAAGTCCGTGGGAGAGAAAAGACACCGAGCACGCAAGTTGTGAGGCCTCAGTCAGCACAGCCTGGAACGAAGTGAGGCCCTTTGACGTCTGATGGCATGTAGCCATCTTATTTATGACATCAACATAAGCCAACCACGTTGTGATAAAGAACCTGGATATAATTTACTACTTTTGAATCGAGGTTCTTGTCTCGACATGCCTGGAAAATTCCGGCTCAGACAACTTGTATATCCGTCATACTTGTACCATTTTGGCCTACAAGAATATGCATATGCATGATTACGTCGATTGTACTCCGTACTCTCCGACGAATCCTGCACTTCAATCGTCATCGCATGCAAGATTGATCACTTGCCCATTGAACCGCGTAGAGCACTTTTACTGGGGCTGCTTAGGGCGCCGGCCGCTAACCTGCTTCAGCGACCGAGGCACGGCAAACCCGGGGGCAAAAAGTGAAAAATATTCACTACGGAACGCGTAGAACCGAAACTCTTTTTTTTTTCCAGATATTCTTGGTGATTGATCACGCGACAGTGTTTGACAAGATGGCTTTCCCGGTGTCATTTGTTTCGTATTTTCCTCCCAAGATTGTCAATTGAGCCGTTGCGATTTCTTACGAGTTCTGCGTTCAAGACGGTGGAAATTGCGAGTTCTGCTAGACGCCCTGCATGCACTGAATCCTCCGCTGAAGCCACTGAGGCCTGGCTGGCCATTGAGGACACGGAGCTCCACTGAGCGCACCGAATCACAGCAACGGTTCTTGCGTCATAGCGCTTCAGTAGCCAAGCCCAGGCGCTGCCATTTTTGCGCGCTTTTCCTCTTTCAGCAACACTGCACGAGAGCACAGGCCGAGTCCTAGGCCCCAGCAGGCCAATAGGACGGCGTGGCTAGGCCCTAACAGCGACAAAAAAGTCTGCCGCCAAGATTACAGATTACAGGCTGAGGCCACTGGGCGAATGCGAGACGCTTACGACAAACGCCAAAACAGGGAAGGTGGCCCCTGGAGAATCTGGAATGTCGAAGAGAAAAAGGCATGTCTCCTTTTCCCATCTCTTTTAAATACCCAGTACTTTGCCAATTCTCGTTTCTGCTCTCGTGATCATTCCTTTCTTTCCGTTCTGTGTTTGGCTCGTATCGCATTGATTTGTTTTTCCCCTTGCACTGAAACCGTCTCTGTGTGCAGCGTTGTCTCAGCCTGACTTTGCCCACTGTCTTTGATTGCTGCCTACGCTTATTCACATCGCGACACAAAGAAAAACACAGCGACACATCGACATCGACACATCGACACATCACATCCGACAAGCCATCGATCCTCTCCCACGATAAGGCCTCACGGTATCTTCGGCTGAATGTCTGGCATTCCATGCACATATAAACACACGTACTGCGTGCCCATGCCCTCTGCCGGCCGCGGCCCCAATTGACTTTGAACAGCCTCACTCTGTCGGCGTCTCCAACTGCATCGACGGCTTCATCGCCAACAAATCTCCAATCTCCAGTTATATCCCATTTCCATCCCCAATCCCGCTTCGACACCTCCCCATCCCGCAAGCTTCAACAGCTGCTTGCCATGAGTTCCATTCGCGACGACAGCCCGGGCGCGGCCGCCAAGATTGGCTCCTACTTCTCGCGGCTCAACCCCATTCCCGCGTTTCCCGACTACACAGGACCCTACAAGGTCGGCACCGTCGACATCGAGATCCCTGTGAGCGATCTCGACTCGCCCAGCCCGGCACCCGACCACGCCGCTGGCCTGCACACCGTCCAGTTCCGCGTCTTCTACCCGACGGCCCCCGACGCCCAGGGCAAGCGCATCAGCTGGCTGCCCGCGCCCCAGCGCAGCCACGTCTCCGGCTACACGCAGTTCCTCGGCATCGGCCCCATGCTCGCCGAGTTCGTGTCGTTTCTGCCGCGCCACCTCCACTACACCTCCATCCCGGCCCTCAAGAATGCCGCCCTGCTCACGCCCAACACCCCCAGCGGCCGCTGGCCGACGATGATCTTCTCGCACGGCCTCGGCGGCAGCCGCAATGCCTACTCGCACATTGTCGGCTCTGTCGCGTCGCACGGCGTCGTCGTCATCTGCCCCGAGCACCGCGACGGCAGCTCGGTCGTGTCCTTTGTGCGCGACCCGGCCGCCCAGAACCGCTTCTTCAAGCAGAGCCGCCGCAGCGTCGTGCCCTACAACCGCATCCCGCACAACGAGACGCCCGAGATCTGGGCCATGCGCGACCAGCAGATCCGCATCCGCCTGTGGGAGCTGGGCCTCGTGCACGACGCCGTCCTGCGCATCGACGAGGCGTCGCCGCTGACCAACCTCAACACCAGCACGCCCGTCGCCGCCATGGCCCAGTTCGCCGACAAGCTCGAGGTCCACAACCCGGGCGACATTGTCTGGTCGGGCCACAGCTTCGGCGCCGCATCCATCGTGCAGCTGCTCAAGACGACGTACTATGCCGAGGCCCCCGAGCTTTCGTCCATTGCCAACCCGCTGTACACACCCAAGCGGTTCTCGCGCCTGCGCGAACAGATCACCGAGAAGAGCCCGACCATCCTGCTCGACATGTGGTGCTTCCCGCTGCTGTCGCCGGGCCAGCGCGCCCTGCACGACCTGCCCCTGCCCGTCTATGCCGACGTGCCCACGGCCCCCGGCGGCACGGGCCTGCTGGCCGTCGAGTCCGAGTCGTTCTTCAAATGGAAGGCACACCTGCACGCCACCGCCAAGATCCTGTCGCCCGTCCCCGCGGCGCCCGTCGTCTCACCCGCCGCCTACGAGCGCCCCAGCGGCGTGCGGCTGCCCGAGCCCAACTTCTTCTTTGTCCAGAACAGCGCCCATCTCAACCAGAGCGATTTCGGCCTGCTGTTCCCCTGGCTGACCAAGAGGGTGTTTGGTGCCGAGGAGCCCGAGCGCGCCATCCGGCTGAACCTGCGCGCCATTCTGCAGATGCTGCGGGCGAACGGGGTCCCGGTGGCCCGGACGTGGGTGGGCGATTTGGTGGACGGCGCGGAGGTGGACAAGCTGGGGCGGTCCACCGCGGCGTCGGCGTCGGCGCCGGCACCGAGCGACAGCGAGGCTTTGGCCACGCCGACGACCACACCGACGAGTACGCTGACGAGCACACCCACGAGCACACCCACGAGCACACCCACGAGCACACCTACCGAGAGCGAGGCCGCCGCCACCCCCGCGACGGACACACAGGCGGCCGACGCCGCTCCGACGCATACGACGCCGTCGCTCTCGCACACCATTGGCGACCGCAGCCTCGCCGACGGCCTGTTCGACGACAAGGCCATCTTTGACCGCAGCGGCCGCGGCACCGTCGACCACTGGCAGTGGATCGACATTGTCGGCCTGGGCGCCGACGCCGCCGACTCGTACAAGAAGGCCACGGTCTCCTCCGAGGTCCGCAGCGTGGACGGTGCGGACAGCGTGGACAGCGCCGACACCGTCTCGGTCTGCACGACCGCCTCGGCCATTGACGAAAACGAGCAGGCCATGGAGGCCGAGATTGAGCCGCACCTGGGTGCGCCACACGTGGTCGCGGTGACGGTGTAACGTCCGTTGTCTTTGTTTTTTTCTTTGTTTCTTTTGATTCTACATTGTTTGCGATAGATTGCGATTTGGATGGGATATACATGTACACTTGGATTTAGATGAGCATTTTCGGAGGATACCTAGCGGGCCATTGGATTTTCTGGATTGCCTTGGGACTGCCTTGGGACTGCCTTGGGATTACTGTTTGTAATAATTATGGAGTTTGGACTGGCCGTTGAGGCGTCTTGCGACGTGTACAAAATAATACAATGTCATAGTACGAGGAATAGAGGAAACGATACGATCAATCGAGGAAGACAACACCATTTCAAAACTGTATTGAATTTACTGCGAAAATCGGCCACGGATGTGCACAGCTTTGTACGAATTACAGACTGCATTATTTTACAGTCTTTTCCCCCCGGCCAATGGTACACTATGTTTTGCATTCCAGAAAAGCCAAAACAGCAGACTCTTAGCTCAGCAACAAAAACGGGTGTTTACAAAGTAGAGCAACTAGTGTTGTCCACAAATTCGGAGATTGTTGTCATATTTTACTATCTATTCCACATTTCATCTACACTCGTTCATTGCGCTTTCTCGCAAGCCATGGACAAGCACTCCCGTCGCTTTATGCTGCGACACGACATCTCAGTCATCGTATCTGTGGCTTTGGCTCTTTGTTTCGCCAGACGCGCTTCTCTTCGTCTCTTCGTCTCGTCGTCTCGTCGTCTCTTCGTCTCTTCGTCTCTTTGCTTCCCCTCTCCTCTCAGCCTTTCGGAGCTTTTCTCTCGGTTCGGTCAGCCCTCGTCTGTTTTCCACCTTGAAATGCGACGGACGTGCTGATCCGTCCAGGAAAAATTTAAGAATTACGGAGCCAGGCCGTAAAATTAAGCTGGCTCCTGTGTACTCTGTACGAAATACACACTAAAAGGTACATCGACAGAGTGGAATGGTCGCAATTCATCGCAATTCCAATCGCATCGAGCATCGGCGAGCCATCAGAGATTGGTCGGCATCTGCCCAGCGGTCCACTTTTTTGTTTTGCCTCTGCAAACCTTGCAAGTGGGCCACTTTTCGGCGACTGGCACCTGAGCTGATGAGCCGAAAGCCACCCAAGAGTGCACCAAGACGGCACCAAGACTGCACAAGTGCAGCACCAAATTGCACCAGATTGCACCAAGACCCGGCCCAAGATGGCCCAAGAAGGTTCCAAGAGGCCCCACCCACACCTTCCCTTTGTGCACGGCTGCACCCAATCTGCGCCAAATCGAGAAAACAGATGAAGTCATCGGCTCCGTCGTAGCTTCCTTTTGCTCTTTCCTTTTCCCTGTGCCAGGTGCAGATTCGCGCACGAACGTGCCTTCCCTCCTGGCAGCTGACAGGCTGCAAACTGCCGATTGCTGAATCTGGCACCACAACATAACCGAAAATGATGAGCACAAGAGGCAAGTGCGCCCCAGTACGCGGTTGTGCTGGTCTCTCTGTGCACCGCCGTAGTCTGTAGAATCGCCGTCTTGGCGGTCTCTCCTTCCTCTTGGTCGTTCTGCTGTGTGGTCTTGCCAAAGTGGGACACATCTTGTTTTTGTTTCTTTCATTGCTCCTTCCCTAACATTTGGCTTAGTTTTTGTCTCTTTCATCTTCTGTTTTTCATCCATTTTTGCTTGCATCTCGCGATGTTCCATTGAAAGCTGTGCGCGATCCACATCAATACCACCCTGCCTTTCGAAAGGGCGGTCATTTTTTATTGAAACCCATCTTTCGTCGGCCTCCCACGTCCACCGTCGCCATGTCGGGAGGCGAGGCCAACTCGTACTACAACGCTGCCAGCGGCCAGGCACAACACGATGGCAACTACAACGGCAACTACAACGGCAACTACAACGGCAACTACAACGGCAACTACAATGGCAACTACAACAACCAGGACCTGGAAGCCGGCAACGGCTACAACAACCCGGGCCAGAATAAGGGCGCTGCCCCGCCCATGCCCGGCCAGCCGCAGCAACACATGAACATGGACGGCAAGCAGGACTACGACCAGGTGTTTGCGATCCAGGGACCCAAGTACCGGGACATCTGGGCGGGGATTTTGGTGAGTGCCGGCGTTCGGGAGAGGGGTGACGAAACCAATTTCATCGTATCATGGGCTCGACTAACGTGACAGTTCCTTGCCGTCGTTGCTGGCTTTGCCGCCGTGTCCGGCATCTCCCTCCACGGCTACGGTATGTTTATGCCCATCCTGACCATCACCCGAACCTGAATCCCCCCCCCCAACTCGACATGCGTTGCTGATTTGCGCTCCATAGCCACCACCCGGTCGGGCACCGGCGGCGGCATCTACGACAGCGACGCGACGTTCGGCCTGACGACCAACACCATCATCTGCCTCGTCATCTGCATTGCCGTGGCCTTGATTCTGAGCCTGCTGTACATGTTCGTCGCACGCACCTGGACCAAGATGCTCATCTGGGTCACCGGCATCCTCAACATCTGCCTCGGCCTCGCCACCGCCATCTACATGCTCTACCAAAAGTACTGGTCCGGCGGCATCGTGTTTCTCGTCTTCGTCGTCTTCACCATCATCTGCTTCATCTCGTGGATCCCGCGCATCCCCTTCAGCGTCGTCATGCTCCAGGCCTCCATCGACGTGGCGCGCCGCCACGGCCACGTCTTTATCGTCTCGCTCATCGGCGGTCTCGTCGCGGCGGCCTTTGGCGTCTGGTTCTCCATCACGCTGGTGGCCGTGTACGTCAAGTACGAGCCGGGCAGTACGTGCGACGCGAGCGGCGGCGGGTGCAGCCAGGCCAAGGTGATTGGCCTGATCGTGTTCATCACGTTTGCCGGCTACTGGATCACCGAGTGGATCAAGAACACGATCCACGCGACCGTCGCGGGCATCTACGGCTCCTGGTACTTTGCGCAGAACGACGCCAGCTTCCCGCGCGGCGCCACGCGCAGCGCCGCCCGCCGCGCGCTCACGTACAGCTTCGGCAGCATCAGCCTCGGCAGTCTTGTTGTCGCCATTATCAACTTTTTCCGGCAGCTGTGCTCGGTGGCGCAGCAGCAGGCCGCCGGCTCCGGCGACACGCTGGCCAGCATCTTCTTCTGCATCCTGGGCTGCTTCATCGCCATCCTGGACTGGGCCGTCCAGTTTGTCAACCGCTACGCCTTCTGCCACATTGCGCTCTACGGCTCGTCGTACTTTGAGGCGGCCAAGAACACGTGGACCATGATCAAGGACCGCGGCATTGACGCCCTGGTCAACCAGTGCCTGATCGGCCCCGTCTTCAGCATGGGCGCCACCTTTGTGGCGTACGCGACCGCGCTCGCGGCCTACGTCTTCTTGCGCGTCACCGACCCGGCCTACAACTCCGACGGCAGCTACACGCCCGTCATTCTGGCCTACGCCTTCCTCGTGGGCCTGCAAGTGTGCAACATCTTCACCACGCCCATCAGCAGCGGCGTGGACACCATCTTTGTCGGCATGGGCTGGGACCCCAATGTTCTCCAGGAGCGCCACAACGACCTCTACCACCGCATGGTGGAGGTGTACCCTCGTGTGCAGCAGGCCATCCGGTCTCGGTAAGAGCGACAAGCGCAACGTCAAGACGGTTGGGAACGAAGGGTAGGACGAGGACTTGGTCGTGGGAGGCGTAGGAAAGATAGTGGGAAAGAACGAGCAGCGTGGGGGGCAAGCAGTGACGAGTGACTACGTGGGAAGCAATGGATAGCAAACGTTGATGCTACTTGACTTTGCATTTCCGAACAGACTTTTTTGGTAGGTATAGACGGGCCATTGGCCACTGTTATTGGCTACGGAACACCTTGTTTTTGGTTTTATTTTTGTCTTTTTTTGATTAGGAATGTTGGCGTTACTCTTTTCCCCGTTTTTTTGTCCTCTCAAAACTTGGATTGCCTTTTTGCCTTTTTGTCTCCGTGGTTGGTGTGATTGACTTGATCCAATGCAGCGTGGGCGTGTCAAGTAAAGAGTGAGGCACACTCCAAAAGCTCCTATATGGATAGATTGGATGGCACGGCCGGACCAGAGGCGAGCTCCAACTGCGAGCACATTGTGTGTACGCGTTTCACGTCTCGATTGTCGACTTTGGACGGTCGACTGTCCACTCGAGTACCGGAAATGCATCCCGACGTGGTGCTTGGAACCAACCGGGCCATGAAAAGCGGCTGCGCATTTCAGGCTGTTTGCTGCCTCATAACGGGAGATGCACAAACTACGTTGGTTTTAATGGCCGAGTTAAGGGATTGATAAGAGAAGAAGAGAAGAAGAGCAGAACGAAGAAAAGAACGCAGAAACAATGAAAAGAAGAAACGAAAAAAGGGGGGAAAGATGAAAACAAAAAGAAAACACCAGACTACAAAAACAGACTCTCCGTGTAAGTTATTCCTTCTCTGTCCACCGCCTTGTTGCATGCTAACGAGAGTGCAGACAGTTCCAGGCAACACAGGCCGTCAACTTAGCACATTTATCATTTATCTTTCATCAATGAGGTTCGGCGGACCGTCGTCAGTGCCAAGAGCAAAATGATCTCCCGTCTCGTCCTGGTTAATCAACGGTAAAAGATCCGCGCCCCCAACATCCCGGATTCTATTTTGGCCGTGTCTGGATATTTTTCGATTCATCTATTCGTCTCCAAGAACATCAGGTTCGCGTCAAATACCCCAATATCAACCCGCCGAGTTTACGTACACGTGTGAGTCGGCAGCCGAATATTCGTCAACACACTTACGTGGTGCCCAGCGAAGGATGTGACGCGATGAATTGGCTGATGGTATGTGAAGCTTTTTCTGTTCTCTGTACGTTTTCTGGCTTTTATATATTTTTGTCTTCCTTGTTCTCTTCTTCTTTCTTTTGTCTTTTTTTTTCTCCGATCCTCTCTCCTCTTCTGCCATGTGCTTGTATTCACCGTATAGTCAACCTTGAGGCGCCGCCCTCTTGACTGCTCGTCAATATGATTTCTCACCATGGCTTGAGTGTGGCCGTGGCAGTCCTCGCTGGCCTGCCTCGGCTGACCGCGGCAGACAGTTCGCCCTATCTCCTTACACAAAACTACCTCCCGCACAACTTGACCGACGGCTTCGTCTTCCGCACGGCTGCCGACTACCCCGGCACAGGCGATCCCACGCATGGATTCGTCAACTATGTCGGCCTGGACACGGCCACTGCGGCCGGCCTGGTCAAAGTCGTCGCCGGCAGTGCTGCTCAGGGAGCACCGTTTTCTGCCGCGCGCAAGCGGAACGAGCAGCTCTACCTAGGGGTCGACCATACGACCGTCCTCAACGTGTCGTCCGCGGACGTGGCCAACTCGTCCGTCGTCGCTGCCACCCCCACCCCCAGCCCCGCCGGCCGCGGCCGCTCATCCGTCCGCCTCGAGTCCCGTGCCACCTTCTCCCGCGGCCTCCTCGTCGCCGACTTTGCCCACATGCCTGCCGGCCAGTGCGGCGTCTGGCCCGCCTTCTGGGCGTACAATTTCAGAGAGGACCCCGTCGGCGAGGTCGACCTGCTCGAGGGCGTCAACCACCAGGCGGCCAACATGGTGTCGCTGCATACGGGCGGCACGTGCGAATTCGGAGCGTCGGCCGACGAGACGGGCGTGGACCGCCGCGATTCGTGCACGGTGGTCTATGGAAACGCATCGACATACGGCGGCTGTGGCATCACGGCGCCGGCCGCAGCCAATACGTACGGGACCGCCTTCAACCGCGTCGGTGGCGGCGTGTATGCAGCCCTGCTCGAGGCGGACCAGCTGCGGGTCTGGCACTGGCCGCGGGGCGGTGTTCCGGCGGATGTGCAGCAGGGAGCACCAGACCCTTCCCTGACGTCCACCTGGGGCCGGCCGCTGGCCGTCTTTTCGCAGGCCAACGGCGGCTGCGATGTGGCGGCCAACTTCCACACCCTGACGTTGATTTTGAACACGGACTTTTGCGGCATCAACCAGGCGAACGGCATATGGAACAACGACGCGGCGTGTGCAGCGTACCCGACCTGCGAGGCCTTTGTGGCGAGCCACCCGGAGGCCTTCAACGAGACGTACTGGCTGGTGAACTCGATCCGGGTCTACGAACCGGGACAGTCGACAGGGCCGGTGGTGCCAGTTCCTGTGAATACGACAACGCCGGTCAATACAACGACACCTGTGTCCACGGCCCGTCCCACACAGCCGCCGTTGTCGTCAAACTCGACACTGCCGGCGCCCATCTATACAAATACAACATCGCACGTCGTGCCGGTACCGACGGCCAACACGACGACATGGACGACGGTCAACACGACAACATGGACGACGACCAAGTCAACGACGACCAAGGAGACGTCCACTGAGATTTCGACGACTGAAACAAGCTCGGAAACCGAGACGACTTCTCCGACGACATCTCTGACGACATCTCTGACAACGGTACAAAATTCAACTTCTCAGATACCGACGTCAACAACATCATCAACATCGACGACATCTACATCAACGACATCAACGGTATCAACAACTTTTGCATCAACAACTTCTACACCAACAACATCTACACCAACAACATCTACATCAACATCTACATCAACATCTACATCAACATCTACATCTACATCAACATCTACATCAACATCTACATCAACATCTACATCAACATCTACATCAACATCTACATCAACTTCCACATCAACTTCTACATCAACTTCTACATCAACTTCTACATCAACAACGTCATCAACAACTTCTTCATCAGCATCCACATCATCTACATCTACATCTACATCAGCAACTTCTACTTCAAAAACAACAACGCCGACAACACTCCGGACGACGACTACAAAGACAAAACCCCCTACAGTCGAGCCCACACCAACAAGCAAAAAGACGACAACAATCACCCATCCACCCGGGCCCACCAAAACGCCCTATTGGCCATGGCCGATCTGGACGACGCCGGGGCCTGCCAAACCGACGCCAACAACGGAGCCCCCAACCAAGCCGACTCCGACTGCCTCTCCCACCAGCCCCGTTGTCCCTGCCTGGCCCAAATGGCCACATTGGCCCGCACCCGTGCAGCCCTGGCGGCCCTGGACGCCGTGGCATCCGTGGGGGCCGCCGACGCCGTGGAAGCATCCATGGCACCATCAGCATGGCGAAGGCCATGGCGACGACGACGATGGGGACGACGATGGGCCGTACAGTGGCAATCCGTTTAGGGATGACGGCGATGGCGATGATGACGACGACGACGACGGTGACGACGACTCTTCGGGTGAATGGAAGTGGAAACATCACCATCACCACTGAGATTGGAGAGGTCGTTAAAGGGCGGTAGTCAGTGTCGTCAGACATTCTCTTTTGTTTCCTTGTCGTAATAATTTTAAGCTATATCGGTTATTTAGTCTTCGCTTATAGATTTCTTTTTGGTCTTTCTATTTTTATATCCTTTTTATTAAATACAGTAATTATTTACTAAAATGTATTCTGTATTCTGTATTCTGTATTTTGTATTTAACTTTCAGTATTCAGTATGTTGATTCTTTAAGGGGACACCGTCTAAGGGGGTAAGGGTTGGCCTGTGATGAGGGATGACTTGATTTTCGTGTTATGTAATGTACCAATTTGATTTTGGCTCTGGATGTGGTTCCGGTGATGTTTTTACGTCTGCTTCTTCGCTTCTTTCATGTGTCGATGCTTCCATTCTGCTGTCTTCACACTGTGCCGACCACATGTCCTTACTTTATGTACTGTAAACCAGGCTACCCACCAATTAAAACAGGTCCAGTGGCCAAATGGCAAGGCGCTTGGCTACGAACCAAGAGATTGCAGGTTCGATCCCTGCCTGGATCGTTTTTTTAAAATTGTGTTTTTTTTTTTTTTTTTTTTTTTTTTTTTTTTTTTTTTTTTTTCTTTTCGTAGTTTGAGCAAAATTGTTTCGGCGCTGTTCGTTTGTAAAACACATATACAATGATACCTGCTCACCTCGTCTCAGTGTCTCGCGATAGGTCGTCGCCTTAATGGCAAGATCGATGAAGATCTCTTATAGCATGTGATAGAAGCGACGTCACGAATTCAACTTTGTCACGTGAGGGGGCAACAGCTGGACGTGACTCTCTCAGTTAGTTTCTTCTTCCAAAAGTCACATTTTTCCTTTTTCCCCTTTTTATCTAAATTTTCACCATATTGCCTCTCGTAAAAAAATGAAATTTTGCATGTGCTCAAAGACTCCCTTATGGCAAGTTCCGTTTTGCTCTGTTTTGACTGTGGGTGTTGGGTGAGGTCAGACATGGGCTATTCCCTATTCCCGCTTTGTCGAAACATTCTCCCGCACATTTCCCCTTCCTTCGCCTCCCACCGGCGCCGTTTTCTTCAGGTACAAATCTGCGACGGTACATGACGGTGGCCTGACGACCGCCCGTTTTGCCGGTGCAGCGGATGGCCGCGCAGAACAAGCACTGGACGCTAATTTTTTTCTTCAACCGTCGGTAGTTTGTACTCCCGGCCCTCTGGGTTTGCCCCTTCTCCGTCATCCTCCGTCGTGCGTCCGTCGTGCGTCCGTCGTGCGTCCGTCGTGCGCCCGGTTCGCGTGGCAGTCGCCGTGGTCGTGTCTCTTCTTGTTTTTCGTTGTTTTCTTCGTGCCAGGGCGATTCTCGTGTTTCATTGCCCTCGTGGTTTTGGGACGAGTTTACGAGCAACACTGTTGGATGGGATGTGCCGCCGTCTTTGCCTCTTTGCCGTTCGTCTTCGGCTCTGCAAACGCCATGAGCCGATTTGTCAGGCGACCGCTAGACCCCGGCAAACTTACAATAGACCGTTGTTCGACGGCGCCAGGCTACTGTGCACCATCCGTGTAAGTGAGTCCCAGTCAGATGCGAACATACATGGTATTGGTATTCTGGACACATGTCCAAAACGAGGCAAATGCACCTGCAACTATCATGCGCCGTGCCAGGATCGCGGACCGAAAGATGCATGTGCCATGACACCCGACCTGCAGAGTTTTTCGTCTTGTGCCTGTATGTTTTTCGTCGTGCGAGTCGTTTTGCCTCCTGTGCAGGAACGGCATCCGGGCCTGGAGAGGCAGCTACGCTGCTCAATGTCGTCTCTCGTTTATGCCTGGTGATAGTGGTGACAGAGCAGCTTCTGCAGGCGGGACCACCGTGCACCATCCCGTCGTTGTACGGTGTTCCGAGTAGACGATCTTCGCTGAGTGGAGAGCGTCAAGTCGCCGAGGGCAGGCAGAAAAGGGCCAGAACTGGAAAGAACAAAAAGGGTTCCGCCAACGAGACGCCGTCGAGCACACAGTACGGCGCATTGGTTGCCAGGTCTTGTTTGTCGGGGACGCAAAAGACTGGGTCAAGATACATTGTCAACACTGGTGAAAGCCAGTTGGCGACGCATCTCGTGCCCACACACACCTCTACGACAGCAAGTGAGAGCCCAGTATCGCGAAAACTCTTTAAAAACTCAGTGGACAGGGCGCTGAAAAAAAAAAGGGACTGCGAGAAAAACTAGTCTAGCTTGCATTGTGAGGCGGACGTGGGTCATAAGCAGAGACGACGGAGAAGATCGAACGTATGGAGTTGAACAGTCTCCGCTTGTCCTGTCACACATTATGGCACTTGCCCCAGCACGGACAGGACTCCTCCACTGGAGCGGACGGGAAGACAGGGCGGGAAACATGGCGGGGGGAGACTGGACAATGGGGACACAGAGTGGGAAAAGCGGTGCAAGATGTCGAGCAACGACAAGAGCGAGAGGAGGGCAGCAAGGGCCGCAAGTTCTCTGCACGAGCTGCACGAGATGCCATGGAAGTGACAGTTGGACAGAATCTGCAGGTCGGAAGCGCAGGCAACAGGAAGACCATCTCACCAATGTCCCGGGAGAATGTTCGGAGGACAGACCGGAGCCAGTGTGCCAGTATGGCAAAAGCAGGATTTGAAAACGCTGAATCTTGACATCGATCGAAACCCCTGTCTGGTCGCCAAAACGGATTGTCTCATTGCGTGCCGTGCACGGCATGTCAGCATGAGAAAATACATTGTATACAACATATTGTAAGTTGTAGTGCGGCCCAAGTTCCGGCAGCTGGGAAGACTGGACGAGACGACATGTAAGATGGCGCCTTCAATGGTGCCGGAAGCTGGACGGTGGTGCAGTGGACCCTCGGTGGCAAGACCGGGGTGTTCCAGAATGTGTTACTTGGCGATGTGGATATTGCTCGCGGCGCTTTTTTTCTGGTCATTTTTTGGTGTTTCGGCGGAAGAGCATGCACGCGCCTAGGCCCGATATGGGCGATGTTGGTGCAATACACGGAATAACAACTGGCGCAAAAGCTCAACGACGGACGGGTGAGAACAGGGAAGGATGTACGGAATACGTAGTCTGCTGTAATACCGGAATGCCTGCGTGGAGGGTATGCAGGGGAAAAGAAAAAAAGAAAAAAGAAAAAAAAAGAAAAAAGAAAAAAAGAAGACAAGAAAAACAGCCCCCCAGGCACACTGGCAGACGAAAGGGATCTCACAGGGAACCACAGAACGACAAAGAAACGAACCGTGTCCGTAGACGACTGGGTGAGACCAAAATCCCTCACTGCACGTCGTGGACAATGTACTCAGCGCAGTGTCTTGTGTGTATCCTGTTCCGATTTTCCCGTCTTTCTCACTGAGAGGCAATATCTCATCGCTGTACCTGGCTCTCTTACCGGCCGCGGTCTCGTGGTTCAAACGGCCATAGGCCACAGCCAAACGGCCAAAATGGCCAGAAGCAGACTAGAGCGAGAGCCTAGGCTTTGTTGCAGAGCCAACGTCTGAACATTTTCATCGGATCTTTTGCGACTCGGTTGTTGGTCTTGTGCGGTCATATGTAGTAGTCTCGTGGTCTCGTTTTGGCCGACCTAGTGTAAAACCGACTCAACTCGCGTCCGTTCGCTGTTCTTTGTTCTCTGTTTCTGTTCCTGAACCAAAGCGTCGACGGATCGGATGGGTGGGCTTTGCACGGTCGACATTTGAAAAACCATTGGGTGAGGCGGAGCGAAGTGGATTTGGTGAGACGGCCGTCAGGCGGCCGTCTTTGTTCGGTTTTTGGCTGGCGCGCGGCAGCGGGCGGCTCTTGGGGGAGCGTGGGTGGGGTGGGACCCTGACCCTGACCCTGGGACCTGGGGGCTTGGGCTGGGCTCAGAAAGAACAAAAGACGTATTCTGTACGAAATACACAAAGCATGCGCACGACGGATGAAACAAAACAACGCAGAAGGTGAGGCTGAAAATAAAGAACAAAAAAGGAAAGAAAAGGCGGAAAGAAGGAAACAATAAAATAAGATAAAACGAAACACCGACAAGGGCAAAGGACAGAACAAAAAAGGGACAAGTGACGTGCCTCGGACGATTCAAATGCTCGACACCAACTTGGCACCAACTGGACAAAGAGCACACCTCAAACAGACTATCGACGTCTGGCTCGCGGAAGACAAAGCAGTTTCAACCAAGGACGACGAGAAATGGACAAACGGGTGCGGACGACAAAGAGACAAGACGAGGCGGAACGACGGCGTGAGGACGGCGTGTGGAGAAACGATAAAGACACAAGTGACAAAGACACAAAGACAAGGACGACGAGACAAGTGTAACAAAGGGTGACAGCGGACCAGCCGTCGACGGGATGCAGTGGACATGTCTTGCTTTGTCTTTTCACCTTGGCTGCCACTTCACTGACACGCACTGACACAGCAGTGGATGCACGGCCACGTCAACCGGCAGCATCCAGTCGGGCATCAGAGCAGTGGCACGACTCGACTGACGACCACGACTGCTCATGCACAATGTGAGACAGCGCAACAGACTACGACGTACATCGTACATATCCGACGTCGTGGCAGGATTGACGGCAGTGCCCTCGAGGACATGGCCGATGGCGCCCAGTATAAGTCCGTACAGGTACAGCGACCTTTGCTGTAGTCTCCTTGGTCTTGGACTCGATTGCGTGGCCATGATCCACTGTCTTGACGGTCAGGTAGCAAAACGGGACGAGTGTTGGTGATGCCGGCCGCCTTTCCGCATTAAAGCCTCAGCAGCCAGCGCCACAACTCGACGACGCTTTGCCCGTTTTGGGAGGCGGTAGAAGACACAGCAGTTCACCGCGACTGTAGCGCAGCTTCGGCGGCAAGACGATGCTGTTAGGCCCGGCTGTAGGCATTTTGGCTTGACGTTTCCAGGCACAGGCCTGTGACTGGTGGGAAGCCGCCATCGAGAGCCGCTAACAGAGTCCTGTCGTACGCCGAACTGCACTGAAAATTCTGCTCTCCCCTGCTGATCCGCCCCCCCGGCCCCAATTTGGCGTGAAATGACACGCCGTCCTTCGGGATGAACAGGACAACGTGATTGGACCGACCCTGAATTTAACCCGCTTTTCCGTCTGTTTTCTCGCGCTCGTCAGTCTGCTTTTCAAAACGACGCCACAAAACGACGGTGCGCGCTGTCATTGGCTGCTGTCCCTGAACGGTGTGGCCCACTTCTGTTGTTGTTCCTGCATCGCCCTGGCCCCTGTTTGTTCATCGGCCACTTCCATCCCTCTCACCATAACCTAACTGACCTGCACAAAACAACGCACAAAGCACAGCACAGCGTTGTGCGTAGCTGTCGACGTGGCCCATGCACGGCAGCAAGACAAAGCCGCCATCACCCCCAGAGCACACGCAAGATACTTGTCGCCCGTCTCGATAGAAGTCGACACGAGGTAAGAGAGCGCCGTGTGGTGCAGCAGCGTACGCCTGCCGTGCCTGGCCTTCGGTGTATTTCGTACTTTTCCGCTTGTCCTTCTTGCCTTCCCTTGTTGTCAATGCCTGTTCTTTCCTCGTGATTTCTGTCTCTCTTTTTTGCCTCTTCCCTGTTCTTTCCTCGTACCCCCCACCCGACTCATGCCAGTCCCAGCCACAACAAACTGCCTTGCGTGTACACGTACACATGCCCGCCGTAGCGTGTAAATAAGATGCTGTTTTCTGCGTCGACGGGCGTGCCAGCCATTCTCTCGTCGCCTGTTTTTGTCTGCCGCCCAGAATGTAAGTCTTATGTGTGGCTTACTTCCTCTTGGCCTGTCTCTTGGCCTGCTCTTTCCACCAGCCACCAGGGCCCCCTGCTGGGGCCAGCCCAAAAGGAAAGAGCGACCTGAGTGTCTGAGGGCCTGGCCCAAAAGCGACCCAGAAAAGAGTGGTCCGGCAGGCGCAGAAAAGATGGAGCCAGGAAAAAGTCCTCATCTGCTCATGTCCACTTCGGTCGCTCTTGCCTTCTGGCAGCCCCCCTCCACCTGGCCAAAAAAACGCGTACACACAAACGCTTTTTGGTGGAGATGTCCGCACTGTTACAGTGCTAAATTAAAGATTTCTTGCACTGAAAGACTGCTAGAACATTTTGTGTGTACGCCTTTTTTTGTCCAGGGGGAGCCCCCCTCCCCCATCGGCCTCGGACCCACAATTTCCTGCAATCTCGCTGCACTACTGTGTATGTACGATGTACGAGAAAGGGCAGTCGCGCCCAAGCAGCGCAAGTCCCCCCTGCCCTTTTCGTCGTCCCCTGGCGCCGCCCACACCCCCTTCCTTGTTTGTACCTGGCCGTGTCTCCCCTTTTTCCTTTCGCCCTTTTGCCTTTCGCCTTCTTTCTGCCTCTTCTCTCTCTTCTCTCTCTTCTCTTCCTCCCTTCTCCTTCTTTCTTCACGCCTCACCGTCGCTTGTTCTTTTTTGGTCCGCCGCCTCTTTACGGCTGTCCGTCCATTCCTTACGTCTCCTTAAAAGACCTCACCTCCCACACCCCCCGGGCCCTGTCTCGTCCTCCCTTCCTTTCCCCTTGTCTGGAAATACTCCGTGCACGCCTTTCATTTCGTTTTCAATCCCAATCTTTTTCCTTCCATCGCGAAGTTCGTTCCTTTTCGTTGCTTTTCAGCAAACGACCACACTCCTTTTTTTGTGTTTTCTACAAACGTACAGCACCAACGCTCTCTTGGAAAGCCAGCTCTTTCCAGCCACCCACTCTCCTTGACAATCGACGCATATATTCTATATCGCGACAAGATAGCAATCACCAGTTCTGGCCAACTTGGATACCGAAAGCAGACATCACAAAACTCTTGCAAAGAACACGACTGTTACGACAACCCAATACGATCCTTACATTGAGATTTAAGCTTTAAGCAGCACACACAAAAACATCCGCACAATGCGCTTCACAAACGCCCTCCTCCTCGCCGCCATCGGCGTCTCCGCCCACCCGTCGGGCCACGCTCACCTGCACCGCGCCGTCCACGAGCAGCACCAGGCCGAGAAGCGTGACGTCCTCGTCCACGCCACCATTGACGGCAAGGTCGTCTCCTGGACCCAGGGCGGCTCGCCCTTCAAGGCCGCCCACAAGCCCACCGATGCCGCCGCCGTCGTGAACACCCCGACCACCACGTCGACCCCTGCTGCTGCCGCCACGCCCAGCACCAAGGCCCCCAGCTCGGCCAAGGCCGCTGCCTCGCCGTCCGCGGCTGCCTCGCCCGCCGCTTCGTCCGCGCCGTCGTCCTCCGACTCGTCCTCGGGCGCCTCCGGCAGCGGCATCTCGACCTACGAGGCCTTTGGCTCCTGCGCCAGCTCCAAGGCCCGCAAGACCAAGAAGCGCGCCACCGCCGCCAATATCGCCTACGCCGGCAACACCGGCTGCAACGGCTACGGCTCCAACGTGAAGCTGGTCCAGTCCAGCATTGCCGACCAGTACACCTACGTCGTCAAGGCCGTCAACAGCGCCAGCTCCACCATGCAGTGCCAGGTCTGGAACAAGATTGGCCCCGACGGCGGCATCAACGGCTTCTTCATCAACAACCAGGCCCTGACCTTCACCATCCCTGCCGGCGCCTCGCAGCACGTCGTCTTCGACGCCAACACCCAGGGCGGCATGTGCTGCCAGGAGGGCTCCGTGTCCCTGACCGAGGCCGGCGAGTTCCTCTGCCCCTGGCTCGAGTATGACTTTGGCGACGCCGCCAACAACGGCTGGTCCGGCTTTGACGCCTCCGCGCTCGTCGCTGGTTCCGTCGGCGGTCCCTTTGGCGCCCTCAAGGCCTGCACTGCCGACGGCGCGACCTGCTCCACCCTCAACGCCGGCGGCGGCGGCACCAACGCCTACCTGCCCGGCGACGAGAAGCTGGACGGCATTGGCGGCAACCTGGCCCCTGGCGCCGTCTCGCTGGTTGCCACATGGTAAGCAACGACTGGGCCCGCAAGGCTCTGCCGTTGTTTTTCCATTTTCTCCTTTGTCTTCTTTCCTTTTTTTCAACGACTTTATATATACGGGGATTCATCTTTTGACCTTTTTATCTATTGATTTTTTTATGGCTTTGTATTGGGAGGTTTGACACTCTTCAACTTTCTTTTGCAAATGTTGCGCACACTTTTCTGTTTTTCACTTCTAAACTTTCGTTCAGCCGACGATGTGACACACCACTTATCCTCTTTATTCTTGCTTTTCTTGGACATACTCTCATTTTCAATTTTGTGTGCACCAGGAAATGACAAAAACAAACGATTTGGCGGGGCCATCTGATAGGGGCATTATATCCATCCTTTTTTTGTTTTGCTTTTTATCAAAAATTTGATTAACAAAAACCGAGTTTGTCGTTTTTATCGTGATTTTGGCCGTGACTTTGACGACTACAACCGTGACTGGACCAACAGCCACACGTCTACAGATGAAACGTTTCTATTATTGGCCTTGCTTGAAACAGGCCATCTGTGCGCGGTACGAAGGGGCAACCAACACTCCCTTTTCTCTTCACCAACAGCATACGATGTACACAAGAACGCGCAACCTTGCTTTTGCTTGCCGGCACGTCTCTAACAATACACGTCCCTCGCCCACGACTGGCCAGACACTAATGCAGGAGAAAACAACAAACTTACACTCGATCTTCGATCTTGTTCGCCGCGTCCGTGGCGTCCTAACAAAACGTGTTGGTTTTGTACAGAGTATGTCTCCAAATATACAGAGACGGCCCACCAGACCAGTACAAAAAATGGAGAAAGGCTGCATCCAAAAAAACAGGAAACGCAGCCGAAAACAAGGCACAAAGTCAGGTATAAGCCAGGCACAGCCCACGTCCCCCGTCCGGTCTTGGACGGTCCAGACCACTTGATCGGAGGTTGCCAACGTACATTGTACAATCAAAACGAATGCAAGCAGAACAACTTGGATATGGGACGCACACATGGGTCCGTCAACTTCACTGTATATGGCAAAGACCAAAATACGAGAACCAGCGACGACACCCAGCCACTAGGTCTCGACAGGTCTATGCGGGCTGTGAAAACGTACGGAGTAATTGCAGTAAACGGCCAGCAAACGGCCAGCAAACGGCCAGCGACAACAGCCGACGTTCTGATGACACGACAGACTGGCCGTCGGTAGCCATAGAGACGAGCCTGTCTTTGACGCCTCCAATCATCAGAGGACGCTTTTCGTTGCGTGTCTCTCCTTGCGCAATCCTCTATGGAGAGCACGGAAATAAGTTCTACAGAGTAGGAATGCGGAAAAAAGGGCGACTGGATACAAGATTGACGAGCATCGCATTCCCAATTTTGGGTATGGGTTTCTTTTAGAGTGCAAGCCATCGAAACAATGTTTCTCACAAAGAACACAGGATAGCGATCCTTTATGCCGCGACGGAAAGACTGTGGGTGATGGCCAGGATCGCTTCTGCTCTCTACGACACTCTTACCGGGCATTTCAATAACGGACAAAGGACTCTCCCTCGTCTCTCCCTCCCTCTCTCTCCCCCTCGTTGATCACTCGGCATTTTCTTGGGGAAAATGGTCTCGGCTGTCGATCGCATAATCGCAGCAGATCCAAAGAAGAATGTGATCGACACGTCCAGCATTGCAACGCATTCCGCCCTCGTTTCGAAAGTGCTGCACTAAAATAAAAACGAATAAGAAAAATACGACAAAAGGATTCGACGGCGCAAATGGCGACCGCGGCAGATGCGACACCGCATGTCGCGTCTCCGTTGAATTGACTGACGCCGGTCACGATGTCGTCGTCGCAGACCCTGAACTCCCATGTCCGCCAACGTCGACAAAATACCACGGCACTCAATTCCTCGCATGTAACGACAATTAAACTATTTCGACGTTTGCTCCTCTTCCACGTGGGTGCAGTTTTCCGACGACATTGTTATCGTCAGATGTCGTCTTATTTCCATTTTAAAATTGCGCTTTCCCCTGCCTGGTTGCAAATTAGACGTCAAAGCCACCACCCAAGACCGCCGTCGCACGACGATTTCATAAGGAGTAATTACGGCGTACTGGAATTGGCTTGGGCTGCTTCTCGTCTGCACGGTTTATTCTATCGCTTCGTCAAGTGAACAATCGTCCTCTGCACGATGTGATGCATCATTTACAGAGCAAGTTCGACATTCTCTGTAACGATGGATAGAACCCACGAATTACGAGCATTCCCGGATTTGCCGAACCGATCCTCTTCTTCTCCTTCTCCCCGTCTTCTATTGTTTGTTCGCCTATAAACTTTATCCAACCGTCCCGTTCGCAGTCTATTCCGCGTGGCATCCCGTCTTCCAAGTCCCGGTTCGATTGGTCCATTTTGCCGTGACCAGCCGTTCATTGATTCTTGATTCGGCTGAATGGCGACAGAAGGCATCATTTGTCCGCCGCAGCCAAAGAACCCCGTCCCGGTTGTGAAGCCTGGGACTATGGGCTCCCAATGCCGGAGGCGTGTCCATCGCCCCATGTTTCCCAGGAACAAAAGGGAAACAAGCCAACAACGGAACAGAGACATGTGCTTCTACTGTGTAAACGTCATGCAATATACGGTAAGCGATGCGATGGACCTCCATTTGCTGCACAAACGTATAAATAACACTGCTCGATCGCTCCTCGATCGACCGCCCCCATCTCGATGTCTATACCACACACCAAATTACCATTGTTCTCCATTGAACTGTGCTTTCAGCCCGCTGCCCTCTCGCACAATGTCACCGCAGCCTTGTCTGTGCCCTGCTCATACGTTTGTGGCATTCCGCGAGAAGCAGCCGTGCCCGCCGCCGTACTGCTTGAAGCGTGTGGCTTCGGTGACTGGTGCGCGGCCAGGCAACTGCATTTGGCCGACGGGACATGTGCGCACTGTCGGCGTCATCGTCCACCGACCTGCCTGTGTTCGCTTGGCAGCGTGGCTGGCTGTGTGATGATGTCTGGCTGCCATGGTAGTGTGGCCCAAGGCCGTCGTAGCTGCGAACGTCAGTATCCAGCGCTGGTTCGGCCCTCCTGTTCTCGATGCAACAAACTCACTCCACACTGGCTTCCCTCTTGTCACTGTTGTCATTCTGGTCACCGGCACAGCTGTCGAGGCACACGGGCCGACTGTACATTGTCGTCATGGTCGCGGCAAAGACGTCGTCCCACGACGCGGAGTCTTTGAGTGGGCTGTCCATCGTATCAGTCTGCGACGGTCACAAGTTGGATGCCGGAACAGGTTATATTTTTTTTAAAAAAAACGTTGATGGCAAGCAGACGCCGTCGTTTTTATGACCTCCTCCTTCACCATTCACTAGCTGTCCTTCATTTTGCTCTCTTGTACGACGGCACACGCAGTCAGAGGGGCCAGTCCAAAAGCCCTGTCCTTGCCAGCAAGTCACCATGGGGAATCGCCGTGCAGCAAAATGAGGTTGCGGCCGTTCGTTTGCCTTTTTTGCCCTGTTTGTTTGCAGGTTATCCATCCAGGCTGACCGCTACTCTGGGACGCTGCATCCAGCTCGTATTCCAACATCCTTTCTGTCCTACGGGGAGACGGATACACAAACACCCAGCATGCCCCAAATAGGAAGTGCTGCAAGGTCGCTGCGGTTTCTGTGTCATCTTGGAGAAATGGGGAAGAAAAGGGGCGCCGTCCACACATCTCCACGCTTGTGCAACATCGACCCGTTGACATTACAGAGATCACAGGCCACAGACCACAGACCACAGACTACAGACTACAGACCACAGAGACCATTATCTCCATGTTGTCTAAATATATCGAGACGCACAGAATATTGAGTCGCACCCAAAAATGAACAGTTCCACCTCGTCAGCTGTCTTGTGTCTTGTCTCACATCCACGTACCACCAAGAGGACGACCCTTGCTACCTGATGTACCTCTTTTCACTCAGCTGTTTATCTGTTCGTCACCCGCTCCAGTAGATCACTCTTCTGCTGCTAAAGACGCATGTCAACATCATAAACGAGACGATGCTGATGCATGCTCACGGGGGATCGTTTCCGATCAAATGCTGGCGACAGCACCACCACTGTCCATATATTCGGGATAGAATCTAGTATACTGCAAAAACAGCGTCACTTTTACGGAGTACTTCTAGAAAAAACTGGCGATGGTGAAGGTTGCGTTTACAGATGCAAAATATCGGTGGTGACGTTTCACAACATCTGATTGGTCAGAGCCCTCTAACCCATCGTATGCCAGCTGCTGCCAGCTGCCAGCTGGAGGCCATGGTCCCCTCAATTCTTATCGCTGGCGGTCCCCCACTAAATTTTCTTATCAGCAGAAAAAATTACAGATTACGTCGGGCCCGATTCACCCATTCTGAGCATTACAGTTCGAACATCACCAGATACCCATATTCGGTGTTTCCAGCCCTTGTCATTAGTTCGGTCGTGCTGTCAGATTTTGACCAATATGGCGACACCGTCCGAAAGCGCACCGGCCGATGTGCCTGCACAGACCCCGACAGAGACCCCGACAGAGACCCCCGTCGATGCTTCTGCGACGACTTCGACTTCGACTTCGACTTCGACTTCGACTTCGACTTCGACACCCTCAACCCCCGACGATGCCGCCGCCAGCAAACCCATCCACACTCTCGTCCTCGATGCCGGCCCCCTCATCAAGAACGACCCGTCCGTCAGCACCCTGCTCGCCCAGGCCGACTGCCTCGTGACGATCCCCTCCGTCCTCGAGGAAATCCGCGACCCGGCGACGCGCGCCCGCGTCACCACGACCCTGCTTCCGTTCCTGACGCTGCGCACGCCCAAGCCGGCGAGCGTCAAGTTTGTGAGCGACTTTGCGCGCAAGACGGGCGACCTGGAGGTGCTGAGCCGGCCGGATCTGCAGCTGCTGGCGCTGACGTACGAGGTGGAGTGCGAGCGCAACGGGGGCGACTGGCGGCTGCGGTCGACGCCGACGCAAAAGGGCGTGAACGGGAAGTCGCCGGCGGCGGTGGCAGCGGCGGCGGAGGCCGAGGCCGAGGCCGAGGCCGGGGCTGCCGCGACGACAGAGGAGAAGACGACGACCGAGGCCGAGGCGCAGACGTCCGAGACAGATCTCCACGACAAGGTGGCAGAGCTGTCAATAGACGACAAGGAGGCGGACGCACCAGAGACGCCGGAAGCTACCGAGACAGCCGAGGCTGAGGAACCAGGGGAGGCCGAAGAGAATGACGAGAATGAGCAGAACGAGGACGACGATGCCGCCTCCGACGACGGCGGCGAGTGGATCACGCCGTCCAACCTCAAAAAGGTGCAGGCCAAGGACAAGCTCGGCGCGCCGACGCAGCCCATCCAGCGCCGCCTGCAGGCCGCGCTGCTGTCGTCCGACTTCGCGATGCAGAACGTCGCGCTGCGCATCAACCTCAACCTGCTGTCGCCCGCGCTCGACCGCATCACGCGCGTCAAGACGTGGGTGCTGCGCTGCCACGGCTGCTTCGCCGTCACGCGCCAGATGGACCGGCAGTTCTGCCCGCAGTGCGGCCAGGCCACGCTGACGCGCACGAGCTGCGCGACCGACGCCGCCACCGGCCAGTTCCGCCTGTTCCTCAAGAGCAACTTCCAGTACAACAAGCGCGGCAACGTCTACAGCGTCCCCAAGCCCGTGCACGGCAGCGCGAGCGGCAAGTTCTCGGCGGCCGCGCAGGGCGGCCGCGGCGGGCACAACGGCTGGGGGCGCGACCTGATCCTGTCCGCGGACCAGCAGGAGTACACGCGGCGCGTCGAGGAGCAGAAGCGGCACCGCGTGCGCGACCTGATGGACGAGGACTACCTGCCCAACATTCTGACGGGCTTCCGCAACGCCGAGTACCAGGCCAAGATGCGCGTGGGCGCCGGGCGCAACGTGAACGCCAAGAAGCGGAAGTAGGTGGTACGAAATTGCGTTTGTGGAACAAACGTTATGAAAAGCATTTGGGTTATGCGGCGTTTCTAGACTTGGGTTTCCTTTCTGTTTTCTTTGACAGTAATACGATTTATGGCTTTGATCACACAAGAGTGCATGTTCAAGTCAAAACGTTTGAATTACAACCAGAGCGCCGAAAATCATGTAGAGTAAAATACAACAGGGTGTAAACACAATAAACGCCATCCAGGTTGCCGAAACAGTCACGGCTCAGAAGGGCAAGCATCCAGTGCCCCATCGCCCGTGATATTTAATTCCACCGCATCTTCTTGTTCCGTTGCGAGTTGCGTCAGTTCGGTTGATGTCGTTCCGGTCGGGTAGAAGCGAGAGTCGACTGTTGTTGTTAGCACGGTCTCTTCTCGTCTCACCGTGTCTGTCCTCTGTCGGCCATTTCTTACTTTGTATCTTTTCACTTCTTCGACAACGTCCGCCAAGGAGAGTCCGTCGACAAGAGTGTCATCGATTACCCAAACAAGCTCGTCGAGTAGAGTGATGGACGTCGTGGTTGTCGTGCCGAGAGAATGGTGGTCGACGGAGTGGTTGTCGAGAGTGTCGAAAGAACTATCGTCGCCTCGCTCTGCTCGTCGACTCAACTGCTCGCTCGCCGTCTACTTCTCCAGCTTCAGCAGACCAAACCGCCGCTTCAGCGTCACCCGCTGGCGCGACCACTTGTCGTCGGGCGAAAACCGCGCCGGGTGGGCCGACTTTGTGACTTTGCCCTCGGCCGTCAGCTTCTTGAGCGTGTAGAGACGCTTGCCGCTGGCGTCGACGGTGCACATGAGATGCATTTTGAATGTCGGGGGAGCTGCGGGATGGGCAGTGGTTGTGGTCGGTACTGTGGTGTGGTTGTGATGGTTGGTTGGTGATGAATATTAAAGGTGGTGGTCGATGATGGACAATTTTGCTGAATTCCTGAAATTTTAAAAGTGGACCCCAGTGTGAAGTGACCAGTCAGCGTCCGACAACCGATAAGAAATGAACATTATCTTATCGACGTTGTGGGTCCATATATCCCCACTTTTTACTTACACCGTTTTGGAAGGGAACGAAGAATACGACGTATTTCGTAGATGCAGAGTTGGGACGTATGCTGTTTCTCCATGTTGGTTTTCTTGTGTTTCTTTGTGCTGGCTCTTTTAGTCCCTTTCAGTAAACCAAAATGTATAAATTAAACTATCAAGGAGTGACGAGAAATGAATCCGTCCATGTACTTTCTTCCAAAAAAAAAAATGAAAAGAGAAAAGAAGAAAAGAAAACTGCAAAGCAAGCCGTGACATAACCAAGATTATAATTCCTTCCAGTCATCCATTCCATCGTTAATGAGAGTCGTTCAAGTAGGCTAGAGTCTTTCAATTATGCCCCAAGAGAAGCAATGCAAACCAAAGGCAAGCAGATGCGGTAGTAGTGTTTCCCTTTTTTTGTAGTTTTCTCGCCTTGCTTCTTGCTCGTGTCCCCCTTTCAAAGACAACGTCTCACGCAAAGAAGCTCTTGATGCTGTTCACCCACCGGCGGTACGTGCCGTAGCTCCCGTACCCGCCCTTGGGCGGAGGGTAGTCGCCGTAGCTTGCGTAGCTGCCCTCGGGAGGATAGTCGCCATAGGACGCATAGCCGTCGGCCGTCTTCTCACCGCGCTTCTCCTTGTAGGCACCGTAGCTGCCATAGCCGCCCTTGGGCGGCGGGTAGTCGCCGTAGCTGGCGTAGCCGTCGACCTTGTTGCCCTCGTCCTTGCCGTCGCCCTTGAGGGCACCGTCGCCCTTGTAGTCGCCGTAGCTGGCGTAGCCGTCCTTGGGCGGCGGGTAATCGCCGTAGCTGGCGTAACCGTCGGCCTGCTTCTCGCCGCGCTTCTCTTTCTTGTAGGCGCCGTAGCTACCGTAGCCATCCTTGGGAGGCGGATAGTCGCCATACGAAGCATAGCCATCCTTGGGCGGCGGGTAGTCGCCGTAGGTGGCATAGCCAGCGGCCTTCTTCTCGCCGCGCTTGTCTTTCTTGTAGGAGCCGTAGCTGCCGTAGCCGTCCTTGGGAGGAGGATAATCACCATACGAAGCATAGCCGTCCTTGGGGGGCGGATAGTCGCCATAGCTGGCATAACCATCACCACGGGCAGCGACGGCGTCAGCTGGAGGGCCGCCTGCGGCAGGAGCAGGCGCGGCAGCAGGCGCGGCCAGAGAGGGGGCCGCGAGCACGGCGGCGGAGAGGAGGACGGCAGCCTTCATTGTGAGGGGGGGAGGGGGGTGAGTAGAGAGTGATTTTTTTGAGGAGGTATGAGAGATGAGGGATGGGAAGGTGGTTGGGAAGAAAGAAGGTGGAGGTGAGGATGATGAAGGGGGAAAAGGCTGGGGAAGACGGGTTTATATGGATGAGGGAGAGGTGAGGGGGGGGAGAGGGAGAGAGAAGAGAGAATAGACAAGAAAGGAAACGAGTGAGGATGAGAGAGCGAGAGGATGAGAGAGACGGAGGAGGCGGAGCAAGCGAGGTCGACTTCGCATTACTGACCCAAGACGAACAAGACCACAGCCAACGCAGCGACGGAGGATGACAACTTGACTGGGCCGGATTACCAACGAGGAAAAGGAGGACGGATGCAAAGCCGAGAAAGAGTGGTGGAGGGAACGACACGCAGATGCACCTCACATCTCACATCTCACATCCGGCTGGTCCCTCGCTGCACACCCTCCCACTGTACGCTGTACACCCCCTCGCGTCTTGGGTCTCGTTCACTAGTCTTCCAAAAACAGAACTGGGCGTCTCGAACGGGGCCGCGGCTTGCCAGACTAGGATCAAAAGGGCACACAGCATGCACTCGACAGGCCTTTGACGGAACCGCAGGACGAAGCTTTTGCTGGGGCCAACGAACGGCACCAGTGAAGAAGTGCAGGACAATGTGAAGCTGGTCCGAGACGGGCGGACAAGACACAAAGCCAACGGGAGAATTGTAAACGCACAAGCAGCAACGACCTCGCGCTGTTGGCCTGTTTCGCCAGCGGCTGCCTTCTTTGCCCCGGGTCCTGATGGCACGTTTCGTCGTCTTCCGGGGGCATTGTTGCGTTCACACTATGGATAAGTAGAATTGATGTTGATTGCTGGTGTTGGTGGTATCGATCGATTTCCAGCTATCGGTTGTTGGCGGCGAAGCGGCCGTTTGTCTATTGTCTGTTGGTTGTTGGTGCTTTATGCTGATGTCTGCAACAAGGTCATGGAATCTGATGTGCGTTGTTCGACGTTGGACATTGTGGCCGCACGGTTATAGTAGGGTCCTGCAGAAGACACGATTGGAAGCACAGCACGAGTGACAATTTCATCACTGATTTGCTACGGGATACGAGAGTCAAGTGAAGTGACATGCCTTGGTGAGAGTGTGTTGGTGGCGTGTCTTTGGAAGTGAAGCGTCTCACGTTGCTGGTCTGGAGAAGCCAGAGGCCTCCACTACAGAATACAGACGGCTTCACGGCAAAGAGCTACGCCGCAGTCCGGCGTTTGCATGGCCGATGAAGAAGAGAAGGAAGCACTAAGACGAGCAGTAGAACGGTAAAGCAGGATTGCCCGTGGCTTTGTGTGGAGTCGAGCCCTCTTTTTTGTTTATGGTTATTTCTTACTTTTGCATTTTTGATTATTTTCCTCCGTCTCCTCGTCAATACGAGACGCATGCAGGTGCTGTTCAACTGACGTCGTTTTTGCCGATCATCTTGGAATACGGCAAATCGAGGCAGAGGCGTTGATGCCAAGACTTTTCGGTTTTCTGCAAGTAAAAAATAAAAAAGAAAAGAAAAAGAAATAAATAAATAAAATAAAAAGGGCGTCGGAGAGCAGTCGGGGCAGGAGACTAGCAAAACAGAAAGACTAAAAGAACGACACGGCCATTGCAGGCGCCGGACGGGCCGTGGGGTTCCATGAGGAATAAAGAAGATTCGTAGAGTGAAGAAAAGAATTACGACATGGAATAGAAAGAGAACGTGCACTGCAATATGTTGCGTCCTCCACTCGGCTCAGCCCTGCCCCACAGCGGGCGCTACAGGAGGTCATGCCCTGCAACAGCACATGCGGAGAAGTTCAATACGAGGTGGAGTTGCAGAAACCGGGGAGTTGCCAGCAGACTCGCAGGCCGTCCAGCCGTCCAGCCGTCCAGCTCGTATTACCAAACGTTTATTTTGTGAATTCAATATTTCGTAGAGGACGCAAGCCAAGCAATGACGTTTGTTGGAGACGCCTCGGCGGTTGCTTGTGTTGTTGGATGCTCTTAACAGTTTGACCGAGAACAAGCGTCCATTGAAGTGATGCTATCGTCATATCGTCATATGGTCATATGGTCACATCGTCATATCGCCATCTTTGAGACTACCAAAGCATCGAAATGGCGACATGGCACCGTTGACTGCAGAACACAGCCCCGTTCACCTCTGTTGGACAAGAGTACTCGATGCTCGCTCTCACGTCGTCGCTCTCACGTCGTCCGTCTTGCCGGCTCTTCTCACGCCTTACGCCACAGATCGACATTGTGCATGTCTCTTTGTACCCAGTCTTTGTACTCAGTCTTTGTACTCAGTCTTTGTACTCAGTCTTTGTACTCAGTCTTTGTGCTCTCCTCTTCCTACCAGTCTTGGCAGCATCCGCCTCGTCTTTTAACGGCGAAGCATGCCTCCATGCGTTCTTTCCCATCCGTGCACAACCCGTGATCGTGGCTCGCGATGCTCTTGTCCTATGTTCAGATCGACAAGATCCTGCCTTGGTTGCATCCATGGTACCATCTCAGCTGACAAGAGACAGCCGACACGAGACACGACACGAGACACGACAAGACAAGAGACAACTGCAAGAGAAAGATACATGCATCACAAAGGCGACATCTGGCCCATGTCTTCCGAATCAACCCCGCAACTCGTATTCCCAGCCGACGAAATCAAGGAACGACGATGCATCACGGTGAGATGGCTGATGTATTGGAGAAGCGAGGATGCATGGAGAAGCTTTGCTGCAACTACGGCTCAACGACACCTGCAGCAAGCTCCTTGACTCCACAAAAGGCTAAAAGCAAACCGGCAATTGGGCCGGCGATGCACCGGCAGGGAGCCAAGAGAGGCTGTAAAGAGCAGAGACGTGGTGAGGATCCGTCGCAATGCATGTAAGCTGAGGCAAAGCGCACCGAGTGGGAGGACAGCACTCCAACACGGCTGCAGCAACGATCCTGCGATCTTGAGGAATCCGTATTGGTCGAGAAGAAGTCGCTGGGCGGTGCAGAACGAGGATCGGCGTCTCGCACCAACAGGACAACTTTCGCTTGGATGTCTCGATTCCGGTTCCGATTCCACTTGCAGGTCGTCAAGTCGTATTGTTACATCCACAGCCTCCGTAGAGCTAAATATATAGAAATAAATCAGCCAGGAAAGGTAAGAAAAGAGAAGAAAAACGAAAAAAGAAAACACCACCAAAAGGAACCGGGCTGCCTGCACGGCCAACCGACCTGATATGTGTTGCCATGTCGCCCATTCGGCACCAAAGGCGCTACAGGGCATTACAGGGCATTACAGGGCGTCCCACTAACACCGACCAAAAGGCAAGCTCAAAGGCAAAAATAGAATATTGACTCAAGACACCGAGGACTCGAACAGACGGACGACACGACGGTTCTGTCTACAGAGCAATAAACCAAAGCGGGAGGACGGTTTCTGTAATAAAGGAATAAAAAGAAAAAAGATGCCCAACAAAACATGAGTCTGTTCTGAGTCTCTCCTTTTCAGTCCCTTACTTTTATTGCTCTTCGTCTCTTCGTCTCTTCGTCTCTTCGTCTCTTCGTCTCTCCTCCCAAACTCCTATTCACATCCTGTTCAACCTCGCCTCGCGTCATTGGCATTGACCCTCTGAACTCTGACGTCCCTGCTCTCGCCGCCGCCTTGTCTATTTTCTTCTCCGCTGTCCCCTCCTTCCCTCCTCTCATCACCACAACTCCCTCACTCGTTCTGTCACCTCTCCCCGTCACCTCTCCCCGTCACCTCACCTCACCTCACCTCACCTCACCTCACTCTACCGCAATGCCCTCCGACTACCGTCCCATCCGCCACTCCGACGACGACGAGGCAGATGCCGGCGAGGCCACCCGCTTTATCGGGTCCGAGACGTCGTCCGAAGGAGGCCAGCCGCGTGACCGTCTCTCTGAAAAGCATCCCTCATCGACGTCGCCCGGCGCCGCCCGCTGGAAGCGAGCCTGCGTCGTCGTCGCCGTCTTGGGCCTGACCAACGTCGCCTCGCTCGTCGCCGGGGCCCTCGCCGGGCGCTTTTCGGCGTACGCGCCGCGCCGCCTCGACGCCCAGTGCGCCGCGCACACCACGCAGTACTCGCCCGTCCTGGACGACGTGCGCATCCAGTACGCGCCGGTGCGGTTCAACGGCTCGTTTCTGGCGGAGAGCGTGTACCGCCGGCCGGGCGCGCCCGAGGTCGACGCCGCCTGGGCCGCGCTGGGCGTCGACTACCGCGCGGGCGTGATCCCCGCGGCCGCCGGCCCGCGCAGCGGCCTGTCGCCGGACGCGCACGTGCAGCGGGCCGGCCGCTACGGCGGCGGCTACGTGGTCAACGTCGAGGGCATGCACCACCTGCACTGCCTCAACCTCGTGCGCCAGGCCCTGTGGTACAACTACGACTACTACCGGGGCCTCGGCCGCCACGCCTTCCGCAACGACGACGCCATCCTCGCCAAGCACGTCAGCCACTGCGTCGACATTTTGAGGCAGGTGCTCATGTGCAACGTCGACACGGGCGTGCTGGGCCAGGTCTGGTACGCCGACGCGGCCGGCGCGCCCGCCGCGTTCCCCGACTTCCACACCACCCACACGTGCAAAAACTACGACGCCGTGCGCCAGTGGGCCGAGCAGCTGCAGGCGCCGCCCAGCGACGCGCTGCCGCCCGACTACCTGCAGCCGGCCCGGCCGGGGTTCATTCTGCCGTCGACGCCCTAGGGGGGGGATGTACAGCGATGATGTGTTTTAGTTCTTTAGTTTAGTGAATGGCACTTGCATTACTACAATATGACAACATGATGACAACATGTCTATTCGTCTTCACATGGGCAGGTGGAACGTGTTCTTTTATGCTGTTTATTATCGGGAAGATGAACCTACCGAGTTGAGAAAGAGAGAAAGAATGAGATGGTCTACAATGGGGCAACGTGCCACGTCGCTACGTCTTACCATGGCCACGCCGTATCTACGATGAAACGCTGCAGATGCTATGCACGACGGACCTCGGTCTCGGCCTCGGCCTCGGCCTCGACAGCCTCCTTACGCTTGGCGGCTGCGCACGGCGGGCACTGCTCTGCCGACGCGTACAGCAGAAACGGCTGGAACGACACTTCGCCGCAGACCGGGCCCGGCACCTGCACCTTGTGCATGCAGTGGGCAGCGACGGCCCACGCGGCCTGGGGCAGCCTGCTGGCCTTGACCGAGTGGCCACACCCGGCATACTGGTACATCCAAAAGTAGAGGCACATTGTGAGTTCAATGGACGAGAGGTGCTTAAAGGGTTAGAGGGGACGAAAGAGCTGTCTGGGGATCCAGGAGCTCGAGAGATGAGAGAGTGTGTTGCGGGAGACGGAGATGGAGATAGATCGCGATGAAGATGACATGGACTGCGATTATATACTGCATTGTGGACTACGAGACATCGCGAGGTTGTTCATTGTCCATTGACGTGTATATTGACAGGTTTTTGAGCAGTGGTCTTGGAACAAGGTCGTTGAACAAAGGTCTTGCGCTGTGCTTTGGCGATGGGCGCTGAACAAGAGAAGACGTGGACAGACATATGATATTGCGTGGTGAATGCAGTGAACAAGCCAACGACGTTTGTACTGTACGAGGTGAAAAGGTGTAAAAGCATTGCATCGAAATGGAGTTGTTTGGCCATCTCCATTGTGTACATTACAACTTGGAGACTGTCGTGACGTACGGCAAAAAATGGATTGTATTTATGATTGTATTTATAATTGTATTTATGATTGTGTTTTATGTGTTTATGGTCTTTACGTCTCTTTAATTGCCTCTCTTGTCCATAACAACATTACGTCGTCGACCAACCCATCCAAACATGAAACAACTACTTCGTACCACACGCTTCCCAATCAAAGGCAACAAACACCCCCCCCCCCCCACCCCCATGACCGGACTTGTCTAAATCCGGCCTTTATCGTATTCCTCCGTTCCTGGTTCTGGCCCTGCTCCGTGGAAAGTATTCAGGGGAACGGAGCATTCAGAGTCATCAACCGAGTCATTGTCGTTGCAGAGGGCTCTGATGGCCGACTGGGCACTCGTGAAGAATTGTCTTGGCGCTGCCCGTCACAAAAGATCGCCGCTTCAAGGATCTCTCCGCTTTCACCTCTGCCGACTCGGCGGCCACATCGACTCCACACGCTGGTCTCGTTCAGGCAGCCGTTCCCGTTTGGAGCATAGCGGGTGGAGAGGGTGAGCGGGTCGTGGCGCCCATCGCGGCCGACACGGCACCGATGCGCGGTACGCGATCCTCATTAGACAAAACGACAAACAAGTGGGACATCGCCGGCCATTTTCAACGACACGCTGGAGTTAACCTGCCGTTGGCAACGACTTATCTCCTGGTCGTCACGGAGCGTCATGGCCTGTGCGTGCGTTTGCTTGCGTGCGTTTGCTGTATTGTGTTTTTCTTTTCTTTTTCTTTTCTTTTTCTTTCTTCTTTTTTCTTTTTTCTTTTCTTTTTCTTTCTGTGACAACATAATCGTCCACTCACAATGGCCAACGAACAACACAAGTGATGCAACACCGCTAGCCAGGGCATCCTTGGACAGGCCGTCGTCGGCTGCAGCCTTGCTCCTTAGACTGAAATGAGGAGAAAAGAGAAATTTGTAACAGACCCAGTGGTGCCGCGTTTCCGTGTGTTGTCGGCATCATTGCAGCCCTTTCTTTCTTTTTTGTTGTCGTCTTTCTTTTCTTTCTTTTCCCTCAACACCCCATGTCCTCCGGCTTTATCAATGCTTTTCTCCGCTCTCCTTTCCGTCGGACCTCCTTTGCATTATCACGGTCTAGATCTCAGTAAATTCTCCGCTCTCCGTTCCATGATTTCATACAAATATAAGACCGAAGACCAAAGGCGCTGTCCATCGTCCTGCATTCGAGCGTCTGCAGTCTCTGCAGTCTTTTCAGCCGGCAACCCGTCATCCAGAATTACCCACAGCCCGGTTCTTGGATCGATTTATCAGCCTGCTGACACAGCATATTGCTGAATCAATATCAACTACAACCAACATGGCACCGGCCGACACAAAGGCCGCTCCGGCCACTGCATCCACAACTTCGACGACCGCTGCCGACGCAGACGATGCTCTGTTTCTGCGCCAGTCCGAGCCATACAGAAGTGACGAGAAGGACGACCACGACGACCACGACGACCACGACGACCACGACGACCACGACGATGTGGTCAAAGACGAGACGGCCGTCAAAGACGAGGCGGCTGTCACACCAGCCCGCTCAGGCTCGGCCACGGCGACATCGACCGCGACCGCCCGCGCCAGCGACATCCACGTCGGCAGCACCGCACCACCACCGCAAGTCGACGCATCCACCACAGACGCCGCAGCGGACGCACCACCAAATCCCAATGCCGCTGGCGACCCCGAGAAACAAGCGGCCGCCGCCGAGCCCGTCCCGCCGCGCTACTCCGTCCACTCCACCTGGGCCAAGCGCTGGATCGTCCTGGGCGCCTCCCTCGGCGCCTTCATCTCGCCGCTCACCGGCCAGATCTACCTGCCCGCCCTCACCGAGATTGCCGCCTACTTCCACATCACCGACGGCCAGGTCAACCTCACCGTCACCACCTACATGATCTTCCAGGGCGTCACGCCCATGTTCCTCGGCGGCATGGCCGACGGCATCGGCCGCCGCCCGACCTTTCTGCTGTGCTTTGTCATCTTCATTGCCGCCAACATCGGCCTGGCCCTCTGCCGCAACTACGCGTCGCTGCTCGTCGTGCGCATGATCCAGTCCGCCGGCTCCGCCAGCACCGTCGCCCTGTGCCAGGCCGTCGTCGCCGACATTGTCAGCAGCGCCGAGCGCGGCCAGTACATTGGCATCACCATCATCCCCATCGTCTTCGCCCCGAGCCTGGGCCCCGTGCTGGGCGGCGTGCTGTCCGAGTACCTGGGCTGGCAGGCCATCTTTTGGTTTTTGGCGATTGTGGGCGCCGTGCTCGGCCTGGGCCTGGCCTTTTTCCTGCCGGAGACCTGCCGCAAGATTGTGGGCGACGGGTCCATCCAGCCGCACCCCTTCCACCGCACGGGCTACCAGCTGATCCAGGACGCGCTGGCCCGCCGCAAGGCGAGCCGCACGGTCGGCACGGTCGGCACGGCGGTCCACGACAACCACGACGCCACCGCCGCCCCGCGCCCGCCGCTCCGCATGCAGGTGCCCAACCTCACGCTGTCCGTCCAGCTGGCCCTCCAAAAGAACATTGGCCTCCTCCTGCTCTACTCGAGCCTCCTCTTTGCCGGCTTCTATGCCATCGCCACCAACCTGCCCGCCAGCCTCCAGGCCTACGGCCTGTCCCAGCTCGAGATTGGCCTCTGCTACCTGCCCATCGCCGCCGGCTCCATCATCGCCGCCTTTGCCGTCGGCCCCGTCATCAACCGCAACTACCGCCGCCACGCCGCCCGCATCGGCGTCGCCGTCGACGCCGCCCGCCAGCAGGACCTGTCCAACTTCCCCATCGAGCAGGCCCGCCTCGAGACCGGCCTGCCCCTCTACTACCTGTCGTCGGCCATCATGCTCGTCTGGGGCTGGGCCCTGCAGCGGCACGCGCCCCTCGCCGTCCTCTGCGTCCTGCTGTTCCTCAACGGCGTCGGCATGATTGGCTTCCAGAACGCCGCCAACGCCCTGCTCGTCGACATCACCCCCGGCCGCGCCGGCGCCGCCGTCGCCGCCAACAACCTGACCCGCTGCCTCATCGGCGCCGTCGCCACCGCCGTCATCAACCCCATGATCGCCGCCATGGGCACCGGCTGGGCGTTTTTCCTCATCGGCGCCCTCTACGTCGCCGCCTCGCCGGGCCTCTTTCTGCTCATGTTCAAGGGCGTCGCCTGGCGCCGCCGCGCGCGCGAAATCGCCGAGCGGCGCCAGCAGCGGCGGGCCGAGCGCAAGGCCGAGCGCAAGGCCCAGAAGGCAAGCAGGGCGGCGGCAGGAGGATGACGTGTCGTATTTTGTTTTCTCTCTTCGTTTTATACCATTTTTGTTCTGATTTTTTTTTTTTTTCAATTTGGATTTGCGACTTTTTCATACATCTGGCGTTATGGAAATTCGTGGGACTCGTCCTGGCGTCGGGTCGGAACCTGTCGTGATCGTCGGTCTGCGACGGTGTGAGATGCGAGATGTGCGATCGGCGTTGATAGGAGTACGGAGCACGGAGTGGCTGCAAAGTAGAAACAAAAGGTTACATTGAACAGGAGTCACAGGAGACGGGAAACAGGAAAGACAAGACACTAATACATGAATACTTTCTACACGTGGTTGCTCCGGTCGCGAGAACAGCAGGAACACAGTTGCGACTTCCTGTCTCGGAGGCAACGGACAGACCGACATGGACGTCTACAGGGAAAGAACGACTGTTGTAAAAGACGTCTTCTCGCCGGACAAAGTAGAGTCCTCCATACAACATACTCTGTAAACACACTCCGTAAACCGTCACCTCATGAGAATTGTCTCAAGACACAAGACGCAATCGCGGAACCAAATCCTGTTCAGCCCAAATTCAGGAGCACGGCACGGCACCCAAACAACGCGTGGTCCCCCCACGCGCAACAAAAAGGCGGCGAGGCAAGTCCTCAAGGAGAAGGGCGTGGGGGCGCCTTCCCACCGTCTCTTTCTCTCTCTCTCTCCTTCCCCTTTCCACGTCCTCCCCTCCAATGCTCCTTCCTCCGGGGTATTGTGGTCCAAGTTCCTGCCCCCTGCCACGCCCAGGTCACACGCTGTCTGGTGTGGCAATTTCCACTTTTTGGAGAAGGTGCGAAGCACAGAGTACGACGGACAGAAGAGGGCTACGTTGACACACAATCACAACTAGAAGGCGCGATGAGAAGAATGGCAAAACAAAGGAAAGAACGATGTGCGTGGGATGCACCCCCTTTTCCACGGCATCTCCCCTCTCGTGACTTTGCATCCCGTCCTTTACCATCACAAATCACAACAATGACAACAAAAAGGTCGAAAACGGAAAACAACATTTCGACCCCTGTCCTTCAGCAACACTCGTCACGCTAGGAGATCCCAAAATCCCAAGCAACCCAAGACTCAAGCGCACCCGCGTCCTTAGCACGACGGAGCTGGGACGAGGGAGCCTGCTTTGTATCGTACATTCAACGTCTCCATCCACTCTTCTCCCCGTCTGCCAATCTCTGCCATTTCGGTTGCATGGCGACTCCTCTCCTCTGCTCTCGTCTTCCGCGCAATTCGTTAGTGTGCTTTCATCACATCCACCCCCCTGCACGGGGCGTCGCCGTACCGTCCTGTTTCCCCAGAGTCAGACAGCCAGAGCAGGACAACAGTAGGAAGTACAATACCCCACGTCTCCAGTCTCCAGCCGCCTCTCCTTGGACGCCTCGAGGGGAACACAACAAAAATGGAACGCCGCCGCGGTGACTCTGGGCAGGCAAAGCCGCCTTTCTTCTTTCCGTGACCGACTGCCTCTTGTGAGCGTGGCTTCTGTTGGCTGTTGGTTTTCGTCGCCTGCTAAGAAGATACGTACCGGAGACCCTCGACCTGCATGCACAAATGCAACAAATGCCCTGTCTCCAACATCCAACGCAAGAACTGCAGAAGCTCTCCGCAAAACACATCCCGTGTTTGGTACAGCCTTTAATTCTTTTTCTTTTTTCTTTTAATTCCTTCATCTTTTTTTTTGTGCCGCCCCATCCCGTTCTGCTCACCCCCTACTGGCCCATCTGCCAAGCTTTCTGTCTCTCATCAAACTGCGTCCAAAATCGGTTCTCGAGTTTCCTTTCTTTTGACTGCTGTCTCTTGTCTCAACCTTTGCCTCCTCTTTTTTACACACAGAAAAAGCCCCCCCTGCTTGTGTAGTACTTTGTACTTTGTACCACATTGCTGCGAACTCGTGGGCAGACAGCTTCCTCTGCTCTTTTATTCGCCTTGTCGACTTTCTTCCACAGCTCCTGCGTGTGCGCCTGCTGTATCACTTTGCTTTCCCCCGATTTACCCCATCTTTGCCCTTTTACCTCCGCTCCCCTTGCGCACTTGTTCACATTTTATTCTTGTTATTAATTCATTTTCTCGTTCCTTCATATTGTCGACAACAACCATCTTTCCGGCTTCTACTCACTTTACGGCCCCCACCCAAGGAAACGTTGACTTGCTTTGAACAGCCGTTTGATCATGCACGGCGCTGCGGTCCGCCGCCTGCCCGAATGTCCACCACTCACCACCACCAAGAGCAGCAGCAGCAGCAGCAGCCGCCAACCCAGCCTCATGCTGCCCCGGGCTCTACCGTCGCCTACAAGCGCGCCAGTCGCAAGGGCGCACCTCGGCGGTATGGCTGTCGCTTTCCCGGCTGCGACAAGGTGTACTCGCGCCAGGAGCATCTTCAGCGACACCAGTTGAATCGTGAGCTCTTTCCTCTCTGTCCACGTCTACCGTTTATATTCATGTCAACATCCACGTCCACAGCCCCAGCTACTTCCACTTCCACCTCTACGTCTAGGTCTACGTCCACGTCTACTCACACAATTTAGACAACCCAAAAGAAATCTTTGCCTGCGACGTCGACGGTTGCGGTCAGCGTTTTGTCCGCGCCGACCTGCTGACCCGCCACAAGAAACGCCACTCCGGCTCCTACACCCCGCGCAACCGGATACAAAGCTTCACCGAGCCAGAACATGCCATCTACTCGTCGGGCTCTGTTGCTGTGGGCATCCTGTCGCCGCCCATCGGACTGCACGGTCACGGGGGCAGCCACATGGACGATTCACCACAAGGCGGGCGCACAGCTACAAACAGCGCATCAGCAGGAGCAGGCGTGAACAGCAGCAGCAGCAGTGGCCACGCTGGTGGCCATGTAAACCATCCACATGCCGGTGGAGGAGGCACCGGCACCGGCACCGGCACCAGCAACACGCGCCTACCATCGTTGCCATCCTTTCCACCACACAGCGTGCCTCGCGACGCCGCCATCTTACTTTCACCCGAGTCGACCCCGGTCATACCCGTTACTACATCAATACCGGTAACAGCATCGCATGTCGGCATGCCTGGTCTGCCCGGTCACAGGAGTGGCCTTCCTCCGACAGCACCACCACCTCCGGCACCTGTGCAACTTCAGGCCGTGTCAACTGCTTGGTCGTCACCAGCACCCTTGACCACGAACATGGGTGGCGACTTTATGCAAACTGACAAAACAGTGAGCTACTATCGGTCGCAAACAGCCCCCCAGCATCAGCAGGAAGAGCAGCAGCAGCAGCAACAACATCACCACCTCCAACAACCACCACCACCACCACCACAACAACAACAACAACAACTCCAGACGCAACCGTTCCATCATCCTCCGCCACAACCTCAACATCCACAGTCCTACCACCACCAACCTCATACCCGCGACGACCCACATGCCCACGCCATCGCGGAAGCGGCACCTGCTATACTGACGTTTGCCACGGCCCCCTACGCCGATCAATACTTGGAGACCCAGAACTTTGCAGACTGGCTGTTCGACGGGCGTGAAACGACGCTCAGCGACTTTAACGTCTCTCATCTCCCCTTTTTAGACGACGGTCTGGAGTCCGCCTTCAACAACAACATTGCCTACGACTACGAGTCCCTGACAAGCCGGTCGCACATTGACACGCCGCCACGCCAGCTCGAGACCAGCGACGAAGTCGTCGGCGACCTCCGCCGCCAAGAGATTGTGCGCTTCTTCAAGGCGTGTCGTCTACAGCAGCCACAGTTCGAGGTGCGCATCCCTACACTCGGACAGGCCCTGGGCGACGACATTCCCGCGCTCAGCGCCGACATGATCCACGACACCCTCTACGAGTTCTGGGAGAACGTGTCGCCGCGTGTCCCTGTCATCCATCAGCCCACGTTCTCGTGCAATCGGTGTCCGCTGCTGTTGTTGGCCGTCATGCTCGCCCTGGGCGCCGCCTCGCGCTACGATCGTGACCAGTCTGGCAGCCTAGTCGATCTGGGCGGCTTTGCCGACATTATCATTACAAGCGCGCGCTTTGAGATTTTGACCTGCGACGAGGCCACGCCGCCCGTCAGTCTGTGGGTGGCGCAGGCGCTGCTGCTGGTCGAGTTTTATGAAAAGATGCTCTCGACACGCGGCCTGCACGAGCGGTCCCAAGTCTACCACTCGGTTACGCTCACCCTGCTGCGCCGTGGCAGCCCGCTCATCGGTCGTTCGGGGAGCGAGTCGCCGCCAGACGAGTCGCAACTGCCGTCGTTGACGGCCACCTCGCCGCCCTCATCCCTGCCACCGCATCCCCATTCGCCGCCGACACCACTGTCCACACATCAACCTTTGGGCCGGCCACATCATCACGCGCACCCCCAGCGCCTGCACCACCAGCACCACAGCCATCGTAGCCATCGTAGCCACCGTAGCCACTTCCATCACCAGCGTGACGGCCAAGCCACGACCGCAGCCGACCTGCAGGCCTGGTGGAACCGGTGGGCCGAGACCGAGGCCATGCACCGGGTCGTCTTTGTGACGTTCTGTCTCGACATTGCCCATGCTGCCATGTTTGGCCACATGGCCGACATGGCGCCGCATGAGATCCGCCTCCCGCTGCCGTGCGACGACAACCTCTGGACGGCCGCCAAACCCGAGGACGTGCGGAAGCTCGACAACGACCTGCGCATGTACGGCGTGCACCCCATTACGTTTTTGGACGGCCTCAAACGGGCGGTGCACGGCATGGAGGTCAAGACACACAGTTTTGGTCGCATGATCATCATGTCCGGCCTGCTGAGCGTCGGCTGGCACCTGCGGCACCGCGAGACGCACCTCAAGTGGCTGGACCTGTCGACGGCGACGACGGCCGCGTCGGCGGTGGCCTCGACCGAGACGACACAGACGCAGCAGGATGCGTGGCGCAAGACGCTGCTGATGGCCTTTGACGGATGGAAGGCGAGCTTTGATCACGTGCAGGATGCGGCGGTGGACGGTCTGGCCACGGCCACATTGACAATCGCTGCGAGCGGGGCCGCCACGACCATGACTACGACCACGGCCACGACCACTGGTTCCCTGTCGTCCTCGGCTTCGTCGTCGTCCTCGCCTTCGCCGACCATCCGTCGCAGCGGGTCCAACGGCCCCATTGAAAGCGCCGCCGTCCTCTACCATCTCGCACACCTCTGCCTGCACGTCGACATTGTCGATTGCCAGGTGTATGCGGGCGCCAAGCGCCTGCTGTCCCGCAAAGTGTCGAGCCGCGACTACACAAACGTCGTGTCCCGCATGAAGGCGTGGGCCAAGCAGGCATCGACGCGCCATGCCATTCTGCACGCGTTCCGCCTGCTGTACCGCGTGCTGGTGGACCCGCGCGGCCGGGGTGCGGAAGGCGGCGTTGGCGGTGTGCGCACGTCCTCGGACGTCTACGACATCTACTCCATCAAGACCGAGGCAGACCCCCACCGCCCCTGGATCATGTACTATGCCGCCCTCAGCATCTGGTCGTTTGTCCGCGCGGTCGGGCAGACCTGGTCTTCGTCGTCTGCTTCTTCCTCGTCTTCGTCGTACGTCGGCCGGCCACGGCCCAGCCACCACGCGCCTCTGAGCCCTCCCTACCAGCGCGTGGTCGCCTACCTGGCGCGCGTGGCCGAGCGGTACGAGCTGGACGAGGCGGCGACGGCTCCCGGTCCCGGCAGTGGCGGGACCGATTTTGCCAATCTGGCGGACCTGGCAGACGGTCTGCCTGATTTGTTGGATTACCTGCAGGGCGTCTTTGCCGAGGCGCACTCGGAGCTGCTGCAAGAAGCACAGGTACGGCTGCAGATGTGCCGAGAGATTATGGCGGGGACCGACAGCGGCATGGAGAAGATGTAAAAGTCGGGTCCTGGGTGGCAATGAAGTTGCCATACGTCATTTGTTGATTTATTACTTAACTCTTTTTTTTTTTTTTTAAAAAAAAAAAAATCTTTATTTCACATGACCGATATTCCATACGCAAATTTTGTGGACGATGGATGATGAAAACAAACTACTTCTAATCTGTCCGACTCGATTCTGGAAGGCACCGTGTTCAACCGCCTCTCTTCCGCCTCTCTTCCGCCGCTCTTCCGCCGGGTCCTCGCCGCACGTTGCCTCGATGTGCTCTTTTAACATGTTTTGGGTTCCGCGGAGGACGGTGCAGTCCCGCGGCTAAGGGCAGAAAAGTGGGGCACATCACGGAGCCCGATGCGTCTATGGTCCGGCTTACCAAGACAAGGGTAACAAAGGACGAGGAGAGACGTCCAGTCAGCGAATGCATTCGCATGCCGTGTGGTGTTCGCAGACTGCAGTACCCCGGATTCTGATTACCAATTCCATCTGGCACGATGCACCGGGCCCGTTGTACGGTGCCTTGCTTTCTTAGTGTCATTTTTGGTGGTCGCCACAGTCAGAGTGTCAGTTCGGCACATGCAATGCAGCCTCGAGGCAGCAGAAGCAGCAGACGCTTGGCCCGGCCTTGCGAATTGTCGGTTTGTCAGGCGAGGCTACGGACGGTTCGTCCGAACCGAGCTGCTTCGCTGTATAAATAGAGTGCGTCCTGAAGCGTCCAGCGCGTTGAGCAAACACCACGGCCAAAAACAACATCACTTGCCATTATCATTCATCGCTTGTCTACCATTTCGTCCACAGCAATGTCCGCCCCTGTCGCCCTCATCCTCGGCGCTGGCTCCAACACGGGCCAGGCCGTCGCGCGCGCGTTTGCCGCCGACGGCTACAAGATTGCGCTGGTGGCGCGCTCGCTGAAGGAGGCAGACAGCGCGGACGGGTACCTGCGCATCCGCGCCGACCTGGCGGACCCGTCGTCGGTGGCGGGCATTTTTGCCAAGGTCAAGGCGCAGCTGGGGGCGCCAAAGGTGGTTGTGTACAATGGTGAGTGTGTGTGTGTGTGTGTGTGTGTGTGAGAGAGAGAGAGAGAGAGAGAGAGAGAGACAGAGAGACAGTAAGAGCTAACATGCCAGCTTCTGGCGGACGGCCGCCGATGCCGCCGCTGGCCACGACGCTGCCCGAGTTCACGACGGTGTTCAACATCAACACGACGACCGCGTATGCCGCCGCCAAGGAGGCCGTCAAGGCGTTTGGCGAGCACTCGGTGCCCACGGGCGTTTTTATTTTTACGGGCAACATCACCAACATCCACCCGATCCCCACCATGGCGCCCATGAGCGCCAGCAAGTCGGCCACGGCCACGCTGATCCAGTCGTACGCCGAGTGGGCGGCGTCGTCGCCGCAGGCCCCGCGCGGGATCCGCTTCTACTATGCCGACGAGCGCTTTGCCGACGGCTCGGCCGTGTACGGCGCCATCAACGGCGAGGCGCACGGCGCCATGTACACGGCGCTGGCGCGGGCGCCGACGCAGGGCCCGTGGCTGCAGACGTTTGTCAAGGGCATTGGGTACAAGGCGTTTTAGTCGGGGGGCCGTCTTTGACCGTGGACGGCAAGGCGCCTCGGCCAAGACGAGCTCACGAGGTTTCGCTCTGTCTAGGATGTAGCACGAGGTACACTTGCGCCGAAGTAGACTCCGTACAAGTACACAAAAGAACACCAAAAGGAAAACAAGCTTTTGTTCGTTGCTTTAGGGCTAACGTGTGCGGAAATCGTTCCGAGTCGAGTGCCTTGATCTGCCGACTCTTGAATCCTTGAACGTGGCACGCCTATGAACGAGCGAAGTGCTTTTATTGGGCCTGCCTCGTGGAGTACATACCTAGTCGCAGTAGCTTGCAAAATTCCAAATCACACCAAGCGTTGAATACACGGCGTCGGCCCAAATATCCCTACAAGGCGAGCCCATATAGTCGCCACTGACGCGCCACGACAATGCACACTCACAGTCCGAACAACACCCCTGGATCCTGCAAGACAAGGCAAGGGAACGAAGAGAAGAAAAGGGGAACAAGGAACCCAGGCACACCGGCGCAACACGGCGCGATGGCTGAGTGGACACCCCGACCCTTAGTATTAACTGGGTTCACATATTTCCACACCCCTGCTAAGCCTATCTGGTCGTCGTCTGACAGCATCTGACGCCCGCTCAAACAAGCTGAACGGACGACTACGACCTACTTTGTTTGCACTACTGTGGACAGGAGTGCAACGCGTGTCGTATCCAGCGTATTCTCTGTGGGGTAAACGCGGTCGACCACAACCAGAGCCAAAACCAAGCGACAAGGTCCTTGCGTATATTGCGATGGGGACGCTTCCGTCTCCATCTGCTGCGCCAACCGCCAGCCGCCAGCCTCGATTTGTCGCGACCCCTGCGCCCCCATCGCAAGCGATCTGCACGGTAACTTAGCTCCTGGCAGTACATCGTAGCTGGACTTGTCCCAAGTGTCCTGAGTCCCCTGAGCCTCCAACGGTTAGTAAACGGCGTGGCCGCCAGTCCTTGTTGGACTGACCATGTTTGACCCTGTCTCCTGTGCTGTGCGTCCCGTCTTCGTATTCATTTGCTACCATGCACTGTCGTACTACCTGCCGTTTCTCGTACCAATCGTACCTGTCTCGAAGTAAAATGCCAATTTGGGATGGTCCATACAAGAAGGCTAATAAAAAAAGGAGATTGCAGGCTCGCAAACAGGTTTCCATGTTTCAATGTTTCGACGGGGCCCTGTTTGGGCATGGCTCGGCTCGTACGTGTACTCTCGTGGCCATGGCCATCGGCGATTGATGGTCGTCGTGCCGGCCACAGCTCCTACTGAGTATATTTAGTCTTGGCACCGCCGACCTCTCTGTCTCAACAACGGTCGTTTGCCGTCCAGCACCGCTCCCACCAGCACACAGTCACCCACCCACCCAAACGCTCCACAACATGCACAGCTTTTCCACACTGGCCGTCGTCGGCGGCTGGGCGCTTGCCAACGCCGTGACCGGTGCCGCCGCCGCGTCGGCCGCGCCCGCGCCCGTCAGCAACACGACCTGCGCCCAGAGCTTCTACATCCTGATCGCCCGCGGCTCGGGCGAGGCCATCTTGCCGCCCGGCCAGTTCAAGTACCCCGACTACACGGGCCTCGCCGCCAAGGCCGCCCTCGACGTCCAGGCCCAGATCCCCGGCGTCGTCGTCGGCGGCGTCGTCTACCCGGCGCTCGACCCGACGGCCCCCGGCAACAACCTGTCCACCTACGCCGCGTCCGAGGCCAACGGCACGGCCGCCATCGCCGACGAGGTGGCTGCCTACACCAAGAAGTGCCCCGGCGTCAAGATTGCCCTCCTGGGCTACTCGCAGGGCGCGCAGGTCGTGCAGGACGCCCTCTGCGGCGGTCTGGGCGACAATGCCGCCTTGTCCGTCGCCGGCACCACCGGCACCACCAAGGGCTTCAATGCGGACCCTCCCATGCCCCAGTCGCTGGTGGAGGACAATGGTATGCCGTCCTCTGTCCTTTACCCCCTCATTTGTTCACACGAGACGTCGTTGACGTGCTAACCCGCGCGCATCCAGTCTTTGCCATCGCCTTGATTGCCGACCCGACCCACATTGCCAACACCTCCTACGACCACGGCAACAGCACGCGCAACGGCGTCTTTGCCCGCACCAACACCACCGCCTGCGACCCCTACGTCGCCAAGGGCCTCTACGGCGCCTGGTGCCAGGCCGACGACCTCTTCTGCGACAGCGGCTCCAGCGCCCTCGTCCACACCTACGAGCCGCTCACCTACGAGAACCAGGTCGCCCAGTTCCTCGTCGACCGCTGGAACAACGTCACCAAGGACGCGGCCTCCCCCTCGGCCTCGGGCTCGCCGTCCGGCACGGCGTCGGCGCCCTCGGGCACGGCCACCAAGGACGCGGCCGGCCGTGTGGCGGGCACCCTGGGCCAGCCGATGCTGGCGGCGGCCAGTGTCCTCTTGGCGGCATGGCTGCTGAACTAGGGGGAAAGCATGGCGTGTGCGGCGTATTTGTTTCTTATGTACCGTTGATAGCTGTGAAGGCATAATAAAAGTTGGACTTTATTTCAACGGATTCAAAACATGAACTGGAAAACAGAAACGCCGCCCGATAAACCGGGACAGTCAGCCATTCGGATTGCCACACTGACTTGCAAACAGACAAAAGTGATCACCCAACGCAACAGCATTGCACTGGTACTGTATAAAGAACAGTACAGAACCAACAACCAGAAGACATCCGGGTTGACAGTCTATCCATCTGCATTTAGCCAGCCAGTAACCAGTATCGGAAACACCAAGAGCAGATCGTGCGGCAGTGCTGTTGTGCTCTGTTATTGTATGTGAAATATGTAGATGGAAGTGGGTGGCAGTGTCTTGTGTAAGTCGTGGCGTTATTTTTAGTCTTGCCGTTTTGGGCAATGGCCATGCTTGGCAGACACTGTCGCCGTCATCACGACTCTGGACTTTATCCTCCCGTCACGTCGCAGACCCGGTCTCGGACCATTGCTTGTTCTGTTCTGTTTCTGCTTCTTTTTTTAACGCAGAGTTTGTCTTTTTATTTCCTGGGCTGCCATTTGTCACGTTCTCGGATACGGTGGAATTCTGAGACAGACGATGGGCGATCGCACATGCAGAGGTGAGGAGCAGAGGTGAGGACTCGCCCAGGGCGAATGTATGTCGTAAAGAGAGCAGAGGTGATATGAAAAAGAAGGGAAGGAAAAAAGAATAAGTCTGGGTCGGCCCGCTTATACGAGACGTCAAGTGGCAGTTGCCCCGGCCTTCTGTTCTGCTCTCTCTTGCCCTCACGTGAATTTTCGGTGGCGTCGCCGACGATCAAACATGGCAGGAGCGGAGACCAAGAAGGACGGAAGGCAGGACCGGGATGCAGGCCAATCGCGACTGCAGAAAACAGGAAAGAACATTGTGCCAAGAAGGAAAAAACGAGGAAAGAGGAAGGAACACGTCAAAGGAAGGAGCGAGATGCACTGCACACACAAGGAAGGCGCGCCACTCGAGCACAGAAATCCACCTTCCCGGAACGGCCGCATGCACACATCCACGCACCTGCCGGATCGCCGCCTTCCGTCTGTGCCCCTTGTCTGTCTGTTTTCTTCTCTTGTCGTCTCTCTTCCTCGTATCTCCTCCTCTTTCTCCTCTCTCCTCCCCCCCCCCCCCCCTCCTCTCTTCTTTGCCATCCACGTCTTCACACAGCACAGTGATCTACCGTCCCCTCGGCTTCCACATCATGTTCCAGATGAATACAACCGGATTGAGACCACGCCTGCGTCGTCCGTGGGTCGTCTCTTCTTCTGACGCCGGGTTGTCCATCACCAGATGCGATAGATGCGATGCTGGGAACAGGGCGAGATGTTGCCCTCCGCAGCAGACCAGGTCGTGACAGCGACCGCCTCTACAAGATTGTCGTCGTGTCTGATCGGTACATCGTCTACGTCTTTCCTTTCCTACATATACCTTGCCATCCCTTCTTGGTCGACCCCTGACCCCGTCTGGTCTGTTCTTATTCTGATCTTTCGTCTCTTGTTCTGCTTCCTCTTTCTTCCCTTTCTGATCTCTCTCTTCCTCTTTCTCATCAAACTCCTCTACATGGAGTCCTTCGAGACAACTCTCGACACCAATATGGCCGGCCATCGATATTGACTTTGAGGTTTCAGTTGCTTGACTGTCTAATTGTTTTACATTTACACCACCTCCTTCTTTAAAGCTGGTCTTTTTGCTGTCTTTTGTTGCTCTTTGGCAACAGTTCTCTCTTTTATACCCTACGCCTCGTGGCCCCGTGATGGAACCGTCCTCACGCCCGCAATCCACGCTGTCAACTGACCCCGAGTCCCTCATTTTGAGAAAGAAAGACGTGAAGAAGACGAAGACGACGAAGACGACGAAGCAGACGAGGAAGTCGAAGAAGTCGAAGAAGTCGAAGAAGTCGAAGAAGGACACAAAAGAGACAAAAGAGACAACGTCGAAGCAAAACAATCCGAACCGGATGTCACAAAATCACCCACAACAACAAACACAACAAACACAACAACCGAAACACAGCCGCCAACATGTCTCTCGACAGACACGACGTCCGCACACCACGCTCGCCCTCCTTGCCACCATCCTCCTCGCGCTGGCCTCCGTCGCTGGCATTGTCCTGGGCGTCTTGGCCACCGCCGTCCTCCATCTCCAGGTGCCTTCTGATGTGCCCAGCCGCATCGCCGTCTTTGGTGCGTCCATTGGCGGCGTCGGCCTCGCCGTCGTCCAGGCCATCGATCTGTGTTCGCGCTCCCGCCACCTGATTTTTGCCTGCCTGCTCACCACCCGCCTGGTCCTCCTTGCTTGGGTCGCCTCTGTCGTGCTGACGAGTCTGGAAGTGGCCCAGACGGTGCGCGACGCCACCGTCTCGTTCACGCTCGCGGCGCAAGCCGTCTACCTGAACCTCATGCTCAGCAGCGTGGGCTTCCTGTCAAGTGCAGTGCTGTCGTTCTGTCTCGAGCGAGCGACCCGGAAAGGCCAACAAAATGCGCATGACGGAGACGTCGAGGACGATGATGTGGATGGCCTCCTCGACAAAAGCGTCTCCCAACGGGGATCGCTCTCCGCCGAGACCCATTCGGAAAAGAACGTCGACCCGGCAGACGAAGAGCCCCGACCCAAGAAGCTGCTCTTTTCCTACAAGACCACGACACAGCTGATGGACGACACCCCAGCCAGCCGTCGAGCCTCCATGGTCTCAGCTGCGGTGGTGCCGCCAGCAGCGCAGCCGGTGGTCCAGCCAACGGTCCGGCCGTCTACGTCGATCAAGCGCAAGCCCGTGCACCCTGTTGCTCGGCCTGCAGCGTCGGCACACTCGGCTGCTGACCGGCGCAAGAGTGTGATGCCGCCCGCCATATTCTCGGATCCGTTTGCGGACCCGGTCGAGGAGAATCCCTTCTTGGACAGCAACCGCTTCGACGCTGGGCTGCCAGAAGCCACGACTGTCACGACTGCCACGACCGCCACGACTGCTGCAACGGCACCGGCTCCTACGCGGTCTCGGCGGCTCTCAAGACTGTCCACCCACGACTTACCCAAGCTCATCACATCCGTCGAACCAATTCCAACAGACTCGACCTTTTACCTGTCCTCCAGTGGAAGCAGCAACTACGACAACGACGAGGACAAGGAACAGACGGCGCAGCCGATGGAACCCCCCCAAGTATCCATCCTGCCCTACTCACCGGCTGTGAAGCGACCGCGGTCCGTCGTGCCACCTGTGCCGCAGGTGCCGGTTCCAAAGGTGACGGCCGCTCCCATGCCGCAAACCCTGCCGCAAACCCTGCGGCGCAAACCTGTTGGCAGTGCCGGCCCGGCGGCTGCCACGGCACAAGCCGGTCCTATCAAGAGGAAGCCAGTGCCGTCCATGCCCGCTGCAAGAGCCACGGCGCCAAAGATGGAGACTCCAGAACCACTCTCGCCCATGTCTCAGCCGTCTGCTGCCGTTCCTCCCATTCTCGCACTCCCAGTTGCCCTCCCCGCTACCACAACACAGATTCCCATGCACTTCGCCTCGGCCGTGTCGTCGCGCAAGTCGTCCAATGCCTCGGACATGTCCGAGTCAGACGCCTCTGTCGCGTCATCGTACACTACGCCGTCCCTGGCCGACATGGTCGCCTCGTCCTTACGGCGTGGATCGGTGTCCGTGTCCGTGTTCACGGCCGTGTCCGAGGTGTTTGCGGGTGCAAGCACAACGGCGTCCTTGTCCACCCTCTCCGTGGCCTATGCACAACCTCGTGTGTTCGACCAGCCTATTGTCCGCAAGTCGTTTATTGCGACGACCAACACGATGATGACGTCGACGACCAACACCTCCACCACCACCAATGGAAGTGGAAGCGAGGCTCATGCACGGCGGCCGTCGCAAGTCTCGATCATGGAGACCATTTACTCGCCGGCCGACGAACCTGGAAGTGACGAGGGCAGCGAGGACGGCGACAAAACCAGAGGCGAAATGGCCGACGAAGGCTACGACGCCGACTTGGCGGCCATGGTCCGGCAAGAGGCCGAAGCGGCTGCTGCGGCGGCTGATGCCGGAAGGCGGTGGCTTGAGCCGTCGCGGGATTCGATGAGAGACTCGATGCGGATGGAGCGCACGACGTCCATGTCCAAGCACCTGTCGAGGAAGCCGTCTCTTTCGCCCGTGGAGGAGCAGGAGCAGGAAGGCGAGGAGGACGGCGTCAAAGTCGACGAGGACAAGGCGGATGAGGTGATTGAGGTGGCTGAGGTGGACAAGGGCGACGAGAACGAGGACGAAGAGACAGTCAACGACGAGGATGGCAAGGCGAACCCTTCTGTCCACACCATTGTCGTCCATGAGCCCGCGGGCTTCACTGCCACCGGTCTGTCACGCACCGCCAGCCGCATGCGCAAGGCGGCACTACGGGCAGCAGGTCAAACGGCGCAGACGGCGAACACGGTGCAAACGACACAAGGAGCTGTCACTCCCGCAGCCTCCACGTACGTCCCCGCGTACACCCGCCGTCGCCTGTCGACCGCCAACTACAACTTTTCGCGTCCGATGCGGGCCACAGGCGACAAACGCGTGTCTCTCGTGTCCACCATGTCCTCCACAACCACGAAGCGAGCCTCCGTCATCGTCGTTCCCTCTGTGCCCCAGACATCGCTGCTGGCCAGCCCGCGCTCGCGCGTGCGTCGCCAGCTGCTGCAGATGCTGCCCGTGCAGCACCGGCCGATCACACTCGTGAAGCCGGTTTCGTTTGTCAAACCCGTGAAGGCGGTCAAGGTGACGACGCCCCGCAAAGGCCGCCAGTCCCTGTCGGGCCGTCGCCACCGTCGGTCGCTGTCGCTGAACTTGGCGTCGCTCAACACGAGCGACGATGCGTTGTCGTCGTCCTCGGCGTTGTCGTCGGCGGCGTCGTCCTCGTCGACCTCGTCGACCTCGACTCTCTCGTCAACCTCCGCCTCGACGTCGGCACGTCACA